ATTATTGAATAAAAATAATATATATTTATAAAAAAAAAGGGTATATATACTCAGTTTTTCCAAATTGCCTTTAAAAATAGTATAGCCATGCGGCTATATTCTTGTTTTAAAATTTTCTAAACAAAGATGGTATAGCCGGTGGGCTGTACTTGTTTGACATGGGCTGGACTTGTCTTTATATACATATATATATATATATATATATATATATGCCGGCAAAAATAGATCCTTTTTTATTTTTTGAAAAAATAGTATAGCCGTCCGGCTATACTCCTTTTTTCAATTTTTCAAACAAAGATGGTACAGCCCATGGGCTGTACTTGTTTGACACGTGGCGCACAGGCTGGGGCGTGTCTTTATATACATATATATCCCGGCTATACTCTATCCTTTTTTTTGAATTTTTTAAACATAGATGGTATAGCTGGTGGGCTGTAATACAAAAACATTGCAAGAATCAAAGGCTCTGTTCATGGACGTGAGGCATTGTCAATTGTGAAGTTGGTGCCTAATATCAAGTACTTAAATTTGAAGGGTGCAAAAGTTAATCGGGATGGTCTTGAGATCTGGTGATGTTGGACGCCAGAGATTGTTCTGGTTTCGATGAGAACGACAATGAAATATCAAAGCTTGCATCTCATGTTAGTAAATTTATGTGCGAGAGGGTTCTGAATTTCCTGAATTTCTTCGTGGTATGGACAATTTTGTTCTTCCTGTTGATGGATACGCATTTCATTTGCATGTGGATGAGACGTGGGATGAAATGCTCAATGATTTGGGCGACGAGGAATGAAGAACTATTTGATTGTACTAAGTGATATCTCATGTTTTTTTTATATTTACAACACTAATGAGCAATTATGTGTTGAGTGTGGTGTGGTGTGGTGTTCATCTTGTGTGTTTGGACATTGTTACTCTAATGAGGGCTTGTTATAAGTTCCTATCTTGATTTCATTATAAGATGTTTGCTTAATTTGGAAAATGGCTGTTCTAACTTCCTTCGCTACATTTTGCGTAATATCACATATGCTTGCGATTGTTCTGCAGCAGATCCTGACCTTCAATAATAATGGATGATGGTACTCTCTAGGCTCGATATCTGCTTAGGAACCAAAAATATATTAAGCTTTTGGCTCTTCTTTTGTATTATATTTATATGTTGTATATATGTTCATGTTGTAGGTTAAGAAGGTTAACAAAGTGAGGCTCGCTGAGTACATTGAAGCAATGAGTGGTGTGAAGTTTTGGTCACAAGTTCTTAGAACTTCTATCCTGTTCATCTTTTCTCTTTTGTCTTGAAGCTATGTCTAATAGATTACACTGAAATTTGTCACTTTCAACTGCAGGTTAGTTTAGATACAATGTTTGATGTGCACACAAAGCGAATACTCGAGTACAAAAGGCGGCTGCTTAATATACTTGGCATTATCCATTGATATGACTGTATCGAGGTGAATCTGATTTTATATGTGGAAAAACTTTGCATTCCATATTTTTATAACTTATTAACAAAGAACTACCATATACCTTCTAAAGGGAGCTATCACCATCCTCTAGCATTGTGCATACCTAGTTCATCTTCTTGTCACGGTAATATAAGAAGTTGTTGGACAATAATTTGTTGATTTTTCAATGAGATATGATGTGCAGTTTGAGCTTTCTTCTCATGTTTTGTTTTTTAGCCTTTAACCCTTAAAATAATATGACAAAATTGTATATTTAAAGCGTACGGCCGCGCGGCTATACTCTTTAAATGTTGATTAAAATTTAACCGTATAGCTGTCCGGCTATACTTTCTAATTGGATTCGAATATTTTAAAAGTATAGCCGACCGGCTCTACTCTTCAAATATATTCAAGACGAACACGAAGCTTGCACTCGCAGAGGACGGAACTTGCTCTCGCAGTCACTGCTTCGTCCTCCGGGTTCGGCACCGGAAAAAGACCAAACCCGCCTAGCCTCCTGCCTGGCCCCTAGCGACCGCCTAGCCCCCTAACGACCGCTTAGAGACCGCCCAGCCGCCTAGAGACCGCCTAGCCGCCTAGCGCCCGCCTAGAGCTCGTTCTTGAAGGGTTCAACGACAATTCACAAGATGCACATTCTTGAAGGTAATATTGGATATCCCACACTCGTAGTAGTAGTTCAGAACTTCAGATAGGTTGATATATAGTCAATATAATATTCTGACCATCTGTGAACTGTCGCGGGAATTTAAATCCCGTCAGCACTGACAGCATCAAGTGTTTTCGACAATTGACCTATTTTGCTTTTTACAAAATATAATCTCACATTAACTCAACAAATCTGATGTTTTGCGGTTCATAAACAACCTTTCTGATGACCCTCTGCTGAAGACGCTTGGGCCTAACTTCAGATCCTATTTCTATCGAGCTTTTCATCAGTTCAAGAGAGTCTTTGCAGAATTTAAAAGCTCTCACCATGAGGTATGTATCAGAAGTCCTTTGCTAATTGGTCTGTAACAGGTGTTGGAAAAGGAAAATATTTCTTCAATGTTCTTAGGAGGACACTGAGGCCACTCCTATGATACATCTTTATAGTTTTCTGCCATTAAGTCTGCTGTTGTTTATATTTGCATATCTCTTTACTTTTATAGAGTAGTTTCCAAATTTTGGTGGTTGGTTTTCTAATTTTCAAGAACTCTGAAGGCACGTGTAACTATATCACTTTTTTTTTTTTTTTTTTTTTTTTTTTTTTTTTTTTTTTTTTTTTTTTTTTTTTTTTTTTTTTTTTTTTTTTTTTTTTTTTTTTTTTTTTTTTTTTTTTTTTTTTTTTTTTTTTTTTTTTTTTTTTTTTTTTTTTTTTTTTTTTTTTTTTTTTTTTTTTTTTTTTTTTTTTTTTTTTTTTTTTTTTTTTTTTTTTTTTTTTTTTTTTTTTTTTTTTTTTTTTTTTTTTTTTTTTTTTTTTTTTTTTTTTTTTTTTTTTTTTTTTTTTTTTTTTTTTTTTTTTTTTTTTTTTTTTTTTTTTTTTTTTTTTTTTTTTTTTTTTTTTTTTTTTTTTTTTTTTTTTTTTTTTTTTTTTTTTTTTTTTTTTTTTTTTTTTTTTTTTTTTTTTTTTAAAATTCAGTTAGCCCAAACATTCCTAATGGTTTCCAAAATTAAAGTTACTTAAAAATTTGCCAAAATTAAAATCCATATTCCATAACCACGAAAATTTGCAGTCTATGAGAAGACACATAAACGTTCATCGTGCAAAAGCTACAGGTCATGTGAAAAGCTTCAGATGAGTCATTCATTAATCTTTACTCATAGTCCAGAATCATTAATAACCAAAACTTAATTATCAAAAGCAGAAAGTGCACCTAGCAGATCAATTATGTTTAGTCATAAGAAGATAATCCAACAAAATGAAAAGAACGTGAAACCTGGGAGTAATAGGCTCCTTTAGATATGCTCGTATGCTTGATAATGGGCTTAAAGAACAAAAGAACAGAACCAGACCCACCCTGGCACCCAGATCCGCCTAGCGCCGCCTAGAGCCGCCTAGAGCCGCCTAGAGCCGCCTAGCCCGCCTAGAGCCGCCTAGCGACGCCTAGCCCCGCCTAGCGTAGCCCAGACCAGTCTAGCGCCGCCCAGACCCTCCCAGGCCGCCTAGGCTGATTTTTCGTAATGCAGACTATGGATTTTTCGTAATCTAGACGCCTCTGCTTTTCATCTGCTACGAGTATATAACCTGCAATGAGAGAGAGAGAGAGAGACAGAGACAGAGAATTAATATATGTTTACATATTTTCTTCTCATTTCTTGCCGCCCCTTCTAACAACTTTAAACCCTTACTGCGCAGCAGCCTCCTCCGCCCACACAAAACCCATCGCATCACCATCCCTCCTCCCCACCCTCTCACACTTTGCATAAAACTCCTCTCTCTCTCTCTCTCTCTCTCTCTCTCGCGTATGTGCAGCCATGTGTTTCCTACGTGTGTGTGGGAGAGTGCAATTTTGTGATTTGCACATATTCGTGGACTCATATGGCCTTTTATAATTTTGAAGGAAGAGTTTGACATTTGTTTAATAGCAAATAGTGTAGCCGCATGGCCATACCCTGCTTGCGCATTTTTCAAAACAGTATAGCCGTCGGCTATACCCGGGCATTTTAAACAAAAATCAGTATATCCGCGCGGCTATACTTGTTTTAACACGTGGGCGCTGAGTGGCTAGGCGGGTCCCTGTTTTAAATTTGTAAATAGTATAGCCGAACGGCTATACTGGTCAGACATGGCCATAAGGTGCTAGTCGAATTTTTTTTATTTATTAATAGTATAGCCGAGCGGCTATACTATTTTTTCCCCCCAAAATAGTAGCCGTACGCAAGTATTTTTTTTTAAAAAAAAATTTAAATGATCTAAGCTACTCGAATCAGTGCCTAAGCTCCCTACCATCAATTTCTCCATTGAAGTGTTCATGATCATGTGTTGCAGGTTTTGGTGATTATATCTATGCCTAAGTCAAACATAGTATAGCCGCGCGCCTGTACTATTTTTGAAAATAAAAACCAGAGGTATATTGCTCTTGCTTTTCTTGAGTTTGAATCGTGGTTGCCCATTTTTCTCACGTTGATGAATAGAAGGTAGATGCTCAAATTCCTCAATGATGATTTGAATTTAATCTACATATCAATGCTCTTGGAATATCCTTTCATGGTTATTGTGAAAAGTTTTGTTCTTGGTTCATGACAATCTACCACATTTTCAATGTTTGAAAATAGAGGGTAAAAATTAATGACAGACAATAGCAGTGATCCTGAAACTGAAAGTTACCCCCTGCCCATGATCCATCAGCTTTCTTCAAGATCACTTCCATCATAGCCACTTGGTATATAGTGCTTGGTCTAGACTTATCAGTAAAGTGCTGTCTTTGATTTGGATTTGTATATCATTGTTGCTTCAATTTTTTATTTTTGGAATTTTGACATGGAAGGCATGATGCTTGTGGTTTGTAGGTTGTTGGGTACCTTAACAGCAAGCAGGCGGCACTGTTCAAAAGAATGATTTGGGAAGCAATGAACAAGGACTATGATAAGGTAATGCCTTTGGAAATCCATAAATTTTATCATGTGTGTTCACAAGGATTCGGTGCAATGCTAGGGGCTTTCTTAGTTTCTGTTTGTTCCATGGTTTCTTTTTATTTGTTATCTATATTTTTGGCTTTTGAGTCTTTAGATTAAAATCATTGAGGTTATGTATGTAGTTAATCATGATTATCAGCCCCTGCATTATTTGCCTCTTCATTCTCCTTAGCTCTGTGATTGTGCAGGAATTCTTCACTTTTAAAACTGACCTCGTTTCTTGTATTTGAGTTTATGTTTGCTGCATGTCATATGTGCATTGTGATCTGAAGCATAGGCTTGGAAGTCTCACCAGCTTGGTGTTCTTGCCTAGTTCTGAGCTGTTATTTGAGTTTATGTTTGCTGCATGTCATATGTGCATTGTGATCTGAAGCATAGGCTTGGAAGTCTCATCCAGCGTGGAGTTCTTGCCTAGTTCTGAGCTGTTATTTGAGTCACACACTGCATACTGTGTTGAAAGTTTTCACTTCAATCTTATTTGCATTTGACTTATTTTTTGATCTTTCGATTATTTGTGTATGTTTTACTGCCAGCATTGAGTCTTATGTATTGATCTCTATGTGCAACTATAAAATTGGCAGGGAAAGAGTAGAAAACGAGCCAGAATGGCCAAGAAAGCTGCTCCTGCTAAAAAGCCAGAAAAGGCTGTCAAAGTTTCTACTGTGATGGATACTAAGAATGTAAGTTAATAATAAACTGGTTTATGGGATTTTTGGTCCTTAAATTTTCCTGCAATGTTGATTGTCCTACTTATAATTTATTTAACAGATACTAATGTGACATTTTGTTCTTGCAGAGGCTGAGTGCAAAAATCAACTATGAAGCTTTGGATAAATTAAATGAAGAGCTTGTAAGCATCTTTATATGTCTTATTTTAGAATCAATTTTGCTTAATTCATGCTTTGCAAATCCCATATTATGTTCTGTCAACATCCAAGGTCTTGTTCACTGATGCACAGACTACAAGCGACTAAAAGCCAATCAAATCTAATGGCACGTTTAATTTCGATTGTCAAATGATGTTACTTGTTCAATATATTTTTTGTTTTCTTAATGTCTGGTTAGTGTGCAGACACCAAATTCCTATTTAATGGAATAAAGGTATATCCAAGTCACACAAACTACTCCAGGATAGAACTTAATACATAAAAGAATAATCTTTGGAAGATGGTATATTATTATTAAGCATGGATTAAGACATGAAACTATGATACCTGAAAATCAATCTGGTGGTTTACATGAATGATCAGTTAACTAATTGGGCAATTAATGGGGTAGTTATATGGTTCAAAGTTTTTTTTTTTTTGTCATTTTATAATGATTTTGCAATGTAGTTCCTAGTTAAAAATCCTGGTAGGTTTTAGAAAATGGAGGTATCTCTCTGCGAGTAATTGCCTGAACTTTAATAGATACTGAATTTGATTCATCTGATCTTTTTCTTCATGTGTAAAATCAGGGTTATGCACCTGCATTTGAGGAACGCATAATTTGATACAATTATGATGATGAATGCAATTATGATGAGGAATGCTATTTTGAAGAATTGACTTAAATAATCAACTTTTTTTTTCTTGATTTAGATTATTTTTTCATGAACCAGTTGTATCATGTTACAATCTAAAGGTTAAGCAATTGAATCTTCTGGTTTTTAACAACTTTTTCGAATTGGAATCAATCTGAGGAGAGATGCTATTGAGCATTGCTTGCATGTGAAACTCTTTGAACTATAAACATGAGCAAAATTTGTAAATTGGAACACTGAATTGTTGGTTTAAAGTTGTTCACAGTTTATTGAGTGTATAGGGAGAAGCACCAGTTTGACAACAACATTTCCCCTATTTTCTTCTTCCTAAATTCAACACTGACAACACCAAAAGGCTTCTCAATATTCTATACAAGTCTGAGGAAAATTTCAATTGATCATTGATTTGCATCTCAAACTGTGAATTTATATAATTCAGTTAAAAGAAATTTTATTCAATGTTGAAAAATCAATTCTATGATGACGTTAGTAGGGCTTAGTTTCCACATCATCAAACTGCTCGGCAATTCATCATCCCTGACAATTTGACATTTTGTCGTCCAAAATATCCAATAAGGCCTTGTTTCTTGGGAAATGACCTCCAATGCCACCCATTTGCTAATTTTAACTAAAAATATCACCCCTTCCCACTTTTTTTACAACTAACACCTTTAAATATAAAATTATTGTCCACTTATTGTACCCATATCAGTTTTTCAGAAATTGGCTTCTCTCTCTCTCGCTCTATCTCTTCGGCCCGTCTCTCTCCCTGGTGTACCTCTCTCTCTTCGACGCAATGCTCTTTGTCCGTCAACAGTGGCTGTTCATCCAAGCGTAACTCCATCGTTGACATCCACGAGGTACTGTTCATAACCCTTTTCTTTGAAATTTGGGGTTTTTGTGAATTTGGTTTATGGTGTATGGATTTGTAAGAAATTGGTTTAGGGTTTTAGTGTTTAGGGGTTGCTCAAAAATTGGGTTTGGGTTTATGGGTTTCTATGAACTGGGTAATAACTCACACCCACTCTCACTTTGTAAGGAACTAGGTGGTACAGAAGTATTTTCCATAATTAGCACACTAAGTTTGTTGGGTTCAGATGTTTAATTAGTAAACATAACCAAAGAGAGAAAAGAAAAAAAAAAGTTGGAAAATAAATTGAAGGATAGATTTTGAAGGGCTAAGTCAGTTTGGTGCAATTGAAAATGTCATCATAGTTTTGCTAGCAAAATCTGGTTTTCATTCCCCCAAAAGCTAAGTTTTAAGCCTTCCTGGAAGAAGTGAAGCAGAGAAAGAAGGGGAGAAATAGATTCATCTATTGAGTGTTGTTTCTGCAACTTGGGTTTTGTTGATGGTTCTAATGGCAAAGCTAGTTTTCCATTCACATCTTCTTCTGCTCATCATAGTTTTCCTCTCTCTCCATCCTTCAAGCCAGCTACAACAACACACTCAGTCACAAACCCTTCTGAAGATCCAGCGGCTTCTCAACTACCCATCAGCCTTAACCAGCTTCAGCCATAGAAGCAACATCAGAGACTTCTGCAAAATTGAACCAACTCCATCTTTGACTCTATCCTGTTATGAAGGCAACATAACCCAGCTGCACATTATTGGCAACAATGGGTTTCCTCCACTGCCTCGTGATTTCTCAGCAGACTATTTCTTTGCCACTCTTGTTGGCTTACCAAGCTTGAAAGTGCTTTCACTGGTTTCTCTTGGTTTATGGGGGCCAATGCCTGCAAGTATTGGGCATTTGTCTTCACTGGAGATTCTCAATGTAAGCACAAATTACTTAAGTGGTACAGTTCCTCTCCAACTTTCATATCTGAGGAACCTTCAGACTCTCATACTTGACCATAACAAGTTCACTGGTCAAGTTCCAGGTTGGCTGAGTTCACTTCCAGTCTTGGCTGTTCTCAGTCTGAAAAACAATATGCTTAATGGCTCTTTGCCATATTCTTTGGCATCTTTACAAACTCTCAGAGTTCTCTGCCTATCAAGTAACTTCTTGTCAGGGGAAGTGCCTGATCTCAGAAACTTGACAAACTTGCAAGTTCTTGATTTGGAAGACAACTATTTTGGGCCTCATTTTCCAAGTATGCCTTCCAAGTTGGTCACACTTGTGCTAAGAAAGAACAAGTTTCGCTTGGGAATCCAGACTGCATTAGGCTCCTGCTATCAGCTCCAGAAGCTGGACATTTCATTGAATGGATTTGTAGGGCCATTTTTGTCATCATGGTTGTCACTGCCTTCCATTAAATATCTTGACATTGCTGGAAATAAACTCACTGGACTTCTCTATAAGAACATGACTTGCAATTCTGAGCTTGCTTTTGTCAATTTATCCTCAAATCTTTTGTCAGGGGATTTGCCCACTTGTCTGAAAAAGGATTCTAACAGCAGGGTTGTTCTGTATTCTGGGAATTGTTTAGTAAATGAAGATCAGAAGCAGCACCCTTCTTACTTGTGCCACAATGAAGCTCTGGCTGTGTGAATACCACCTCCTAGTGAGGAAAAGCATAGGAGAACTTATGGTAAACACGTTGTTGCATCAAGTGCAGTGGGAGGTATTGTGGGTGCAATTGCAGTTGTTGGTTTAGCTTTCATGGCTGCTAAGAAGTTTTATAGTGAGCACACTACTAAAACTCCCCAAACAAGGTAATTTCAGATACAGTCTCAGCAGTGAACACAGCTAAGCTACTCTCTGATGCAAGTAAGTTTAAAGTTTCTAACTTTTTTTATTTTTTTTATAAATATTTTTATAGTTGTTCCATTTGGTACCAACTTTTTGTTGCTTCTGTTTAATGTACGAGGATCAAGGCTGATTTTGCGAAGAAAATAAATGAAAAAGGGAACTTGCTGTATAGATTAGCAACCATTTCCATGTGATCTTTTTATTTTATTTGAGTAGCATGAAGGTTATGATTTCCATAGAAGTCCAAGAACTAGACTGATGTATGTTTCCAGAAAATTCCAGGAAGAACTACTAATTATAGAAAATAGTTTCCAAAAACTATATTGCTACCCCAAAAAGACATATTAGTTTATTTTGGAGTCTTTAGGTTCGAACTAAGATGGAGAGATTTATATTTTATTGTACCACCAATTCCTTATAGTTTTCCTTGGATATTCTGATATTCAGAAATATGGAGAATATGGTAAATCTTGTTCAGGTCCATGCTTTTCAGTTTCAAATGAAGCATTTTTCACATGCTAATTTAGCGTGTTACAATTCGTGAATCTTTCATTTTTGCTATAATGATAAACTCGACAATTCTGGCTTATACATCCAGGAAAGCAATTTTTCTTGCTCAAATTGACTGCTCAAAATTTTATTCTTATTAAAACCCCAGGAACTACTTCATTCAAATTGGCAGTAGGTAAATAAATTAGCATCACTATTCCTTTTATAATAAGTCATAACACTAGAATCCTTTCTTTGCAGAATATATATCAGACACAATGAAGCTGGGAGCTAGCCTTCCTGCTTATAGAACTTTTGCTTTGGAGGAGCTTCAGGAAGCCACCCATAACTTTGATGATTCAACATTACTAGGTGAAGGTTCACATGGACAGGTATTCATTCTTTATAGTTGCAAAACAATTCTAACTAATTCAGTACATCGTAATAGTAATACGATGTTCTCTCTTAATTTGCACCTGCTTTCACATTTTATGTTTCTTGCTTATATAATTCCATCCGTTTGGATATGCAAAAGATCCTTTGTGGATTGAAGAACCTCAGATAAGAGACAATATATATTATGTAGATGTTGAATTTAAATACAATTTGGGACAAGATACATTTCAACAAGTATCTAACTACTCGGGAATAAATAATATACAGGTCGGACTAAATTACGATGGCTCACCGATGCATGGTGGGTTCTCCTGTGTGTCTAGGTTCTTGATTTTCATCTAGTCTCCAGCTCTTGGTACACAATTGAAGAACTACATAGTTGAAGCAACTTAAATACACACACTGACATATGTATGTGTGTATGAATGTGTATATAGATTTAGTTATCTCGATTTAATTTAGAGTTCATACTCTTCAAAAGCATGATGTAAATAGATTTAGGAATTACTTTGTAGAACTTCTGATATGCTTAAAACGTGAGACTTCTCCACCTTAAACAAGCTTCTGTTGAGTAAAGATTCCCTTTAAAACGTGGCCTCACATTTAATGAAAAAAGAGTAGAAATTGAAAGAGAACAAAAGACTAATTTTCAAAAAAGGTTGCAGGAGCACATCTAGTCCTTTCAAGCAGCCTTTTTCAAGGTATGCTTCCAATTTAGGCGCGTCGGACACACTAACCTTATTATATCCATGTCATAACAAATAAGGTTACTTATGTATTTCCTGGTGTCCTTGAAACATATATTAAGATATGCTACTCCTGTTAAGTTATAATATATCAGCCTTTCAAATCGACCAAATTATGAAAAAAAAATCCTTTGAGTTTTGTTTAATTTATATCAAACTTTCAACGATTGGATCGGATCCAAATCTGAAATGGTAATGGGAATTTTTCAAGGGGTTGTGAAACTCTGCTCGTTCTGAGAAGATACTCATTGATGTTATACCATCAGATAGATCTTATGCATATTGCAATGGTTCGCGGAAAGTCTACTATAAATGTTAAAGTGGTCCAATACTTATCATTTGAATTTGTACAAGAATTTGGAATCTGTTTGTTCTAGTAAATTGTCCTATGCACTATTGACTAATATACTTTGTTCAAGAAATCTTGAGAGTTTTCAGCAAGCAATTTTCTCACTCTTACTGCTTCAAAATAAAATAACAATGCCAGATATATAGAGGGAAGCTCCCTGATGGAACCTTTGTTGCTATAAGAGGCTTGAAAATGAGAAAGAGGCAGAGTCCACAGGTCTACACACACCTCCTTGAGCAGATTTCAAAACTGAGACATAGCCATTTGGTTAGTGCTCTTGGACATTGCTTGGAGTGCCATCCAGATGATTCAGGCGTCAGTAGAGTATTTCTTATACATGCCATACAGGTTGCAATGGAGAGTAAAACCCCACTCACTACTTTCTTCTTCTTCTTCTTTTTCTTTGATTGATTTCCTCCCTCACTGTCTTAGCATTTTCAGCAATTAAATATTCATTGCTAACACTTGGTTTGGCAGAAGGACCTCCAGGACGGAAGCTTACCTGGCCGCAGAGAATAATAGCTGCAATTGGAGTTGCAAAGGGTATTCAGTTTCTGCATACAGGGATTGTTCCTGGTGTTAAATCAAATAATCTGAGGATAAAAAATGTCTTATTGGATCACGATCTTCATGTAAAAATAAGCAGCTATAACCTACCTCTTTTGGCTGAAAACAGGGGAACGGTAAGACATAAAAAATATGTATCTGTTTGGGTGAATGCATCACCCTTGAGATTGTCCTGACTTAACTTTTGCTTTTTAATCCTTCAGATGGGCACCACAGTTTCTTCTCCAGCACCAAAAGGAAGCGTTCAAGCGAGGTACTAACATGCTTACTTTCCCAAAATCATACACTACTTTTCTAAACTGAATTCCCTTTTCATATTTATACACAAATGAACAAGACAAATAATTTCTCTGCCCAAAAATAAAAAAAACAATTGTAAAAGAGAAGGTAGAATCCGTAGGTGACCTGAAAATCATCAATGTGGAGACATAGAAGTTCCTTTCTTGGGAGGTTTGGCTTATGGAGAGGAAGCTGCTCTAGTTAGTTATACTTGTTTCCTTTGTAATTTGCTTTGAGGCCAGAAAATTTTTAAAAAAGATAAAAATGTAATCTGTTTTGGATATTTACACCATGAGATTGGGGGAAGGGAAAGAGGTCAAATAAGGATTCCTTTACACCATGAGTTTGCATTCTTGAACATTGTAATGGAGCCAATCTGCTTGTATGCATATCTGATGCTTTCTGCTGAGGTTCCCATTTATGTCATGCCTCTTTTTTGCTTTTTTTCTTTTGGCTTGTCATATCTGTGTGCCAGATAGCTGCATTTGGCACTATGAACTGACTTGGTGGCAGTTACAAATTAACATAGGTCTTAATTCTGGAACTGCCATTCATAAACTCTATCTCTGTACTTAACCCAGTTGTTTTTGCAGGTCGGTCTCAACCAAGTGTTGATTGCAATATTCTAAAGAAGATGACCATACATTGTTATTTTATGTAGGTGTACGTATGAGATGGCTCAGCTTTAATTGGTTTGGTTGTTCCAAGTTTTATGTACACAATCTCACAGTAACTGCCGAGTTGTTTTTCATTTCATGTATTTCTCCGTGGTTTTTTTCCCCCAATAAGCTTGAATGGATTTTCTTTTCTGTTGTATTTGGCCCTTCTCTTTTCAAGCATGCCAAAAGAGAGCGAATAGGGGGAGAAAGAGACAGAACGAAGCTAGAGAGAAAGACATAGAGAGAAAGAGCTGCTCTACAGAAAGAAAGCAAAGAGAGAGAGACAGAGAGTTGCACTAGAGAGAGAGAGAGAGAGAGAGAGAGAGAGAGAGCTGCGATAGACAGATACCAAAGAGAAAGAGAGATGTGCCAGAGAGAGAGCTGAGTGAGCTAAGAGAGAACAAAATTTCTGAACATGTCAAAAATCAGCAATAAGTGGACAATAATTATATTTTTATAGGTGATATTGTAATACTATTGCTATTGTATTGTGGTTATATTGCTCTAATATTGCCTCTATAGTGTACATATATTGGCCTAATATTGCTATTATATCGTATGTCAATGGCCATTTGGTCTAATAATAGAGTCTCCACTTCATTGAAAGTAATCCTGAATTCAAATCTCATGGACACAACAATTGTTATTCATCCTTATATTAGCATGAATTGATGTTGACCTTTGAAATGATAGTTGGAGTTGCACAAAATCTGAAGAATATAACCATGAAATGGTTGAATGTTTCAACAACGGCTTCAAAATGTTCCGAGATTATGCTTCGGTCTCACCAGACTACAATTGGAGTGAAATTGATGTAGCTGGTGTCTGGGAGGTGCTGAATATGGGTGCTAAGGGAATGGCTCATCATAGCCTCGTGCATGCAACGAGGAGAAAGGACAAAGACATGGATCTTTTGATGGACCTGTAGTAAGGGTGAGTGATGCTTCAGTTCATCTCACCTGAGTACAATGATCTTTTGTTGCCTTCGTTTTCCCTTCACGGGATAGTATTGTTAAAGTTCGGTGGCGATTCCTTTTGCATGTGTAAAATGTAGTCTGTAATGGATGTGTGTGTATTGTATGTAGATTCACTTAATATTGTTGTTCTATTGTATTTATATTGCCTTAATATTGCCTTTGTATTGCATAGATAGTGTATTCATATTGCCACCCTATTGGATGTATATTGTAATACTATTGCTATCGTATTGTCCTTATATTGCTCTAATATTGCCTCTGTAGTGCACGTATATTGGCCTAATATTGCTATTATATCGTACGTCAATGGCATTTGGTCTAATAACAGTCTCCACTTCGTTGAAAGTAATCCTAAATTCAAATATCACGGACACAACAATTGTTATCCATCCTTATATTACCATGAATTGATGGTGACCTTTCAAATACATCGATTCATATTCAAAAGGAAAGTAATTCTCTCCCTCAATGAATCGTCGTTCAAAAGAAGGCAGCTATCAAATATTGGGTACAAAAATGCAAGATCCCCGGTAAATTAATTGGGCACAAACCACATATTACAAAACCAGTATGATTTTTGGCATGCTTGAAAAGAGAAGGGCCAAAGTTCGATAAAATATTTTGGGATGGTTGAAGATTCTTGGACACCTTTTTTCTTTTCAAGTAGTTTTGTAGAAACAAGTTCTACACATGGGCTTTTATCGGTTATATTTTAAGGCAAGTTCTACACGCGAGCTTGTATCGATTATATTTTGTTATGAAAAAAGTAAAATTACTCTCTGCAATTGTAAGATGGTGCAAGATCGGTGTCCTTGTCATAAATTTGACAACATTAAATTGGAAAATCTGACCTTTTTCCAATTTAAGTGATCAATTGCAACTAATTTTGATACTGTAGTACACAACAGGGTTACCTACTTGTGAAAGAGTGGAAATATCCCTATATATCTGAATTTCACCCTCACGCTATAGATTTTTTTTTATATGGTTTATTGGCAACAATTCAGATAAGATTTTCCATTGTGGAAGACAAGTTTTCTGATTGTATAGGGAAGCATTGCACAAGTTCTCTTTCATTGTTTTTTTGTGTAGATAAAGCCTGGCTTGTACTTGATGAAGTGCGAGAAATGATGCAAAAATTTGCACAAAGCAACCGATGAATGTAATTCAAACCAACACCTTTGTTGTATACTACCAAACATCAAATGCAAATTAACATCTATCTCATGGTTTGGCTACAAATGCCACCAAGCACATGCTCAACTTATAAGTTTGTAACCCTAATTTCATCGATTGAATCTTCACCTACATTCATAACACCTTTTACCATACATAACCAGCATTGTTTTACAAACAAGCCTAAAACCTTCATCCTGAAGCCTGATAACTGGCGGCAGATGCAAGATCCATAGGATCAAGGAACACAACTACAGCTACAAGCATACAACAAAGCCCGGTAACTCAACTACAGCTACAAGCATACAACAAAGCCCTCAGGGGGGAAGTTCCAGCAGTCCACAGCATGACAGACAACGTACTCGTTTACAAAGACAATAACCAAGACAAGATGATAACCCAGGGCATCGAATAGCATCATACAACCCTAAACCCCCTCTATAAAAAACATACATCAAAACCTAAGTTTTCTCTTACTCATCAAGATCCTAGAACCCTGACACAACTGGCAACCTGAAACATAACTTCTAATCAATCATTACCACTAAAAGGCCTTGATAATTCTAATCTAATGTTCTAAAACTGATCTCCCGAGGTATTTAGGAATTATTTGGATTCGACACCCACACCAAATTTCCATACTTGCTAGCAACATAATGCATTCATCCCTCTAATACTTTTTCCCCATTGTTAATTGTGAATCAACAGCTGAGAAGTAACAAGAAGATAAACAATTATACATATGTTCATTTGCTAACAATGAAACAAGTAAATAACATACTCCAATGCAGTAGCACCTATTTAGATGACAGAAGAAACTCCAATGCAGTACATATGTGAAAAACACAGCTCTTCTGCAGGGCAGTAAGAAACAAATCTTTTTTTTTCCTAGCAGTGATGAAAAGTAAATACAGTTAAGACAAAGAAACAAAAATGGTAAAAGTGCAATAAATCAAACCAATGAGACAAACCAGATACAACTCTTTCTCACCAAATTCCACAATGATTTTCAGTTATTGAAATAGAGAGAGAACTGACAACACATTTTAAAGACAAGTAATTTATCAATGCCATTGCGAAACATTGTAACATTAGACTCAGCAAATTGTTTTGATAGGAAACATTAGATCTGAATCATAATTCCAAAATCATTAAATTCTACACTTTCAAGAGAAACCCTACTCAAGTATCTCAAATTCCAAAACCAAAAACTGCTCGTATCCTCTGGAAAATAAGATCCCGCCATCCTCTCTGTGCATTCTCCACCAGTCACATTCCCATATCTGCATTACCAAAGGCACCAAAACAAAGCAATCAGCATTTCATAGAAGAAAAGAAAACAATATAACTCACATACTCCCAGTCAATCAAACTAAAACTGAAAATAACCCATTAATTAAAAGTTCAAATCAAAACCAACCTGTCTTCCTCAGGAATATCTGAATGTGTTAGCTTGACAAAGTGAGCCCGGGTTTAGGCTCTTCAAGTATAAGCCTCACCTGGAAAAATTCAAACAAAACACACTCAACCCACAAATCACAAAACCATTTAAAACCAACCAAGAATTCATTCCAACCAGAAAGAAAAACACTTGACATACCGTTGAATCAATGCCATCAGGCCAACTCCCAAATCTCCATTTCTGCACAATCAAACTCCCATTCTGCAACTCCAAATTGGTACCCGTCACCGACCCATCGAAAATGCTAATCTGCCCATTATCTTGGCATTGCTCTGACTAAAAACCTTCCATCTATTCTCATCTCATCCATCAAAATCTCAAACAAATCTTTCGCTCTGCAACTAAACTTCTCAGTCATACTAATCGTCTTGAACCCTTCACAGTGCTGAGGGATCACTATATCCCCTCTCAAAGGTCTACCAATGTCATCTTTCCGCTCAGGTTCTTCACTACACTGTCCATACTCATTTCCACCTGCACCAAACAACTTTGGTACGCTTAGAATGATAAAAAAGGTAACCTCTGGGGTCTAGTTCAACACTCTCAAGAGAACCAAATAAAAGCACTACATGGAAGCAGAAGAAATAAAATATCCTAGATGTTGTTATATACATTAATTAAAAAGCAACCATCTTTTGGTATCCGGCTTAAAAGCAACCAAATTTTATATTAAGAAGCATTTACTTGAAAACTATCACAGCTCCTACTTCAAAACTCTAAAAAACCTAACAATATATTTTCTATGGCCTCACAACCTGCATCACATTACCTGCCAAAAGGACTGCAGTAAACAATAAGATCATGTTATCATCTAAAGCGAATCATAAGAGGTCTGAAGTTTCACACAAATATATCATAGACTCATAGGGCACCATTCAGTACCATTTAGAGCTGACAAAAACACAGTTTAGGAAGATCCATCAAATATACTATAGATGATAAAATTGTGGTGTTAAATACAAGAAAATTATTCAAAACCAATAAAAAACAATAAAAGAGCATTAATAAACAAAGCTAACAATGAGCATTGCAGAAGAAAAACTACATTATAAAGTTCATTTAATCCATAGGATTGGGAATTTAAAAAGTATTTTTGTTCAACCTCGCGACTCCATAAAACACAGATAGGTTTATAAGAGAATTTCTCAAACTCTTGAGCTTTCAAACAAATAAAATTAAAAAAACTACAGTACTTTGAAGAAGGAAAAGACAGAAAAGGGAAGGAAAACAGAAATTTCATTTGACAGTTTTAAGATTCTGCTCTTTGTAGTAACCATCAGCTCCTTTTAAACTTCAGAAGAATCACCAGACCAGTACAAAAACACTGATGCACCTATTTGGGATCTGCACATTTAATAAAAAATTGTGAAAACTAATTTCAAAAGAGAGGTTTAAAACCCAAAATCCCTTTAAAATGAATACAAGTTAAGACTTCAAAGTCGAAAGGCGAACTGGTCTCGGCAGTTAATTTCTAAATGCAAGAATGATATCAACTTGCTGCAAAAACATTAGATAATTCAAAATGCTTAAATTCAAGAACTTTGACAAGAAAGTATCCATCTTAAGGAGCTGTACAAAATAAAGAAGCAATCATATTGAAAAAGATCCTAACAATTGTAAAAGAATTGCTCAAAAGAACGCACACTCCCTTGATCAATTGAAAAGTCACTTATTCAGTTCTTGAAAATCAATCTAAATACCCAGCAAGCCAAAGTTTCTATCGTCTAAAACCAAAAGTCAATGTGTTTTCACACAACAAATTATACCCCAGGCCTTTCCTCGCAATGGAATCACCCCTGCATTGACTATAGATGGCATCTAAAACTTGAAAACCCTAATAGCCTTCAGTAACCTAGTAAATCAAAATGAATAGGATTCAAGCAATGATGTTCTATTTCCTATTAGCCTATACAATTAAGGGAGCTTTAGTAATATACCCAAAATGGGACCTGAATTTATAAAAAAACCCCACATAGAATACACTTTATAAACACACCCAAAATCCATTTATTATATAACAAATTAGTGTTCAAGTTCCTATAAATTACAGGTCTGCCACTATCAAGCCCAACACCAAACAAACTCAAAAGACACCCAAAACAAACCCAGCCCAAACTTATAAACAAGCCCAAACCGTAACTTTCGTCCAAAAAAAAAAGTAAACCGTAACTTTAAAAAAAGTAAACCAACCGTAACTTCCAGCACGCGCACTTTCATTAAACGTTCTCTGCAAAACGTCTCTTCACTTCACTCATCGTCTTCATCAAGTCAAATCGTCTTCATCAATTCGTCTTCATCGTCGTCGAAACCGAGACTCCATAACCACCACCAAGATTGATCTCGTTTCAAAAACAAACTCCAGACACTGACCAAGACAAAATTTCAGAGAACCATTTCAACAAGAAAACGCTTCAAAGGTAAGACATTTACAAACCAAACCTTTACTGTAATATTGATTATTTGCTATAAAGATCCAGTCTAGGGTAATAACAGTATTTTAGATTCGAATGAAAGACAAAATCTTGAAACTATATTGGATTTCACTATAGGACTGACTGCATAGGACCATTACTTTAGTCACTAACTAATTTAGCGGCTAGCATGCTGATTATTGGCTATAAAGTTCCAGTATATGGTAATAACACTGATTGTTCCCTATGAAATACTATTTCTAAGGCATGTCTACCACTGTCAAGTTCCAGTATAGATAAAGTTCCAGTATATGGTAATAACACTGATTGTTCCCTATGAAATACTATTTCTAAGGCATGTCTACCACTGTCAAGTTCCAGTATATGGTAATAACACTGATTGTTCCCTATGAAATACTATCTCTAAGGCATGTCTACCTCTGTCAAGTTCCAGTATATGGTAATAACACTGATTGTTCCCTATGAAATACTATTTCTAAGGCATGTCTACCTCTGTCAAGTTCCAGTATATGGTAATAACACCGATACTTTACTGTCGTGTTCCTATTTCTAATGCAGGTATACCAATTAAAAGATGAAGAAAGAAAGAGCCAGAAGAAACTCCAAAACAAAAGGCCAACAGTCATCATCCAAAACAACAACAAACAAGAAGCCTAGCAGATGGGAGGACCCAAATTATGTGCAGATCAAGAGCAACATGCTCTCTTTTGCAACAACAATTGACAACATCAGACAGAGACTTGAACGTCGGCACGATGTCTTAACACTGCTATCAAAGACACCTTTTTGGGCATTAATAGAAGCATATATCCAGAGAAGGTTAACAAAGGTAGAGTGCATGAAGTCTAACTACGACATTGTGAGACTCATACAAGTTTATGACACAAAGACAAAGAAGTTCAAGTTTAATGATGTTGACAGCGAGATGAAAAGCAATGATGTGGCTGAAATTTTTGGCTTGCCAAACAGTGGCAAGAAGTTACCAAGCACAACAACCTCAACAAGGCCAAAATTGCAGTTTGTAGAGAAATACTTCGCGCGGTATAAGAAGATAACAAAGACTTCAATTGATAAGTGCTTGAATTTAGCACTTGAAGATGAAACAGAAGAGGGTGCTATGGATGTAACAAGATTGATAATCCTACAACTCTTCATGACCAATCTATTCTGCAACTCTGGTTGTACACTTGCTTGGACATATACAACCACAATAGACACCTTAGAAGAGATGGGGAAATATAATTGGGCTCGAGGAGTTTTGGACTACATGTATTTTGGATTAGAACAAGCAAAGAAGAACAAGAAGGACAAAAAAAAGCAGCCAAGCGTGAGTGGCTGCCTAATCCTAATACTGGTAAGAACACAAATCTCCAAACTGCAAATTCGTAGCATTATTCTAATGATATGAATTGACACGTGATATTTCAAAAAAATATTGTGCAGTATTGGCTGTGTCAAAGATCTAACCTGCTCACTCCAATTCCTGGAAGAGAACAAATGACACCAGCTGCTGTCAAATGGAGTCTTCAAGAACTCAGCGCGAAGCTTCATCATCTAAAGAACAACCAGATAAAGGTACTCTTTCCTTTCAAATAATCTGCAGCTGATATGACAACATTGTTAATACCATGTCATGTACATACTTGTTAATACCATGTCATAGAAGTAAACTATGAATACCATGTCACAGAGGTAAACTATGAATACCATTTCATAGAAGTACACTATTAAAACCATGTCATAGAATTACACTCTTAATACCATGTCATAGAAGTGCACTCTTAATACTAACTCTACTCAACAAACAGATAAAAAGCACTAAAGCTCAAGAGCCAGATGATGATTCTGAAGAAGAGAATGAAGAGAATGATGATGATTCTGAAGAAGAGAATGAAGAGGAGGATGATGGTGCTGAAGAAGTGAATGAAGAGCATGATGATGATGCTGCTGAAGAAGTGAGTGAAGACAAGGATGATGCTGCTGAAGAGGTGAATGAAGAGCATGGTGATGCTGCTGAAGAAGAAAATGAAGAGGAGGAGGATGCTGAAGTGAATGGAGACCATGATGATGCTGCTGAACATCAAGTCCAGCAACACCACCAGGTACAAGAAGACCTCCAAAATGAAATCCCAGAATACCGGAATTCAACGTTGTTTGAGGAAATTGTTAGATCAGTACCAGAATACAAGGAGGATGAAATACAGCTTACAAAAGAGTATATGATGGCGATCAATAATGCTGCTGAATATTGGACGAAGAAAGGAGAGCATCAAAAGATCCGTGATGCAATAGCATCTTGCATTAAAAAGAATAAATTGATTCAGATGCTGTACAATGAAAAAGAAGAATTATTGAAGCATCAGCAGCAACTGCAGAAGATGGTTAAGGAAGCAGCACATCACAAGAAAGTCATACAATTAGATGTTCATCAGGAAAAATCCTACATGACAAAGCTGCAGCTAGAAAATGATCAACTTCTTGCAGAGAAGATTTCCTACTTGGACATTATTAATGAAAAGGAAGCTGTTATTGTCTCGTTGAGAGATCAAAAATTGGCGCAAGAACTGCAGAGTGAAGAGGATAAAGAAGAAAAGAAAGAAGGTGAAGCAGAAAAGATAAAATCAAGAAAACCAGATTCCTCATTCCCTAAAGCAGAGACGAGAGCACAAAAGAGAAAGGCACAAAAAAAACCAGCCAAATCAAAGAAGAGGGCCAAAGGTTCATTCCTGCAATGGAATACATATCAGGTCTACAACATGCTGGATGAACTCTCACAAGAAAAGCTGAGAAATTACTGGAAAAATTCAGTTGATGGGTAAGGCAATGTGTTTCATTCATTTTCAATGCAAGATGCTATTATTGAACATGCATTAGAAAATAGGATTTCATTGTGTTATTACCCTATACTAGAACTTTACAGGGGGTAGACATGCATTAGTTATAGGATTTCAGAGGAATCTAGCAGTGTTATTACCCTATATTGGAACTTTGCAGTGATAGACATGCATTAGATGTAGGATTTCATAGGATACAAGCAGTGTTATTACCCTATACTGGAACTTTACAATGGTAGACATGCGTTAGAAAAAGGTTTTTTAGGAAACAAGCAGTATTATTACCCTATACTGGAACTTTATTGAACAGTTCTTTCAATTTTATTGCCATTTTTTCTGACTACAAATACTGTTACAGCACTGCTTTTTGGCAAGGGACAAGCATTTTGTTCAAAGATGACATACAAAGCTTATTAGGAGATACTGAAATTTATGGACAAATCATAGATGCGTATGCCGAGATACTTCATCATGATGAAAAGAAGGACCCTAAAAGACAACAGAATGCATACATCACGTGCTACGCATACGTAAGATCATAGCTATCCCATTACTTCTAGTAAAAATCACAAATTATTCATCTTCCTATACTTTTCACATTCTCTCTAATGCCGAAACTATTAATTTTGCAGAGGTATCTCACAGATAAAATGCACCCAAGAACATTCGATGAATATTTTGTCAAACTCCTTGAATGCATAGGGAAAACTTCAAAGGTGTTCATACCAATAACGGATGGCGGACACCACACCCTGCTTGTCTTCGACACCAATTCATTGCAATGGACGCACTACAACTCATTGAGGGGGGAAACTGAGCAAACCGTTGAATACTACAACAAAAAAGCAATAATTTTGGTAAGACAGACTCCTACTATGAACTGTTAATACAAGGCATGAACAAAACAGTTAATCAGTGAAGCTAACAACATACTTGCCTACAATGCAGGCAGACGCAACAAATGTCTTCCTCAATAGCGTCAAGGAATGTGCTCCAACAATTTTAGAAAAAAACAGCTTCCCACTTCTTGAGTTCAAGAAGCCCGTCTACAATGAAGAATTGACCGACGAGATTGCAAAACTTCTTCGAAACCTGAAAGTTACACCAGCAATTGCTCAAACAATACAATATCTGATGAAACATGATCCCACCAAATTCAACTTTAAGGAGGACAGGGAATGCGCCCAACAACCTGAAAAGTCGTAAGTTTCACAATAACACTTTTCTTCCCCCAATTCAAATTAAACTATGATTCACTAAATGTTGCATATATATATGTGTGTGTGTGTGTGAATTTGCAGAAACGATTGTGGAGTATTTGTCATGTACTACATGCAAAAGTTGTCACAAGGAAAACAAATTGAAGAAAGCTTGAGTACAGAGCATGTGTGGGAAATGAGAAAAGAAGTTTTATTGAAGACAATGGAAAGTGAAAAAGTTGGTATTTCACAAAAGAGAATAAAGGATGAAAGCATGGATTTCACAAATTTTAGAACTATAAAATAGTAAATGTTCGGCTTCTAACTTCCAAATGTCAAATTGTTAATATGTAGCTTCTAACCAAAATCTTTTGATGCTTCCTAACTTTCAAATGTCAAATAGTTACTGTGTAGTGAGATTCAAATGTAAAAAATTGTTACTCTATAGCTGCTTCTATATTTCAAACTGCGAATTAACAGTGTTCAAAATGCGTATTAACAGTGACTTTCAAAAGCCCAGCCCAAGTTGAGAAAATCAAGGTCAGAAACGAAGTAAAGCCCAAAACAAATCAACCAAGCCATAGAAAAATACAGAAAAAAGGCCCAGTCTAATTTGACAAAAAAAAAGCCCAAACAAACCAAAAAAAGAGCCCAGAAAACTCAACAAGCCAATAAAGCCCAATTTCACTAAGCCCATTGAAAAAAAGAAAATATCTCAACGCAGAGTACACGCACGCACCCAAAAAGCGAAAAACCCACTCACCCTCTCACTCCGATCTTTGCGACGCGACCCACTCCAAAAGCAGGCGAAAACCTCCATAACCACCAGGCAGGAGACAACCTCCATAACCACCAATCAACGACAAACTCCATAACGAGAAAGCCGGCGAATCGAAGTTATATTCTGCCATAGCCAAAAGTCTTCAAAATCGACACTACAAAAAGCAACTGAGCACAAGGACAACCAGGAAAAAGGGAAGAAAATTTCTTCCATAAACATCGACAGAAAGGTACAATCTCAAAAACCCACAATGACTTTCCACTTTCGTCTTAAGATTCTGCTAACTAATGCAAGAGTACCACGTTTAATACAGGTAACCAACGAAAAGGTCCAACAATGACAGAAACAAACACTCAAGATTCTTCACAAATGGCTGACAAAGCATCACTATCAGACTCCCAGGTATTACAAAATCTCTTAACGTCAAAGTCCAATAGCAATGTTTTGAAAAGACGCATGTTTCGACTGCAAATGTATACGTTTCACAACTGTTCATACCATGTCATAGAACTTGAACTGTTAATACCATGTCACAACTGTTAATACCATGCATCTTGCTCTTCTAGTGCACTGCGAAGCAGTGCACTTGAAGACCAAAATATATAGCATCCTTTGTTAATCAAAATCTGTGACTGCTATGCATCTTTCTCTTCTAGTGCACTGCTTTGCAGTGCACTTGAAGACCAAAAATATATAGCATGCTATGTATCTTGCTCTTCTAGTGCACTGCAAAGCAGTGCACTTGAAGACCAAAATATGTAGCATCCTTTGTTAATCAAAATCTGGGACTTCTATGCATCTTGCTCTTCTAGTGCAACATGCACTAGAAATGTATATGAAAAAAAATCGTAGTGCACTAAAAAAGAGAAGCATGAGGTTCAAATGCATAGAAGTAAATGGTTAATACCATGTCATAGAAGTATTAATACTTATGTTTCATCTTTCTTTTGTTTAGTTAAAGTAACCTATTTGTTTCACTTTGCAGGTGGTCATATGGAAAAAGGTAACCGGGTTGAAATTCAAAAAAAAAGCATACAAAAGGATCACAAGCCAGCAAAAGCACAAAACAGCATCAAGAAACACACAAGGCACACCACCAACAACAGCAAAAGCCAAACTATCCACACCCAAAACCGCAAACACACTGAAACCAAAGAAAACAACGAAGACAAAAAAACACAATCCCAAACACAAAAACCTCAACCAAACAGACGCAATAACCCAGATTATGTGCAGATCAAGAGCAACATGCTCACATTTGACAACACATTGCAAACGGTAAAAGACAAGCTTGCAGCAAGAAAGGATGTCCTCAAGATCCTACAAAAACGCCATTCTGGAGCATCATCAAGGCTTACATGGAAGGTCAGTTAACCAAGGTAGAATGCCAGAAGTCTAATTATCAAATAATTAAACTAATCAGACTCTACAACCCCGCAACCAAAAAATTCAAATTCAGTGAAGGCAACGAGCATGAAATTACAAGCAATGATGTGTCTGACATCTTTGGATTGCCAAACAAAGGAAACAAGTTGCCAAGCACAACAACTTCCACAAGAACAAATTTGGCCTTCGAAAAGAAGTACTTCGAGAAGTCAAAAAAATCACAAAAACTGAGATTGATAGGTGTCTGAACACAGCAATAGCAGATGACAGAAAGAAGAATGCAATGGATGTTGTCAGGTTGTTAATCCTAGAGCTCTTCATCACAAATCTCTTTTGCAACTCTGGGGCGACAATGGCTTGGACCTTTTTGACTATGATCGACACATTAGAAGCTATGAACAGCTACAACTGGGCACAAGGAGTCTTAGATTACATGCATTATGGACTGGACCAAGCCATAAAAAATAAAAAGGACAAGACAAATCAACCAAGCGTCAGTGGTTGCCTTGTGCTAATCCTGGTAAGAAACTACATCCATTTGTTAATCCTGTTATTATTTGTTTTCATGTGCATTAACACTTTATATTGAAAAACATGTTTGCAGTATTGGCTGTGTGAAAGAACTAACCTGATCAGTCCAATTCCTGGAAGAGAAGATCACAAACCAGCGGCTGTCAAATGGAGCCTTCCGGAGCTCAATATCAAGCTGAATATTGCAACATATGAAAACATTAAGGCATTTTTCTTACTTCCATAAACATATATAATGTTAGTACACCATAATTACTACTGACTCCAATAATTCAACAGATAAAAGCTGCTGACAATGAAAAAGAAGAAGCAACAAAGACTGATCATGCAGACCATGAAGAACAAGAAGAAAATGAAGAGGATGATGACTTTGTTATCACACTTAAAGATTGGGTAAGATAACCTACAATGATCCAACATTTATATTTCAAAACTGAATTGATAGTGTACAAACACATATACATGTATATAAATTTGCTAATACTTTTTTTTTCCTTTCTAATATTTGTGACAGTTAAAAAGTCAAACACAAAAAGGAAAAAGCCAGACTGTTATTACCCAGAAACAGAACTTCAGCTTCCATGAAAATGTGGACCAAAGTGCAACCCAGACAAAAACTCCACAACATGAGCAAAATGAAGACAATGCACAATCATTGGGATGCAAAGCAGATGATGAAATTGAAGAACCACCAGCACAATCATTGGAATGCGAAGCAGATGATGAAATTGAAGAACAAGCAGTTGACCTTAGTGCAGACTCAGTGACGGAGGAGGACACTGTTAATGTCCAGCAACAGAACCCAGAACTTGACAGCCAAGAAGAAGACTTCGACTCCATTTTTGTGGACATAGTGGGGTCAATCCCAGAGTACTACAAGCATGAAATAGCCCTACCCATGAGAAAAATCCAACAGCTGAAAGAAGCAGTCGACTATTGGATTGAAAAGGCAGATACTCGAAGGGATATGATGCAGACTGCTATAGAATCCTGCATAAAGAAAAATTCATTCATTCAACAAATATGGACTGAAAAAGAAGAGTTGGAGCAACAAATTGAATTACTGAAAAAACAGCTTGAGCAAGAGAAAAAAGAAGGTGCAAAATTACAAGGGGAACTTCATGCACTCAAATCAAATAGGAGACAGCTACAGGAACAACATGAACTACTTGAAGGGAAAAGTTGTCCTGCATTGAGAGCATGAAAGAAAAAGACACTGTTATTGCCTCTTTGCAACATGTGATGGGAAAAAAAATCAAACAAGGTGAACAAGGAGAAATTCCAATGAAAGAACAAGCTAATAAGGAGAAAAAGATGAGAGAATAGCAGAAAGAAAGTGAATTGGAGATGCAAGAATCTCCTAATGATGAAGATGAGAACGCTGATGGAAAAACTCCTGAAAAGTTAGTTATCATGCAAGCAAAAGAAGTAGGAACACGGCAGTTGCGTTCTGGCATCAAAATAATCAAAGACAGAAAAGACAGAAAGCCTGCAAAGAAACCAGATTACACATACCCCGAAGCACATAAGAAAGGCCGAAAAAGAGCAAGCCAAAGCGAAGATGAAGCAGCCAACAAAAAAAAGGAGGACAAAGATACATAACTTCAGTTGCACATGTATGAGGTCTACAACAGGCTGGATGAAATATCAAAGAAGAAGTTGGAAAATTACTGGAAATCTGCATCTGATTCTGACGAGTAAGCCAATCTGTCACAGTGTTACACTGTTAATACTATGCCTTAGAACTGTCATAGAATTACACTGTTAATACTATGTCATAGAACTGTCTTGTTATTAAACTATTATGAGATTATCATTTTTAAACAACATTCTTGTCGCAGGGACGCTTTTTACCTACAAAATAGGACAATATTGTACAAACATAACATTGAAAAGCTGATGGGAGATGCTCCAATTTCTGCACTAATCATCGATGTTTATGGAGAGGCACTTAATGATGATGCGAAGCAGAACCCTCAGAAACAGAAAAATGCATATTTGTCCGCCAATAACTATGTAAGATCACATCTAATACATCAATTTTATATCATCAACATGCTCACTAATCACCAACACATGACTTTTGCAGATGTTTTTGCGAGGTGCCTCACACAAGCTGACATATCATGCTTTTCTATATGCCACTCCTAGAAATATTGGAAGAGTTTGATAGAGTGTTCATACCAATTACAGATGAGAACCACCATACGCTGCTTGTCTTTGACACCGGTGCAGCAAAATGGACACACTTCAACTCATTCAGGGGGACATCAGAACAAACTCTCCAATATTATCACAAGAAGGCAATTGTTTTGGTAAGTAAGACTGGTGATTAACACTGTTAATACATAGGACACTAAATTTAAAGGAAACTAAGCACATACTTGACTATGATGCAGGTTGAGACAGCAAATATATTCCTCTGTCTTCTTAAGGAATGTGCTGCAGTATCACTGAAAACAAAACTCGTCCAAATTCCTGATTTTGATGCCAAGAAGCCGAGAGGGCTTAATGAAGCTTCAGCTAGAATGATAACAAAATACTTGCCAGCAACGAAACTTACACCAGAATATGCTCAGACAATGAAGTATCTGATTTGTCATGATACTACTAACTTCAAGCTGACTGAGAACAGAGAATGTCCCCAACAAGCAAACATTCGTAAGTTACGCAATAACAGTGAAACTTTCATCCTATTCAACTAAAAAAATACTGAAATAACTCCTGCATGCGTATCTCTATTATGCAGCAATGATTGTGGCGTCTTTGTCATGCACTTCATGAAGCAGCTTTCCAAAGACCAACAAATAGAATCAGATTTCAACAAAGAAAAGGTCTGGCAAATGAGAAAAGAAGTCCTCATGAAAATTATGAGCAATGAAAGAAGTTGGATTTCCATCAAAGAAAGAGAAGAGAGAAATGCAAAATAATGAAGTTGTAATCAAATATTTTGCCAAAATTCTTGCTTATATTGTAGTTTCTTAGGACTTGTGTAGGTTTAGAACATTGAAGTAAAGTGATTTTCAAATTCAAGTTATGTACTTATTCAAAAACCAGTTTATTTACGTGAATTAACAGTGTATGTAACCTGAAATAATGGTCTCCATAGCACTAAAACAACTAAAAAGGTGAACTACAACAAATAACAACGCACTCTCAATTCAATGTTAATGCTATTTGATAGAAATAAATTGTTAATACCATGTCATAGAACTATCTTTCAATTTCAACAATGGCATGAACAGTGAGCATTAAATAGTGTTCGTTCATTTATAGATTATTCAAACAGCAGTAATGCTTAATTCATATCAAACTTCAAAACCGAAATTTGCAAAATACCAAAATGGTAAATATTATGTATTAATACCAAAAATTCAAAGTGTATTCATATGCAGTGACTGCTATTTCACCGTATTAACAACTTGCATATCAATTTCTATTCCTTTCAACTATGATTGTCATTAATCAATCACATAGCACTTTAACTAGTTAAAAACTAACTACTCTCATTCAAGTCTTTATACTCAGAACCTTTACATCAAATAGGAACCTTGCAAGTCCTCCTATTATGACGATCACAAGAACCGCATCTCTTGCACTTCACCTGCCTTTTAGTTTCACTGCTTGACTTGAAGCGCTTTGTCGGAGGTCGTCCCGGAGGCTTTCTTGTATGAGGAGGTAGAAGAAAAACATCTGCAGGAGGAGGCTTCTCAATATCAGGTATGGGAAATATAAGGGTTGCATAAGTAGCCTTATAAAAGTCTGCCTTGTAATACTCATCCACAAAGTTGTACAAACATAACCCGGAATGTTGGATAACTTGAATCGCATGCTGACACGGAAACCCAAGCAATTGCCACTGATAACAGGAGCAAAACCTCTCGTCCAAATTGACCATAACACTCAAATCAGCATGAACTTCAAAAACAGATTCACTCGCGCGACATATCCTCCAATGACGACCCTTTGCAGCTAAATTCTTCAACTCATCCTCAATAACAGGACACAAAACACTACTCCATTTCTCGGATGCAAGCTTCCTCCTAGAAATCATCTCCATCATTTTGATCCTAACAGTGTCAATCATCTCATAAATTGGAAGCCTACGCACATCCTTAATCCATGAATTAAACGACTCGGACAAGGCATTACTAACCTCCCCATACCTCTTTCCCGGAAAAATGCATTAGCAAAATTTTGGACAGGGAGATCAGCCAAAAACTTATCAATTATTTTTGAACCGCCATCATCTCTTAATTTTTTCAACGTATCTTGATATTCCTCAACAGTCGGTGCATACAACAACTTACAAAAAAGCCATAAAATATGATCCTTGAAAGAGGAACCAACAGCATGCGGATACTTCTTTTTCAAGTTCTTTTCAAATGATATAGACAAAAACCATGGGGAGAAGCAGGAAAAACAGTCCTAACAGCATCGATAATAGCACCATGCCTATCAGAAATGAATGTAAGTTGCCTACCTTCATCAACCAAGACTTCAGATATCCTTTGCAGAAACCACCTCCAATTATCCACAGTTTCACCAGATACAATCGCAAAGGCAAAAGGGAATACTTCTACAAGAAACAGAGAACTATATTAGTTAGTTTGAACTGTAACAGTGTTACCACATAAAGCAGAGTAAAACTACAATGCATAAAAATACTCAGATGCAGGGTATGAACAGTATAGAAACTGTTCATACCACTCAATGGAAGTCAACAACTACAGCATTTACATTTGCATAACTACACTGTTCATACCACTCAATGGAAGTCAACAACTACAGCATTTACATTACATACCTTTATTCCATTCTTTGCAGTAGCTCCTAGAAGAGTACCCTTGTACTTGTTTGTGACGAAAGTACCATCAATGAACAGCATAGGCCTACACCACCGAAAACCATCAATGGAGGCCTTAAAACATATAAAGATCCGCTGGAAACGAGAACCATCCTCGCCACAGTCAAGCACACAATGAGATCCGACATTGCTGGCCTTCAAAACATTCACATACCAAGGCAGGTGAGCATAAGACAACTCCTCATCACCATGCAAATCCTTAGTAGCCGACTCCTTCCCATACCACGCAACATGATAAGGGATATCCAATCCATAATTCTCCTTCAAATCAGTAATCAGCTCAATAGGCCTTACCAAAGGATTGCTACGAACCTTATCTTTGACAATTGAAGACACCAAACGAGACCCCATTGCCTTATTTCTCTTCTCACGGATCAAACCACTGCAACTGTGTGCATTATTTAAGTTCTTAATATAAAAAAATCCATTTACATTCGACTTAACAGCATGCACATGCCACTCACAGCCATTTGATTCCTTCTTAGCACACACAGCAGTAACACGACGAGGCTCATTTTTCAAATATTTCATCTTAAAACCATTCTCAATCGAGTACTTAGCCAACTTATCACGGAATTCACAAACTCCACCCTCAAACTTCTGACCCTCATGAGTAATATAACCCTCCCAATCAGTAGACAAATACTTACGACCTCCACAACTACCATATTTGCCTAAATATTCATTTCCATACTCACTGCTAATACCATCAAAATCCATACTCAAAGAAGAAGAAGAAGCTGCATTTGAATCAACAATACTACCAGTTTGAATTGAATATTTACATGTATCCTCATCTTCTGCAAAACTGTAATTGTTAGGAACAGCCTCCAACAAAAAAGGAGAAGCAATTATGTTCGTATTAACAGTTTGAACATAATTCACTACAGCCTTATCCCTAACAGCAATGTGAATTAATTGATCCTTCGTCAGTCCACATACCATAAACATGATTTTCAAATCATCATCCAATTCCAATAAACAATTGGAGCAATCCGTATAAGAGTACCTCAACTCAAAATGACCTAACTTCAGCTTGAACCTACTACACAACTCGTTGGACAGCCAATCAAAAGTAGTAGTTGAAGACAAAATAAGCATTAAAGTTCCACCACCATAGGTGCACTTTGCCACTCTCGAATCATCCATATCTATACAAAAAAACAACAAACAAAACAAAAATGACTACTAGCAATAACAGTGGATGCCGGGTATTAACAGTGAATTATAGTCGACTCAAAAACCAATAGTGCATAAACAGAAAAACACGAATATACTCAGATTCAACTGAAAAAACCTCAATTAATATGAAAACCAAATCGAATATCACAAAAGTTTCACCACACCTCAAATCAAAACACAAGAGCAAATCCACAATCAAAACGAATCTGAAATCAATCCAAATTATAAACAAAAAGAAACGAAAACCTAATCAGCAACTTAATTAATCGAACATGAAATCACCAAAAATCAGACTACAATATAATCGAATCCTCAAAAAACGAATATGAATTCACAAGAAAAAATCGAAATACCTCAAAATCGAAGATCACAGATCGCACCAAGCTCCAATCGAGTCTCTTGCAGCGCAATATCAATCCAAAAATTACCAAATCAAACAGCAAAGAACAAAAAAATTGAAGCAATAGAACTCCAATCTACACCATACTGAGCTCAGAAGAATCCAAAAAGAAGATCTGAAACCACATCATACTGAGCTTCGTTCGAAGAGGTGAACGAAGCTCGCTTCGTTCGAAGAACTGAACGAAGCTCGTTTGGAATATTCGATCTGCTGAGGCTGCCAAACAGGTTTCTGTTATGAGGTCACCAACGTAAATTTTCAAATATTCCTATCCTAGCTGGCGAATTTTGGGCCTGTTTCAAAGAATTCAGACCAAAAGGTCAAAACCGTAATCTAACATAGAAAATAAATCCAAAATTGACAGCTGTTGGTTTTTGGGTTTATTTTGGGTGTGTTTATATGTTTTAAATAGTCTAGGGTTTTATTATAGTTTCATGTCTAGAATTGGGTGTTTCACTAATTTTGTATGAGAATAACTCAAATTATCAAGTAAAAGAGTGATTTTGTTATACCTCAGGGGCACCTAATGCCCCAAGTAAGGAGCGCCACCAGATTGCCCAACACCATGCTGCCCTCTTCCTGAACCACCTTGCCCTATCTGCGGGTTCGGGTAGCCACCTTGCATTGCACCTTGATTTCCATAGCTTCCCATCATTCCAAGGCTTATACTTGCCTGATTCGCATACCCACCCTGTATGGCATGTCCTGCACCAGGAACACCCGGGTTCACATTCGGAGCCGTTCCAAAAGGTTTGTCACATTCGGAACCCACTCCTTCTCCTCGTTGTTCCCGATTCCCAATTGTCAATCTTCACCCGAGCCCCTGTGTGTAGTAAGACAAATACAATGAAACGTGTTTTACTCTCTGTGTGTGTCTCTCTGTGCTTCACCAACCAACCATAATAGCACAATACCACAATAGCATAGTGAAAAATATGAGAGAGAGCAGATAGATACCAAGTGACAATGGCAGCATCGGATGCCATTTGAACCTGAAACAGTGCTTGAATTGAAGCAGGGAGACGTTTATAAACTAATAAAACTATCAACTAGAAACAAACCATAAAGCTAGCAGAGAGAGAGAGAGAGAGGGAGAGAGCGGAGCACTGTGACTGTGTTTATAAATATATCATGGGAAATAGCTTAAAATGCCACCCATTTCATAATTTTAACTAAAAATATCAATCTCAAAACCATATAAGATGACCCAAAATAAAAATAAAAACCCATCACCCAATCCTTACTTAAAATCACAATCACAATAAAGAAAAATAAATTAGGGAAATATGAAGCCCATATCAGATATCTCATCAATTCCAAACCCTAAACTCTAGAGAAACCCCTAAACCAATTTCATACAAACCCATAAACCCTAAACCAATTTCAGAGCAACCTCTAAACCCTAAAACCATAAACCAATTTGGAAGACACCCCTAAACCAATTTCATACAAATCCATACACCATAAACCAAATTCACAAAAACCCCAAATTTCAAAGAAAAGGTTTATGAACAGTACCTCGTGGATGTCAACGATGGAGTTAAGCTTGGATGAACAGCCACCGTTGAGGGAGAAAGACGATTGCGTCGAAGAGAGAGAGGTTCACGAGGGAGAGAGACGAGCCGAAGAGATAGAGCTAAGAGAGTTAGAGAGAGAAGCCAATTTTTGAAAAACTGATATGGGTACAATAAGTGGACAATAATTTTATATTTATAGGTAGTAGTTGTACAAAAATTAGGAAGGGGTGGTATTTTTAGTTAAGATTATAAAATGGGTGGCACTGGGGGCTATTTCCCTTGAATTTAAACACTAAAAAAAAAAAAAAAAAAAAAACACTTGGGCTATTTCCTAATGGCTTTTACTTAATTGCAATAATCTCCCTTATTACAATTTTGGATTTTTTCTTCTCCCACTAACATTGTTCATTGAATATAAATCGAAGAAGCCCAAATATATATATTATTTATTTAATGGCAAATGATCACGTCGGTGTTGAATTTGATGGCAGATGATGTTTTGGGCAAGAACAGTGAATCTAAAAGACTAGTGTTTGATAATGAGAATGAAGAAACATGAGTGATGATGATGACTTGCATTATTTTATTCGTTGCCTGCTTAATTAGTCGCCTCATTACATAATTTAAATACATGCAATGTATTAACCACCAATTAATTAGTCGCCTACTTCATCTTTGACATAGACCTGCTTCATCTTCAAGGGTTGCGGCCGTTAGTGCTCCTGCTCCCATCAAAGAAGCCATTGAATTAATCTCATCTCTCAAAACTACTGGCAAATATGGCTGCCAATAAGTGCCCCAGTCTTCTTTTATTTTCTCTTCTTTTTTCCCCCTATTCTAACGTCAAGGCGTTGTCATGTTTTACTTTCTGTGCCAAGCCAGCAACGCACCCTTCTTCACGTTTCACTAATGACTTGAACAATTATATATTCACGAATTTTCTGAAATCTATTATTCTCCTCATAGACGCAACTATATTAAATTACATTGTGTGTGTGTGTGTATTATTCTCCTCATATACAAATTAAGTAACACATCTCTTGATTATTCTATACACATAATTATTTACCCAAAAACATGTGTATATATCTTCTAGAGTTGTTTCAATTTAGTACCCTCAACCTTTATCCTATAGGTATGTCAGTGCTAAAGGCACGTGTCCCACATATCTTGGAAAATTAAAGTTCTGCATAATAGTTTAAATGATCTTGGACCTCTCCACTTATTGCCAATTAATTTTGGATTGAATGCTCACATTCTAATATGGTGTCGAAGCATACTATTAACCCGAATAGCATAGCATATTGAGAACATGTAAAATTCGAAATTGTTGCAATGTGATTCTGACATACCTAAGTACGTAGCAAGTACCCACACTCAATCTCTCTCTCTCTCTCTCTCTCTCTCTCTCTCTCTCTCTCTCTCTCTCTCTCTCTCTCTCTCTCTCTACCCACCTCCACCGCATGGTCCAAGCCCAGGCCCAAAATATATATATATATCTTTCTCTTTCTCTAGCACCATCGATGCTCTATATTGAAATTAAATTAAATTACTGTCATGCTATATGAACTCAAGTCGGATCGAAAAGTTAAATAAAATTTCACAGAATTATTTATGATTTTGATTCATAATGTGTCTAAAAAACAATTTTTATTTATACGTAATTACATAAAATGGGCAGCTAGTTAGAGTCTCCCCAAAATCAACCTAAAAATATAAAAATATGGTATGTATTTGTGCTTAATTAAACGCAACAAAAGGTCTCTTTCTAAAGTTTGTCAAATTTGGAATAATGCAGCTGTTTTCTATTCTAGTTTGATATGATTACGTCATGGAATCACCCATGCGTCACGTAAGAAAACTAGTACGATATGATTAGACCCCTATCAATTCCACTGGTCATCACTAAGCTGTTGTTGCAGGAACCATATATTCTCTTCATTCCACAAATTCTCCACTGATAAGTCCCCACTATTTGATGACCAATAATTGCTTTGCTCAAAACCTGGAAAATCTGAATTTGTTCCATATTGGTAGCAACCCGACCCGTTGTCTGAACCATATTGATTCGTAGATGGATTGTTCATGAATTGATCAGTAGTAGTAGGGTCCGGAATTGAACAAACTTGAAGCTGATCTGATGACTCTGATGACGTACTGCCCGATGTTTCAGGCAGGAAATTCGAGTCAATCCAGTACTGAGATTCGGATGCGGTGGTGAGACGGGTACTCTCAGTACTGGGTTGACCCGCTAAAGATTGAGGCAATGCCTGGATCCGCTCAATAAGGCGGGGAATCCAGACGTAACGCATGGCGTCTTGGAATTGTTTGCTGTTGACGTCGCATTTGAGCTGCTTTGCTTGCTTTTGGACTCTTGTTCTCCAGTAGTTCTTTATCTCATTGTCCGTTCTACCAGGCAAGTATTCGGCTATCTTGGACCACCTAAATTTGATTTCCATGAAAAAACAAAATTAATACAAAGGATTAAAGTTAATAGAAAGAATCTAATCAATGATGAAAATATATATTGAAAACTGAGAGCTAGCTTATAATTATGTACCTGTTTCCCCAGCGCGAATGAAGTTGAAGAATTAAAAGCTGTTCTTGGAGGGTTATGTTTCCTCGTCGAACACTGGGCCGCAAGTAATTTAACCATCTTAATCTGCAGCTTTTACCAGTTCGTTTAAGGCCTGCAGGTTATTATGTAGAACTTTGTTAAGAACATATGTATTGATCATAAGCCAAGGCATGAGTTGATCAAAGAGAATATCAAGACTTAAGCACTCGAAATTTTAACTGCATAACAATTTACGTCTAGTTATATATATATTTTCAAAGGCTTGAAGGAAGAAAAATGTTAGCTAGCTAGTTACGTATGGCACCGCAATTGCTATATCGGACTCGACTCGTTATTAATCTAGTGATATTTTTCTTCACAGAACATGTCGAAAGATTACCTGCATGGCGAGCCAGTGAATTCCAGCGCCCTTCACCGTGGGTGTTGATGTAATCGAAGAGAACGGAGTCTTCCTCAACCGTCCATGGTCCTTTTCTTAAGTCTACGTCTTCTTCTTCACTTGGTATTTGATCATGAATTTCTGCTGGTGCTGCTGATGAGCCATAACCTGCTCTCACGTGATCATGAACATGAACATCGGCCATATCCATCTGGTTTGAGTTAATTTGAGGATATAGAAATTGGATATAAGAGCTACAAGGAATTCGGATGGATTGGGGTTAGTGGGTAGGATACAGAAATTAATTAGACTTGTTCGGATTTCCTTTGGGGAATAGATTTGAATGTGATATGAGGGGTTTATATATAAGATAAGTTGAAGAGAGAGAGAGAGAGGTAAGACTGAAAAGAGAAAGAGAGAGAGAGAGAGAGAGAGAGAGAAGGATTTGGACTGACTATATTACTAAAGAAGAAAAAAGTGGCATTTCTACTGTGCGTGTGATAGAACGCGGTCAAGACTCAATTGCTTAATATTCATATTTATTATTCTACTGAGAGAGACATCCTCCGTTGCGCAAACATACAGAAACTCCAACCATTTTTTTTATAATTATATATTTAATCTGGAGTTTGACCCTTTGACCTTTGCACCCATCAAATTCTCACGCGTGGGTCTTTTCGGTTTACTGTGAAAACTTAATATTATTTTATTTGAAGGCGTATATGGGTTTGCACCATGTGAAGAGAATGCGAGAGGCAAATGTTCAACGGGAGCTAGAAGTAAATTAAACCTTGGGATGACCTACCAATTAGCTTCTTGCTCTAAAAAACTATGATGTGTGGTTTGGTGCATGCACCATAAACCCATGTCATTGGTCAATAGTTAGCCAAAAGTTTTAGTTATTGACTATATACGGTTTTAGGTTGACCAAAAAAGACGATTTGGTACATATGGACTTAGATGTTAATTCAGAGGGTTTCAAATAATAATTGTGTGTTTAAATGATGAAGTACAAATTACTAAATTCATTAGAGGAATGAGACAAGTACAGGCGGGACGCCGTACTTTCAAAAACTACTGGTTACAATCCTCAAATAGAACATCTATATACTTATGGAGGTTAGTGAAGGTAATCCAGCCTTGATGGAGATTTGATGGGGGCTAAGCTAAAATTATGGAGATATTAAGTGAATGAATTAACATTAGAGACGAGAAAAGCATATACTAATTGAATTGAAAGCAGTATCTGGTTGTTTTTGTATGTGGTGGCTTAAATGTCTTTGTAAACAGTATATGTTTGTTGGATTTAGAGATACCACCAATATTAGTTTATCATTTAAAACTTCAGAATGATTTTGAAGTAGTTATGGTCATTCTTTACATTATATATATATATAGAGAGAGAGAGAGAGAGAGGTCTTTTCACCATATAATTCTATATTGGTCGTGTTAGGTGAGTTAGATAAGTCCTTCAAATTTTAGTGCAAAGAGTTCTGACTCTGCGAGACCTCAAAGAATATTAAAACAAAACGCTACAGAAGATGCAATTCATTCGTACTAACGAGTTGACAAAAAAGAAAAGTCAATATTTCTCTTTGTTTTTTTTTACCCCCTCCTTCTAGAAGAAGGCAGCTGTGGTTTTACTGAGATACGGTCAAAGACTACGCCAATGCTGTAAGTGATTTGAAGCATCTAATCACTTTACGAGAATATTTCTCTTTGCTTTTTTTTAATTATAAAATATATTGAAAATTCAAGTGCTTAATTATGCTACCTAATGCTTTTCTCATAACCTAATTTTTTTAGCATTTCTATATAAGTACTACCAAACAGATCTTGATCCATGGTAAAGTGATCAATTGAAACTGGCTTGCCTCAAGTGGATCAACTTCAGATCACAGCATTAGATTAGCCAGACGTACCTCGGATTATTATTCTCTGCTTGTCAAGAGCTATTGAACTTTGACAAATATATGAATTAAAAAAGAAACGATATATATATATATATATATTCGTTTTGGTTATATTCCTACTCCCTTAAAAGAGACTAGAAGGAAGAAAGGCCAACAAAGATCAGCACAGATTCTTACCTTTCAAAGCACTACCTTAGACAAAAATAAATAAAATTCCATGCTTCGTCGTTAACTAAAGCAAGTTTCCAATACCCACTTACCATGCAGATGGCTTCATTTATATTAACAAAATCAACAAAAGTATCATCCCATCTAATAATTAATAATTCAAGCAGCTTCTAGATTCTTACTTATTTTATTCACAACACAGACAAACTCTCATCCATGAGATTTGAATCCGAGAACTTTAGCAAGTGACAACTAATAAAATTATTCTATTCTAGAGAGGGGATTCAAACTTGATTGTAAGGGCAAACACACTACCATATCAAATTGACTTAACCCATATTTGCGTTCGCAATCTAGTTTGTAAATTGCCTTATATTTATTTTATTTTTCTAATGAACTGAATGTACATGGCACATAAATCAAACGTTAGAGTTCCTGCTAAGGAAAAGGAAAACAAAAAGATAGTGAAATTATTCCACATAACAGAAAACCCCGACCAAAAGAAAAAAAAAAGCGCAGTCAAAAGTTTTATTAGATAAATGCTTGTAATGGATTAAGTGGAATTTTAACAAAGGAAAGCATGGAGGTAAAAGGAATAAAGAGTGGAATAAATCCACAAAAGCAACATTTCTTTTTTGTTGGAAGTAATCTAATACTTACTTTTGGTCAAAAAAAACACTAGGAGCAAATATTTCCGAAAGTTTGATGACTTTCCCACGAGAAATTATTTAAATGAGTCTAAGATTCCTCCTACAAAGCTATCCTAAATGATCTCAATCTTTGTTGTGTTAATTCTTGTACGCACGGCACAGGTACAGCAACAATTAAGAAAACATTCTCTGAAAGGGATTAGATGCTTCAAATCACTTGAAGCATTAGCGTAGTTGACCATATCTCAGTAAAAACCGCAGCTGCATGCGTTCTTCTAGAACAAGGGGGCCCTGAAGAAAACAAGAAGAAAATCTGGAGAAAGGAGAGGACGAAGAAAACAGAGAAGATCATAGTTTCTAACCCTGCCTGGAGAACGGAGAGGAAGAAAACAGCCATGTCTCTCTCTTCTTCAACATTGATTGGGTGTGTCTCAGAAGAAAAAGCGAAAAGATTATGTGATTAATTGGGATATTACTTTCATCCATTCCAAGTAACTGTGGCATAGTTATGATGATTATACACTTTCAGTTTTGGACGTTATGATTATATAAACCACAAAAAAACTTGTTTCAACTGATGAATATAGTTTTGATGGGATTGGTTTCTTCGGGTATGACAAGAGACTCCATGGACTCAAGCGCATGCTCTTGCTTATATAACTGAACTAGCCCAACATTTTGCCGACACTATACTACAAAACTTGAAATAGACAACCATGTTATTTGGTTTCTTCCTGTATTGATGACTGAACTAGCCCAACATTTTGCCGACACTACTAAAAGAATAGAAAAGACAACGTCTTTATTCCTCCAAACCCGTTACGGTTGTGACCGACGTATTTTCACACTCCAATTAAGACAACTTTGCACCATCGTTGATTTCAAACAACGATACACATTCTAAAATCGTCGTCTAATATAGTTATGTAGACTTTTGGCATGTGATTTAATATTGTTGGGATGTTATCCATATGATGATTTTTAAATGTATATTGTTGTTTGAACGTCTTTTCAACAACAATGAGGTCGTGGTTATGGTGATTATACAAACATTCTACAACGAATATTTTGGAGAGCCTCACAATAGATTCTACGAAGAAGGCATATAGAAGCTGGTATTTTTGGGCATTGCTATTTGTACTACCTTTATTGACCACATCTCTAATATAAGTGGGTCCAACATACACCGTCAGTAAAGGTTATACAAATAGTATTATTGAGTATTTTTTTACTCGAGATAAATAGAGAGGGAATTTTGCAAGGGTAATATAAAACAAATAAAAAATGATTCTCCCGTCATGTTGATTGTATTTTAAAAGTTCAAATTGAATGGACACACTAAAAAAACAAACAAAATTATCTGATCAAATTATTATGGTAAAAAAAACTATTAATATGATAATTAATGACTTAAAATCATATGTTTTTCCCGTTTTCAGCCAAAAGGATACTAACAAACAATGCCAACGTATTGGTTGAGTCAGCATACTAAAAAGGAATATAATCTTATGTGGTAAAATAGTCAAATAACTTAGATCAATAAGAAATAATATGAGGATTAGCTCGTGAAATGTTCTTATCTCACACTTCTCACTGATATGACATTGATGTATCATTATAGTTGATGATATACCTTGGAATAGAAATCCAAACAGTATACAATAATGAAAATGTTTTGTCTAAATAAGGAGAACCACACTGTGTACGTGCCCTCAATTCAAAGATACAACTTTCAATCTACATAGAATACCGATAGATAGATGTATTATTCTCTTACATGTGGCTTCCCTACCCTATCCAACAATGCGCTCTATTCTCTAATCGCAATCAACCCTATTTTTGGTTCTCATGAGGAAGACGCTAGCAGCGGCAATGACCGTCATTATCATGATTCATGTATCTGATTTGAGAGGCTGCTCAAATTTTCAAAGACGAAGAGAGTTAAACTTAGTCATCCACGTGTGCGTGACCGACTGATATTGATTCATAGCATAATTCAGATGCATTAATGGCTTATAATCACCCAAGCGTCACACGACTGAGTAACTGTTTTTTAAAAACCAGAGAATTGTGGGGACTGGGAACAGTGTATGTCAACTATCAGATCATACCAAATTACCAACCAATATAAAGATTTGATTTGAGAAAATTGTGCAGCTAACAGTAGTCTAGATTCAGTGGCACCATAAGTACACAGTGGTCTACACGTTTGATCAAATTTTAGGGTCAATCGACTCAGTCACGGGGATGAATTTGACTAATCGCCATGTCATTGCACTACCGCACCACAGTTACAGAAATGTATCCTTATAAATGAATAATAAATAAAAACAAATCCTGAATTCTGAATTCATAATTTCACAATCACAAACCAAACTAATACCCAAACATACAAGAATAAACTCAAAGGCAAGTATTAGAACACAATTATTAAACAAAAATATATGGGTGATCAATCAGGGTCTATGAGGCCGATTTATCTAAATTAAGTGCAAAACGATCTCCGTAACCAATACGCATGAATTTTTAAAATTTTAAAACACTGACATACGAGAATTTTTCTAGAACAGTGAGCCTGTTTCCTTACATCCAATGACATTTTATTGCCAGTAACTCAAAATTACAAAATGCAGCAAGATTTGCCAGTAATTCAGGGCTTTTTATGTGTTGGGTTAAATGGATGAAGGATGAGGGTTTTGGGTTTATTTGTGACAAAAAATTTGGATCCGGGCTTTTTGTGTCAGTAGAATAAGACATGAATGAGGCCCATATCCAAATGGAGTCTGGTGGCAACAAACCAGAGAGGGACTCGTGCCCCTGTGAATCTGTGATCGTGATTTTGTGGTCTTGAGACTTTTGAGTATGACATGTTACTTGCTTTTCAGTTTTGTATCTCTCGCTGTTTTTCTTCTGCTTTATAATTCGTGCTCATCTTTTTTTTGGTTTGACCATGTCTTCTGCTTGTGCAACGGCTCTAGCAGCCTGCATTTCAAGCCCAAACTGTCCCAGCAGTCTCAGCCACATACCCATTTGGAGAAGCTCTTCTCTAAGAGCACCACCACCTTCTCTCAGTGACATCTCCTTCAAAATCCCATGTGGGTCTTTCAAGCGAAGCTCGAGCCTCACTGGATTCAGAACCCTCTCTCCTGTTATGCAATGGCAGGACTGCACGTAATGCCACCTCTGCTTTGCTTCTATAATACTCTAGTTTTTTTTTATCTGTCTCTGTTTTTCTTGTTCGTCAGTCATACAATCAGGCTATCAAGAAATAGTTAATTGGTAGTATAATGGAGCTTCAATGATTGCTTAGACTGAATCCACATTAGAAAATAGTTACTGATAATCCATACTTTTCAGAATTGAATATCAATTAGTATGTAGCTTTCCCTTTTGATTGGAGGTTTCCCTTCTTATACTCTAATTTGTATTTTAATTTTGATTATTAAGACTGTTGTAGACCAACTTCTTCACCGTAGTGCAAATAAGTATTATTCTTATTTCTGTCTTATTAGATTTGTGTAATCAAATGCACAAGATATAGGTGGTTTCCACTAGTAAGTGGTTCTTATTCAACATATACTTTACCTGGAAAATGTCCTGCCTGTTTATTAAGTTGATGCTTCTTATGATGCTTAATCCTTTCTCAGAACCCAATGAAAAACCATAAGTAGTATCAAACGAGTGCTTGGAGTGAGGTCTAGCACCTTTCTGCTCTAAATTCGGGCAGTAAATGAAAGCCTTACTAATAATGTGATCAAATGCAGAGTGAAGATGGAAATTGATGTGCCAATTTCAGTTGCTTATGATTGCTACTCTGATCGTGAGGCAATTCCCCGTTGGATGCCCTTTATTTCAACTGTGAAGGTGCTAAACAACTCTCCCGATGCTCTTTAGATGATCTCTAATCATATTTGAAGCAAATTTGCTTTTTCTTTCTGGTACTATGTAACGTATATCCACTTGTATCAATACTTGTTGCAAACCATTAATGTTTTTTACAGCCTATATTTTATTGTCAAGCAGTGAAATGTTGAGAAGTCTGCTGATTGTGAGGGAATAATTGATTGTCCTATAGTCTGATTCCTTAAGAGTAAAATGCTGTAGCTAATATTTTTCAACTTGGCTGATCATAGGTTCAGTTTCGCATTTTTGAAAGATTGATATTTGATATACTGTTTTATAAAAACAGATATTGGAAGACAAGCCTGACCTATCACGATGGTCACTTAAGTATAAAGCTTTTGGCCGTGATATTGAGTTCTCATGGCTTGCTCGAAATATGCAGGTAAGAATTATGTTTTAGTTAAAATTTGTTTTTCCTTCCACAATTCCTCCATCAACTGTAAGAGAAATTATGTGTCCTTACAATATTCCCTTTCTCTATGTTGTGTAAATACCTTCGTGCAGCCTATACCGAATCAGAAAATCCACTGGAGATCTCTGGAAGGTCTTCCTAACAGGTGAGAAGAAGAGAAATATTAGAAGAAAGTTGAAACTGTGTACTTTAGTAGACTTTTTGCTCAATATTATAAATGTGTCTTTTAGGGTTTAGATGAAACATTTGGAAAGAATGCATTATAAGCATTTTTTTCATAATTGATTGGGGTTTATGTAGTGTCGATGCTTGTGTATTGTGTCATCCTAGAGCTTATATAACAAATTACCAAATCACTTTTAGTTATTTGGTTAAAATCTACCAAGGAAATATGGTAACTCATGTGAGAATGCGAAGATGAAATGTTCCACATTGGAAAGGTGAGAAACCTAGCAAGGGCTTATAAGGAGTTGGGCCACTCCCCTCATTTCCAATTGGTTTTGGGGTGGAACCTCAACTTCCTTCATGGTATTAGAGCAGGTTAGCCCATGTGTGAAAGCCCAACGGTCGCACATGCTCCACGTCACCTAATATGCGTCGTCCACGTGTTAAGCTTGAAAATTCGCCACACGTGCGGGGGCGTGTGAGATTGTGAAGGTAAAGAGTCCCACATTGGAAAGTTGAGAAACCTAGCAAGGGCTTATAAGGAGTTGGGCTACTCCCCTCATTGCCAATTGGTTTTGGCATCTTAGGTTCATCTTAAGTGAAAGTTTTGTATTTCATAAGAGGGAGTGAATACTCGATAAAAGAGTGTAAATTGTTTGATTTCTTGTTTCTAAAAATTATCTGGAAGTCACTGTCTGGTGCAGCACAGACATCGATGCTCATGTTATTAAGGTTGCAACATAGGAAAATATAATAATGAGGGAGGAATGTTAAATGTTGTGTTTGTAGATTGTATGCAAATGAAGTAGACGCTATTTATTTTGCTTTCTATGTTGATATGAGAATCTTGATAGACTGTTTTACTTGCATGGCAGAGGTGCTGTCCGGTTTTATCCAAAAGGTCCTTCATCATGCCTAGTAGAAGTGAGGCTGCTCTTTCAAATATTGACTTTGAATTTCTGCAGTTGTAGTTCTTTGTGGTGTTATGAATCTTCTTTACACGCTTGTCTCTGATCAGTGACAGTTTGACAGTGTTCAATGCCTCTTATAGGCATCAGAATGCCATTCAATTGATGCCTCCCTGGGGGGATCAATAATTTGCAATTAGATTATTTATAATTTTTGCTCCATCCTTGGCGATCAATTGAATGGCCTGGACAGACATTCATTGGATTGGTATAACACAAAATAATATGCATTAACATGGTTTCCTGTTCTAGGTGCCTCTGAGTAATGGAAACGAGGAAAAGAGCAACTTTCTTTCTGATTTTTCCATGTTGTATATCTAATAGTGCTCTTATCGTTTTTCAATCTCAGCTAACCGTGTCTTATGAAGTTCCTCCAATCCTGGCTCCAGTTGCATCAGTAAGTGTTCTAACTATGGTTTAGATATTATACATTCTCTAGTTGGGAGACCCTACACAGGTTGAAAATCAATTCAAATATAAAGATTTTGTTTGATAGCATTGCTTAAAGAACATAACAAAATGTTGTTTACTTGACGTGGGATGAAATAACCCATCATTCTGATTTCTGATATGACGTCCTCCAGGCACTGCAACCTTTTCTTGAAAGTTTACTTGGACGTGGCTTGGAAAGGTTTGCAACATTTTCAAAAAGCTACAAATCAGACTCGACGGTATAACAGTTCAAAAGGTTAACCGATTCTGAATGTCACGAATTCGTTTAACGTGGCAAATGTTTCCAATGAAATATAATACCAATGTGCTATCATTTAATTTGTTATCAGTTGTAATACCAATGATTTTCTTGCTGAAGAACAAAAGGAGCACAATGAAGATCTTTGTGAGATCATTTGGGTCAATGGCCATCTCCTAAACGAATGGCTTTCTCTGTTGGATATCTCTCCCCAAAAGAAAAAGAATTAAAGAAATTATGATACCTTTAGGCTTGGAGTCTACATAATCTTTGTTACTTGAATTGTTTATGAATGGATTACTTGACTTGTTTATGCTTCCATGTTTTGTATCAATCAACCTTTGATACGGAAGAAAATGGATGGTTCGCTATCTATCTCTCTTTCTGGAAGTTACACTAATGGAAGTCAGGTGTTAGACATAAAAGCCCCGTGAGGATTTTCCTGTTGGCTAAAAATCCGTGTTAGATTTGTCCCATCTTTTTAAAATCAAGCACCAAAGGACGGGGAAAAAGGAAAGAAAGAAATAGTTCATTGAATTATATAGAAAATCACTTAGTAGCTGGTCAAATGCTAATCATATATTAGGGGTTACATTGTTGAGAGCCAAGTGCTAAGAGGACAAAAGCAGAGGAAGAGCTAGAAAGAAATGAAGATCCAAATAATATACATAAAATAAATACACACGAGAGGATTAGAAATGGACTACATCGGATGAACCAATCACTCTGCAGTGTAAACTAAAAGAATGTATGAACATACATCTTTTTACAACACAATCACCATCCGCGTCCCCCTTCTTATGTATGTACATCAACCCAGAGCTCACAGAACACCTACAAAACTGATAGCTGCTTTTTTATCTCATGACTGAAGCAGCCAAAACAATGTATGAGGGAGACATTTATTTGAAAAATTATATCTACAATCAACCGCTGGCACTTCTGTCCAACAAGCTCCTCAGACTACATAGGGCCTCCGCAGAGAGGCTGCAGCACCTAAATCTTCGTTCCCGCTGTGGTGATGGTTCTCGAGGATCAAGAGGGGAGAAGCATACCACAATCACAGTGAGATTATCAAATGTGTTGAGGCGAAGAGCCTCCATAACAAGATCCCTGGCGCACTGCTCCGGGTCATCATGCCGCCGTAGCCCACGTCGAACAAGGCTAACTGCATGCTGACTTGACATCACATCCCAAATCCCATCACACCCTATAATGAGAAACTCATCATCCTCTGTTAAAACCACTTGCCGGAACTCTGGATCGGCAATAAGGGGTGATGAAGAACCACGAGGAAACTTCATGTCCCAGTCGCCTAATGCTCGGGTTACCGATAAGACGCCATTCAGATACCCGTCATCAACATATCCACCCAATTCTTCAACCCGCTTCCTTTCTGAGGGATAAATGGGCCTGTGGTCTTGAGACATATCGATTGCCTCTCCTTTCCGGCAGAGAACAGCTCGGCAATCCCCAGCATTGGCTACCATTAGAAGCCTGAAAAAGAAGATAATAAGGTCAATCACCATCGAAGAGAATAAAAAGCAGAATGGACAAAAATACATAATCGCCAATACTGAAGAGGCATGCAAAAAAAAAAAAATCGTACTCAGCATAACTTGAATCAAAATAAAAGGTTGACAAATCATACATGGGATATTAGTTTTGATATCGAACTATGCTTGATATAGTAACATAACACCATATGTTTGTGAAATCAATATTAGATATTTGAAATGAAGCCCAGGTAGGCCAAGGAAACAGGTTATTTTGGCACAATGGGAAGGGAGGAAAAAGAGTTCTAAGGCATAGATATACCTTCCAAATATCATAGCAGTTAATGCTGTTGTCCCAGATGAACTGCTTACACTGCAGTCATCTGCCAGCGCAAGGTCAACCAGATGAAATGCCTTACGGAGGGAGTTCTCAAGCTCCTCTGAGAAAATCTCATCAACTTCAGAAATCTGAGGAAAATCGGCATCTTCAAAAAAAATCTGAGCATATTTTTTCTGACATAAGATGCCGCTTCAGGTCCTCCATGTCCATCAAATACCTATATAACATTTTCAACCTCAGTAAGCATAAAAACTAGCAAACCATCAAATTCAAGGTCATTGCAATTAGAAGTCCAAAGTGATATTATTACCCCATACAAGGCACTTGGCGTGGGAAAATTAAAGAGCGATCCCAAGTGTGAAGATAGATCATCTATTAGTATATGTTCATCTTCCATATATCTACGGGGTCCGATGTCAGCAAAGCTACCAGAACGGAGCCTAGGGAAGAATTGAAGATCAGCCGATTCTGGAGCCAAATCAGGAATTTTATCCGCAGGTTTAACATCCTGACAATAAGTAAAGAATAAGGAATTAAATGCCAAGATTTTCCATTGACACATATAAAATACTACCATACTGCCTGGTAGCATTGTTTCTAATGAGCAGCAACTATACAGTAGAAATTGAAGGCATAAGACACGAAGAGAATGTATGATGTGTATCCATTCCTAAGATTTTCCAAACCTATGTGAATCAGGTCAAATTTTCAATTCACCATGCAATTCATATTTGTTTAAGTTCATTAAGAATGCAGATAGTTGTTCACAATTATAATTATGTAGCGCTAAGATCATCATATAAACCATCCGTCCAGACTTGCAAGTACCCAACACTCACACAACATCACAATTCTATGTCAAGAATACAGTTTTCTCTACTTTATGAGACCAAAAAGAACAAACAGATAACTTGATACAGCACGGGTTCTGAAATGAACCAGAAATCTACAAATTGCCAGCTTTGAAAATCGGCATCATACATGGGCAAAAAGTCAACATTGATTTTCATCCACATCGAACCCAACCAATGTTTTGATGAATCATGGTAACAGAGTACCATACCAGGCGGGCATCTTTTATTTAAGGGTCCTTTATTTAATCATCACATTAACCAAATAATAATTAGTTATCTAACAAGAACAAAAACTTACCTTTACCTTGTAAGAACCAACTTTCGCAGTTCAATTATAAAACAAGGTAATTCACTCTAATTTCTTATATTTATGTGCAAAACTTCCATCAAAATTCAGCTACCCAGTAAGCACAAAACCCTATATTTTAAAAGTCAGAAACCATAAGTATTCAACGCAAGTACCAAATTCAAGGTCCAAAACTATAACCAAAACAAAAAAACCCAGATTCATGATCACCTAAAACCAAACTAAACCACATCGCAATTGACAACTAGAAGATCAAACGGTCCAAAAAGCGGAGCATCAAGGTCAGAAAACTCACGGCTTGAGAGCTCGTTATAGCATCGGAGACGGATTCCGAAGCACGATTTCGGTCAAAATTCTTGGGCGAAATCGACTGTGAAACTGCAACTACATCTTCAACCTCTTGAACATTAGTCCCTTTACCAAAATACTGAACCTCCAAAACGGGCACGCTCTGCTGACACACAATCTTAGCTTCTGCCACCATTTTCTATCAAATCATACCACACAAACAAACACCTTTAAGAAAATGATTCCAAAACTTTGTTAAGCTCAAAGAAAACTTCAACAACGACGACGACGAAGAGAATCAGATAATTTTTGTTATTTTCTCGCGGTTTCTTGAGACTTTTCTCGCACTTTCTTTTCGGTTTTCTTTCTTTTTAAGCTGAATCAGCGAAAAATTGAGTGAGTTTGGCTTGAACCGGTATTTATATGGTCGGGTTGTTTGGGTGAGAAGGGTTACCGGTGGCTAGCGGTAAGGTTGTTGGGTCATTGACACGTGTGGGTTTTCAGGAGCTTTTACAGTTTACTGTTGAGAACAGCAAGGATTTCGCTTGACGGACACGTGACGGTTTTTAGGTTGACGCGTGACTTTGGGACTATTGCTAGGGCTGTTACGTGGAAATTACTCAGACGCCCTTCTTCCATGAACAGCTTGAATGAACTGTCACTTACCGAGTTGACTTTTCAGCGGGAAGGGGGGTTGTATGTGGCATTGTCGGTTGTTTCAGAGGGTAATTTGGGGAAAACGTGGCTGTTGCCGCGGAGAAACTTTTTATTGGCATTTTCAGCGTTCACACATTACAATGCTTTAGCTGAATGCGTGCTGACGTTGGAGGGTGATCATGCACGACAGCATGAAATGAGAGAACTTTTTTCTTGAATTGACGGAAATGTCCCTGTTCTTTCTTTAGAGAGGGTAAACCGCATACGACAAAAGTCGAGCAGCTGCTTGTTGAATGTCTCATTATATATCTAACTTGTCAAACGCGCTCCTCGAATGATGGGTGGGGCCCAGCTGTTTGGACGGTCAGATACCAACACGTCCAAATGGTCTCATCTCATCTAATCTCTACAACTACTACTTCTTCCATGCAAACCTTCCACACAACCAACTTCTTATAGAACCGATACTCAAACTGATCACGCCAACACCGATCACATTTGCAGAGAGTTGAACGTAACAAATTGGTTGTACGCATCAAACTGCCAATCCTATACTTCAATCAATTTCTTTTCCCAATCAGCGAACCGATCATTAAAAATATCGACAACATATTGAGATAATGTAGTCTATTTGAGAATCATGTTATAGTAAAAGGTTCAATTTGTGGATTTCTCCATAGAGGTTATGGTATATTTGATGTATGGAGAGTTATTGCCTTTTTTTGTTGTTGCAAAATTAAGAAGTGATATGGGGGTTTTTCTCTCATATACTATTAAAGTGTTACGACAACTGGTTTGTAAATCCATGCCTCTTTTCATCAAATTAAATCCAATTAGCAGAGAGTTGTTATATTTAATGTAAAGAATACAGAAGTTAAGAGAGAAATGCCAACCCAGGTACGTGTCATTCCCATAAGTAAATTAAGTTTACAGAAACCTAAGATACTAGTTACGTACATGTACATATCACTGCTTTTGTTAGGTAAAAAATTTATGTGTTGGCTCATTATTGGGAAAATGTGCTACGTTGAAACTTGAAGGCCTTGCATGATTGACAGATAAGAAAGATAGCATCATGAGAATGTATTGTTTCGGGATTTGGGATCTAAGGTTGATTCTAATCTGAGCAATGGTGAAATTATTGTAACGTACCTTTCTTATCCACCCTTCATATGATGATGACGAATGGATATCCAATTATTTGGGTTTTGGAGATTCGAGAACATTAGGTGGCGTTTTAAGCGTGGCTCTCCTACATCTCATGTCTTAACCAAATTCCTTTACTTTTCTTATTACTGGATGTGATTAGGTGTCCTGCCTCCCTTTGGACACACCATTTGTTTTATTTTAAATTAATTATGCTATAAATAAAACACAATCCTTAATTATGCTAAAGTGGGTTTGGTTTGGTTTGGTGGTCCGACTGGTCAAGTCACTAATTATTTCTATGTAGACGGTCCTCAGTCTTAATTATTTGTTAATAATGACTTATGAAACCAATACCTGGAAATTAATGCCTTGTGGATCACCAAAACCTAAAATCTTTCACTAATTCATTGTTGGTTACCTCAATTACAAACCCATGAATTGATTAATTTATGTAAAGCACTCATTATGCGGATCCAACACAAATTTAATAACCACTACCTTATCTGAAAACTGGCTGCCATCCATTAGTTCCGCTTGAACATCCCTTGTCATTGAAAAAGCTTGGAAGAGCAAGGAGGTGGATAAAGGAAGAGAAACATGTTAAACTCTTCTTCTTCTTTTTGTCATTCGCTAGGAAGGGAGAGGGGGCAAAATTATATTGGGTTGTCTTAAGATTGTCTTTTAAAGCATTTTCACCTATTTGCCATGGCAAAAGATAAGGGGAGACAATGACTGTTACTATTCACATGATTAGTCCCTATACTAGTACTTTATTTGTTGGTTTTCCACTCATTGTCATGGCAGCCCAAATGCAACTACTATTCACATAAGATATGAGGAGATGAATTTGTATAGAGTTTTTGGTGTGGGAAGTGAAGAATATGCCTAAGTATTTATATAGAAAAAAAAATCTAACATTTTGGGTTTTCTTTTCTTTATTTAATTTTTTTGTTATTTAAATTGGCTGCTAACTTCACAATGACGTTAGCATTAAGTCATCTTACCCTAACATCAGCCCAAGCAAGTCTTGCCCTGGTAAGCCTTAGCGGCTGGAAACAAGATTGGGGGCCTAGGGGCCCTCTTGTTAGGTGCACTTGGAGAGAAAGGGAGAGTTTCGCCCACTTTTCTGATGTGGTGCCACCCCATGTGCAAACGTGTTAAACTCTTTACAACTCACTAATAATAGGTAATTCATTTGTGTTCACTCATCATCCCATATAGCTTCTTATATTAGTAACTTAATCCTTTTGTTAAGTGGATTATCAACTTTACTTTCTTACATTACAAAGTGTAAGCAATTACATATATATATATATGACCTCAGCTTTACTTCTTAAACAAATAAACATAGTACATTGTGCAGTAACTAAAGTAATAAAATACTTTTAATACATCTAGTACTTGGCACAAACTTTATATCATATATATCACTATGAATATGATATACTGCTTGAGATTCAAGGTTCGATTTGAGGGATCATATTTGACCCAACTCGAATATGATCAAATTGGGCCAGGCAGAGTAAAGAAAAGTACAGATCCTTATTTCGACCCAGAACTGAACCCAAAGGATTGTTAATTGTTGGGCTCGTAATTGGTTCAAGTATTCTCAAGGAATTTGTGCCGTTGGGCCTAAAAGAATAAAAGAATCCGATGAAGGATAATAAAGTAATTTTGGTAAACACAAGAAAAAGTCGGATGAGGAGAGAAAACAAGAAAGTCATGGGGAGGGCAGCCAAGTCTCCAACTGCCATAATAGTTGTTTGTTACAAAGCGAGAGACTTTGAAAGTGGACGGGACAGGCCCCACCCTGGGAGGGGTTTGAAGTTTGACCGGTCAAAAGAGGGAGTGACTGTTGAAAGTTGAAAAAGAAAGAGAGAGGTTTGAGGAACGAGGAACGAGGCAGAGAGAGAAACAGATATATTACCAAATAATTGGTTGATTAATAATATTATTTATTAATTAAAAAAACACACATAAATGTTTGAGCTCTCTCTCTCTCTCTCTCTCTCTCTCTCTCTTTGTGTTTTTGAGTTTTGACTGCCTTCTTCTTCACCAAACAGACAAAACCAAACCAATTCCATTCTCATTCATTTCATTAACCAAATTGAACTCCTCCCCTCCCTCCTCCTTTGTAGTTTCTCCAAAATCCAAATCTCAAATCTCTCTCTCTTCTTTCTTTTTGTTTTTGGTTGTTTCAAGTTTCAACAACACAACCCAAAACCAAAGTAAATAGCTTGTAGCCTGGTACTAATCAATCTTAATCAGATTGGAGTGATTCTGATTGACATTTTCATAACTCCACATCGCATCATCTAATCTAACCCACTGCTCATGGCGCACCCTCACGCAGATCGGTAAAATTCTTTTTTTTTCTTCTCTTTCTCCATTTATTTCTCATACCTTTACCAGCTTATATATATATATATATATTCATTTTCCATTCTGTTTGTCTGTCATATCAATTACATTTTTTTCTTCTCTTTTTTTGCTATGTAAATTTTTAGCTTCTCTCAATAGGTTTTTGTACTTACAATTGAATCAAATCCTGTTGGTTTTTTTTTCAAATAAAAATTTTCATTTTGCCCTTTTCTGTAGTGTTGTTTGAGTTTGAGATATGTTTGGTTGCCAAGAAATTGCAGGAAAGTGACAGAAATTAAAATTTGTGAATTGTAGATAAGAGCCTTGTGCTGCAGCATCCGTTTAATTTATGGGAAAGTGCCTTCCTTTGTTTTGTGCTTGCTCACTTCTTTATTTTGGATTTGCTTCCTTGCATCACATATTTAACTGTGTGTTTATTGTCAGTTTTTAGCTCTGGTATGATTTCATTGAATCAATCTAATGTTGAGTTATTAACTATTTTGAAGTTTTGGAAACAAATTCACATTCGGTGCTTGGCTTTGGCCTCTTGTTTAATAATTCCGTTACAGTTCATAGATTCACCAATAAAGGAGTGTATTAATACAAGGAACCTTGTCTCAGCGTTGATTGACTCCAATCAGAACATCTTTTTTATGATCTTAGCAACATTTGGAAATAACTCTCTTCACATATATTGCCATGGGATAAATGCCTTAATGCATCGTTATGCTTTCTGCAGGTAAATTATTGATTTGTTTTATTAATTTGAGAAGGGGAATCTAGAAGGCGATTCGCTCGGTTATTTTTGTTTGAGCTCATGGCTTCCATAAGTGTGGTTCCTGCTTCTGGAATTAGAGAACCCAGTGGAAATGTAGTTGGTGTCGATAGTTTGCCTAGTGGGATGAATGATATGAAAATTAGGGATGAAAAGGTAAACTATGCCACTTCTTTCATTCTTGTATCTCCAATATTTGTTATTTTATGCAAGCTTATACTGATTCTGAAATCTGTATTTATTTTTGTTTTCCTTTTACAGGAAATGGAAGCAACTATTGTTGATGGTAATGGAACAGAGGCGGGTCATATCATTGTCACAACTATTGGTGGAAAGAATGGCCAACCAAAACAGGTAACTTCTTGAAATGTTTTCCCCCCCTTCCATTTGTATAGCTGCGTTTTGTAGTTTCTTGTATTTCAAATTGATGATGATTTGATTTTCCTTTAAATGACTGTAGACAATAAGCTATATGGCTGAGCGTGTTGTTGGACATGGATCTTTTGGATTGGTTTTCCAGGTAATTTTTCATATTACTGTTTTGCAGCTTTTAATGAGCTTATTCTCAATGAACTGTTTGTGGTTGTGGGTCTGCTAATTTTGATCGAAATATTTTGTTTAAATTTATGTCACTGAATTGCTATTTTTATTTTGTTATCCAGGCCAAATGTTTAGAAACTGGTGAAACTGTTGCTATTAAAAAGGTTCTTCAAGACAAGAGGTACAAGAACCGGGAGTTGCAAACCATGCGTCTTCTAGACCACCCAAACATTGTGTCCCTTAAACATTGTTTCTTTTCGACAACTGAAAAAGATGAGCTATACCTTAACCTTGTACTTGAGTATGTCCCTGAGACTGTCCATAGGGTGATCAAACACTACAGTAAGATGAACCAGAGGATGCCACTTATATATGTCAAACTTTATTTTTACCAGGTATGTTTTGTCTCATCTTTATTCTTTACTACAGATTTGTTCTAAATTTTTTGTATCCATACATGTTGTTTGAATTGTAAAATATTGCTTGCAATGCCTTCAGATGAGGTCTGCTTTTGTTATCATTTTGATGAAACACAGTAGATACATTCGGTTTTGAGGAATTTAAGCTTCATTATGTGACTTAAATAACTCTTACAATTTATCAGAGAATAATAGGTAACTACTTTAATTTTGAGCTCTTACATCTAAATCCTTATATCTCTTTGCAGATTTGTAGAGCACTTGCTTACATTCACAATAGTATTGGAGTTTGCCACAGGGACATTAAGCCTCAAAACTTGTTGGTATGTTGATATTTGCTCTGTTTTGTACATTGGTTCCAAATGTGTATGCATGGTTAATTGATTGTGTATCTACATTCTAACAGGTCAATCCACATACTCATCAGCTTAAAATCTGTGACTTTGGAAGTGCGAAAGTCTTGGTTTGTTTTCTGCATCCGGGCATTCTCTAATTATGCTCTTATTTTTACTCTGGGTAATGATTTTACAATACTGAATTGGTTATACATATGACAGGTAAGAGGGGAACCCAACATATCTTACATCTGTTCTAGGTATTATCGAGCACCTGAACTTATATTTGGTGCAACCGAGTATACAACAGCCATTGACATCTGGTCTGCTGGCTGTGTTCTAGCTGAGCTACTGCTTGGACAGGTAGGTTTTGATTTTCAGTAAGTTAATTTCCTTCTTCTTTAGGCTTATATGTGTGTGCTAATTAAGTAATATCTATTTCTGGCAGCCCCTATTTCCTGGAGAAAGTGGAGTAGACCAGCTTGTTGAAATCATCAAGGTGATTGTGAGCTTTGAATTTTTTCAACATTAAGCTGTTGAGATAATGGTAATTGTTCTCATAATGATTTTTCTGACTCTCATCCAGGTTTTAGGTACCCCAACGAGAGAGGAAATAAAGTGCATGAACCCTAACTACACAGAGTTTAAGTTTCCCCAGATTAAAGCTCACCCATGGCACAAGGTACTTGGGATATCACTTGTGGTTTATTTGCTTTCCAAGAACACTGCATGTTAATATTTCTTTTGTGCATCATTGATGATCAGATATTCCACAAGCGCATGCCCCCTGAAGCTGTGGATCTCGTATCGAGGCTACTGCAGTACTCTCCAAACCTTCGAAGTACAGCTGTGAGTATTGTTGTCCTTATCCTAAGAAATTCTCATTGATTTTGTGCTGCATGTGCAAGCCCATGTGGAGTCCATTACATACTTCTTTTTCCTGTCCTATATATGGAAAGTCTGTAGCTGGAGTCTGACCTTAAATATCGTGTATCCTATGTATGGGATATGCCTTACAGAGTGGTTCTGCTCCTGATTGAATGTCAATCTGTCTATTTAAGCTTAGCGTGGTACATTATGCCATCAAGATGTTATTGTAAAGGGTTTATGTTTCCAATGCAGTTGGAGGCCTTAGCTCATCCGTTCTTTGATGAGTTGCGTGACCCTAACACCCGCTTGCCAAATGGACGTTTCCTCCCCCCGTTGTTCAACTTTAAGGCTCATGGTAATAAGCATTTTTGGTACTGTACTTTCTCACTTTGATTTTATACATTGAGATGTCTAATCCTAACCGGTAATTCTTTTTTAATGATACTGGCATTGATTAGAACTGAAGGGAGTACCTGCAGAGATGCTGGTTAAGCTGATTCCGGAGCATGCAAGAAAACAGTGTGCCTTCCTTGGGTCGTCGTAACTGTTCTTAGTAGTTGATGTCTGCTCTGCACAGAAAAATGTGGGCTGCTGTAGAAACGTAGCTTGTGTCCCATTTGAATGTGATCGTCATATTGAAGCTGTAATATTTGTCTTTTCAAATCCCTTGTTTATTTGTCGTTATATTTATCCGCTTTAGATTTGTATGTAGAAGAAAGAAGATTAAGAAGGTTCTTCTGCTTACTAAGTCCTCGGATCTTAATGGGTTTGCACACCCTTGATTATTATGATTATTATTCTTTTTTTCTTTTTATATTGATAGATTGTCATGTAAGCAGATGTTACTCATATACCTCAATGGTTTGTGTTGGATATGTTTGACAATGCGGTGGTACTAAATGACTCGTTTGCTATCTTTTAGGTGGCACAAGGGATCACCACATCCAGCTCAACAATGCAATTGTTTATTTTGGTGAGCATCGGGGTGTAGCGCGATTTGTGCCTTAGCCGTTAGCTGTTAGCTTTAGAAATGAGGTGGGTTTTAACAGAATAACAGCAAAAAATAGATTTTATTTACATGCTTGTAATGTCACAATGACCTCAAGGTTGGAGGAAGGACAGTTCACAAGTGAGGAGAGAGAGGGTGTTGAATGGAACAATACGATTTTATGAAAGTTGATCAGGCTATTGAAGCTTTGCCGCTCAACCAGTGGAGAGGCCGGAGTATGCCCCTTTGCTGGTGCTAAGGTTCTGCATCTGAGGTGTGCTGCAAGGCCTTTCAAACGAGGGAGATGACTTTTAAGTTTGTGTTTTCATTTTTCTGCAGTGCAAACGACGTCATCTTCGCAATGCTTTTGTTTCCTTTTAATGAAACGCGCAGTATTGATGCAATTCTGACCTTGGCCAATTACTACTTTAACCTTTTTATTATCCTCCAACTAAAAAAACCTTTTTATTATTATTATCAATTAAGCGTGTGATGATAGAGAACACACAACCCCAAAATCACTTCCCAAATCTCTCAAACTTTCTCCAGTGCAAATTTAAGTATTCATAACGTCTTGAAGATAATTATTAGGTAATATTTCATGTGGCTTTTATAGTTTATTTCTCTCACTTTAATTTCCCCCCTCCTCTTTAGATCTTGTATGTCGAATTGAGTATTTTATATTTTGGGATTGATTATTGTGCTTAGATGAAAATTAGTATTTATATTTAATTATATTAAATTGATTATTATGCTTCAATAATAATTAGTAGATTTATAAATTTTTCTTGTCAAAACGATTTATGTCTCAAAAAACATACTCTTTAACGCTTTGATGCTTATGCTTCACTTTGTCGGACCAAATACATCTCGGCTCTTTGCTTTTTCATTATTTTTTTTATAAATGAATTATGAATACCATTAGTATTGTTTAAATTCTAAGGGTATTTGGTTGTCTAACTTTTTTTCTTTAAAATAGAATTTTTAAACTTTTAAATATTGCACATCCCCTGAAAAAAATTTGGGTCTGTCATTGCACGCAACATGCATTAGTAAAAGATGTCATTCACACCCTTGTAAGTGTCATTTCTCTCTTATGAATTACAAAAGAGAAGTGTATCTCAGAGTGTTAATCACATCTCCTGAAAAGAAATATATATTTTTCTTGAACAATAAAGAAACCTCTCTGAATATGAAGGACATGGATTTGTCAATAGATGACATATCTTTTTATTGGCAAAAATAATATTGAGAGAGAGAATTTGAACACAAAACATGAGGTGCATGGTGGATGATATGGACTTGGTCGACTTGGCCCGAGAAATTGCTATTTGACTCTTGCTTTTATAGACAAAATTCAGGTTGACACGTGTACAAAGAACTTTTTTTCCAGTATTTCTATCAAGTTATTTTTGTATATGTGTCAAACTGTGAGGAAGTGAACAATTACTATTTTTTATTTTATTTTTTCTTGAGCACATATGTGAAATTCCTTGTGTATGATCCGCCGCCCCATAGACAGTTGAAAATTAAGCTACACAGTTATAGTTTGAGTTGAACCCACCTAAACCTAATCATTTCAGTATTTGAGGCAGAGAGAAGATGAAGGTGGACCATTAAAGAAGCAAGCAATCAACTGAGAAGCCCTGGGCGTATAGATAGAGTGACATCAATTTTGGTCGGCCAGAGAGCTACTGCTGCTATACCACAGAAATATATTAATATTGGAGAGAGGCCTGATAGTGGACTTGCCAACTTAACAGAAAGATAACTGGAAACCTTTTCGGCCAAGCCACACCAACTCATTTCCAATACCAATTGGAAAACCGAAAGGGACCGCATGCGTTTGGTTTAAAATGAGCTCTATTTTTTTTTAGAGTTTTTCTATTTAAACCCCGCACTTCTCTTTGTTCACTCCATGTTTTAAGTTCACTCCAACTTCTAATTCAAATTTTCACAATTTCTAAGAAAACCCCACAATCTTCCCAAACTACCCCTAAATACACACCCAATAAAAGAAAAAAAATTAAAAACTCATCAACTCACACCCCACACCCCACACCCCGCTATCTTGTCCCTCACCACTCTAAGTTCACATCAATCTCACATTACTTAAAGAGATAAAAACACTGTTGTCAAACTCAAATGACGACCTACAAGCCACTATTTGCATACCATATTTAGGGTTTGTGAAGAAAAGATGAGAGTGTAGTAGGTTTCTTAGATTGAAAGAAAAGAGTAATTTGGCAATAAGGTGTAGAGGAGTTTATGCTTTTGTGTTTTTTTAAAACTTAATATGAAGAGTGGTGGGGTGTGTGTATAAATGTATTATGATTAAGTATCAAATTGGATGATTTTTTTGTCTTTTTACACAATAATAAAACTTAAAAACTTAATGATTTAAGTATTGGGGTGAACAAAGAAAAATGTGGAGTTTAAATAAAAAAACTCTTTTTTTATCCAACACTAAAACCTGATTTCGTACGTAGGATTGGATTGGATAGGATAGGATAACCCCCCATATTTAAATGCTCAAATGCATATGCTATCAAACTGCTGTTAGAAATTTTGGACCAAATTCTTAACTGCGAATCGCATAAACACTAATTCGGGTTGGCCACAAATGACAAAAATTTGACGTAATTCACTCCAAGTTGGACTATGCTAATGAGGAATGATGTCAATTTCACTAGTGGTAATATCATTTCTTTGAAATGAGTTGCAGATAATATGCAGAAAGTCCCCTAGCATTATCTACTTAGCAGACCAGGTACTTGTCAAATCTTATTGGAAGTTATGATCATTTTAGCGTCAACCGTCTGCAATGCATATATAATTCAATTCTTTTGAAATGGATTTTGACTCGTCTTCCAAACCAAACCCAAAAAACGGAAAGAGGGAGGGAGGCTTATGGTTCGTGGCCATTATAAAAATATATGCCACTTCTGCAATAACTAGAATTTGGGACCGAAGAAAGTGACAGTTATGGGAAGAACATGGGGGGCTTATGGATTTGCCCACCCATTTCAATTCTTCTTATTCTGTTACCTTTTTTCTGAACCATCACAAATATTTACAAAATAAAAAGAACTGAAAAAGTGGCCAATGCCTAAATGTTATTGGTCGGTTCCATTTCCCGCCCCTAGAACTATTAAAAAGAAGAGAAAAAAAAGAAGATAAAAGTTAGACTGACCTTCCACTACCACTTAGCAATAGTAAGTATTATATATACAGACTCATTCTGTTTCTGCATGAACTCCAAACCAAACAAACACAACCTCATCTTGTGCAACTTGTTCTAGTGTCTTCTTCTACTTCCCAAAACATAGGGTTCATTTATTCTCACATTTGTCTGATCACCATTTCTTGAATTTCAGTGAATCTTTCTTTGTTAGTTATTAATTTATAATTGAAGTGAGGAACTTTGTAATGAAGAACTGCAAATTTTCACTAAAGCTAGTGTTGTGCATTTCATTCTTTTGCTTCTTTCTGTCCACCCAAGCCAGACGGCATAACCATAAACACAAGCACACCCACCCTGACAAGCCATCCTACATTTCACAGCCTCCTTCCCCTCCACCTGATTCTGCTAGCCCTCCTGAAGGTGCTACCAATCCTAATAATAGCTCCTCTGGTGTTTTCGATGTGCGGTCGTTTGGTGCTGTTGGGGATGGCCAAACAGATGACACTGAGGCATTTAAGATGGCTTGGGACACAGCTTGCCAAAGTGAATCTGCAACAAGGATCCTTGTTCCCCGAGGTTTCTCATTCATGATTCAATCTACAATATTCACTGGTCCCTGCCTTGGGGGCCTGGTGTTACAGGTAATGTACTTGAATTATAGGCCTCTTTGATTATTCTTAGATTAGGCCACTTAGGTGACGAGGGACTAAATATGTATTTTCCTTTTTGGGTATTGGGTACATTTGGTACTGAGAAGGTTGATGGAACTCTAGTGCCACCTGATGGACCAGAGTCTTGGCCAAAGAACGCCAGCAGGCATCAATGGCTTGTCTTTTACAGAATCAACCAGATGTCGTTGCAAGGGGGTGGTGTAATTGATGGGAAAGGAGAGAAATGGTGGAATCTTCCCTGCAAACCCCACAGGGTATTTTTAAATTTTTCATTCTGTCTGAATACATATTTTCTTTGATTCAAGCAACTGCTGATCCCATATGAAATCTAATGGCACAGGGGATCAATGGAACCACATTGCCTGGACCATGTGACAGCCCAGTTGTAAGTTGCAAACATTGCTTATGTGTTGTGTATATCAGCCACTTTAAGTAATGAGGTTTAATTCTATACAATGAATTTTAATGCAGGCCATTAGGTTCTTCATGAGCTCCAACTTGACAGTTCAAGGACTTAAATCAAGAATAGCCCCAAATTCCACTTCAGATTTGATAACTGCAGGAATGTCCATATAGAATCGATTTCTATATCTGCCCCTGCTCGAAGTCCGAATACAGATGGGATTCACATAGAGAACACAAATGATGTCCAAATTTATAACTCAGTAATTTCAAATGGTTAGCCAAAAACCTTCAAATCTTCTACCTTTCTCCATTTACTCATGAAAGTTCATAATTAATCCACCCGTTTGTTTATTTGTTAATAGTCTCTGTTCTGTTCTGCAGGTGACGATTGTGTATCAATTGGGTCAGGCTGTTATGATGTAGACATACGGAACATCACTTGTGGACCTGGTCATGGAATCAGGTACATTTTTGTTTTCCATAAATATACATTTCACTAAATTACAGCTTTTCCTTTTCATTACAAACTTAATTTTCATTAAATTTGATCAATGTGTTCCTTGTTCATCCACTCAGCATTGGGAGTCTAGGAAATCACAACTCGCGAGCATGCGTCTCTAACATTACAGTTCGCGACTCAATAATCAAAGGGACGGATAATGGAGTTAGGATCAAGACATGGCAGGGTGGATCCGGATCAGTATCGGGAGTAACATTCAGTAACATTCACATGGATAATGTTAGGAACCCGATTATGATCAACCAATTCTACTGCCTTAACAAGGGGTGCACCAACCAAACTTCAGCAGTCTTTGTATCAGACATACTCTATTCAAACATAAAGGGAACCTACGATGTTCGGAGTTCGCCGATGCATTTTGCTTGCAGTGATGCTCTCCCATGCACTAACTTGACACTCTCAGAAATCGAGCTTCTTCCTGCTGTAGGAGACATAGTATTGGACCCGTATTGTTGGAATGCTTATGGAGAACTGCAGACACTAACAATTCCACCAGTCTCTTGCTTGTTGGAGGGTGTTCCTCGATCCCTACTGGTCAATGACATTGAGCATTGCTGATTCAGTGGGCTCATCTGTAAAGCAATCCATGTAACATACAAAATTATTAAAAGACGGATTATAAATCTGTCAGTCTAGTAGATCTACTGATGTCATTATAGAGGAGTGGTGTTTTATGTGCTTCCTATATTTATAAATTATAAAGTTATGTTTCTCTACATCTTTACGTACTTCAGTAAGTCCCACATGATTTTTGCTTCTAATTAATAGAGATTATAAAATTGAACTCTAATCCGTCACAATCCATATCAGTAACACTCAGCGAGCATTTGTGGAGAATAGATATAAGAAACTTTTCTGCTAGAAGTAAACTTGCAAAGGATGCAAAGAAAAAAACAAAAAAAAAGCAGCCATGAATGCCTTTCAAAGTTGACCAGTTGTTTCCTCTCATTGTGTGCACCGAGAAGTATGTGAAAATGCGCATGTGATATTGAACAATCTAGGCAACATAGCAGTTGATTTTGAACTTGGGACCAGCAGGGCAGTTTAGAAGTCTTGTGTAGAAAGTGTACAAGTTGGATTGCAGCTTCAAAATACGTGTACTCTCATCTCAAGCATTCTACAAGTCACATGATTTATGCTTACATGAGTTTAGTCTGTTTCATTTCAATATCAATATATCATTAAACCAGCAAAAGCCACCCATCAACTTCAACTCTATGCAGTCTCAAAAGATTATAGTAATTAAAAGCTTAATTCTCTGATGCATGTTTGTCAAGTTGATGCATAGTGAGCTAGAATTTTTTAGTTCTTCCCTATCTGCAACAACAAAGTCCCACAAGTGAAGTAAGTAACCAATGAACTCTCTTGCAGATACAGTATTAAAAGTCTAAAAGGTGTTAAAAGATGTGGTTGCAAAGTTTTTAGCACTAAATTATAAGTGTAAAGTTTTTGTGACATAGCTAGTCAGAATTATTTATTGATGGATTTGGGTAAATGATGACAGATTTACAATACCACCCATTAATTAAAAGAAAAAGTAGAAGATTCGAATTTTTTTATCTCTATGCCAATATTGTTTGTGTGTGGAACTTGGAAGATACAGAGACAAGAATGAAATAAACAATAGAGTTAAAACTGAAAAAGGAGGGTACAAACAGGCATAAAAAATATTCCTGGCAGTGACAGGATGAGAAATCAAGCTAATAATTTTAGAGAATAATATATGTGAGAGTGAGTGAAGTTACGAGGATTGTCGTCCACAGCACTAACTTTAATTGGAAATGGGAGCTCAAGTGGAGGTTGGGAGGGAGGGAAAATTCTCTTTAGCTTTTCTTGCAGCACGCGCAGTGGCTGCCTAGACTACAATAATAATCATAACCATGGATGGTATGGTAGACTGTTCAAGTATATGAGAATGAAGATCCAGTTGAGCGTGTAGTGTTTTGTAGACTTTATGTGTGTGCTGATAAAGTGTAGGTCGGTGCACGGGCTAATGTCCAATGGCCACCCACCAACTTGCCTTTTTTAATCAAACATATACTATAGCTAAACCTCAAGAGCCTCAATATCCATATCTACATCTAGTTTAGTTTCAGATGCCATGTCTTTTCTACTATCCCACTCTACTTTCCTCCATGTTTACAATGTCATTCGCACAGTAATAACGTGCGGACATCCGGATGAGAGAATAATTGTGTACATATATATATATATTCTTTTTCATTGAGTGATGGGGCTTACTTGTAGTTTTGTGCAAAATTCTCAGTACAAATAATAGTTTCTCAACTCTGAAACTGAGATGTATCTTAGAAAGTTTCTCCAACATAACCATCAGGGTCCCCTACCTTTTTCTGCATTGCAACTTAAGCTTTTTCAGCTTTTGGCCCATGTCATTCTCTCAGTTTCTAGCTTACCCAATTTTTCCATTCCAAAGTATGAATATGGCTTTGGCTTGTCATACATTTATTGATTTAATTCCTAAGAATATAACTTTTGGAGTTATGGTATCAGATTTTTGGTTTTGAAGCCTCTATGAAATTCTTATTCTCCATTTATTTGTTAAGGTGAGGCTTCATGTGAGGTGTAGTGGGGAGAATTATTGTCTAGAAATTTAAGTTTTCGAGATCTAGTGATTGTCCAACAACGTGTATACAACACACATTAATCTGAAATCCATTCAAATTTCCATGTCATTTTTTTAATGCGAATTTTTGGAAGGTTTGAAGTTACAAAATCATGAGTGTTAACCTAACCATCCATGATACATGATGTGCACAAGGAAAAACACAACATCTGGACCAACATTTTCCATGCTCAGTGTCAAAATAGTTTTGAAAAATTGAACTTATTTGGAAGGTACATAATGGCAGGGGAAAAAGTAGTGCGTCTTCTAGCAGCTTCAAAAGGAGAGAGAGAGAGAGAGAGAGAGAGAGATCTGAAGCGCATACATACTGCCATAGAAATGCTGGAATGTCGCATGAATATGGGCATGGCAGGCTGCCTAAAGCTTACCCAAAAAGAGAAAGGAATCTAGCCCACTTAGATCATCTCCCATCTACCCACCACAAACCAAGATATAAATAAATAAATATATATATCAATAGTACACGTAAAGAAACAAATTCATTTGCCATGCTTGGGCTTATTGAGATGTAATTAGAGAGGTACATATTTGTGGAATAAAATCAAGTGCAACTTCTACTTTAGCTGTTAGTGGAAGAGAGAATAAGAAGCTTATTTGATCAATCATTTATGTCCTTTTTTCTTATTTCCAGATCTTTCTCAATGCCTCTAAGTTAATTTTGAACAACCAAAAAAACAAACAAACAAAAAAAAAAAAAAAAACTGGCTCTAAAACACAGCAAGGGAGTCACACCAAACATCAGAAAGACACCGTAACATCACAAAATCATTTGCCGCATAAGATAGTAAATTTACTAAATCACAGACATAATTTAGCAAATTATGAAACAAGACTTAATCTTTGATGTGTCAAGCCCTGATTGGTTGCTTCTGCGATAAAGAAATTTCACCATTAAATAAAATTTGCAAGGGTACATGCTACAAAGCAAATACTTTTATTTGGGGGATTGTCCGATGAACTTCATTGAATCTAGTACAGAGTGGGGACTTCGTGTTGGCGAAGGATGCTGGGGAAAAAGTGTTCAATGAAAAGATAAAAAGCTACTGAATTAAAAGCGTAGAAGTCAGTCAGTGTCTTGTCATGTGTGTGTTACACAGTTTCTTTCATGAAACTTATGTTGGCTGCATTTTAGGAGTCTATTTGATCATACTGGTCTTTTCAATTATAAATAAACAAATTTTTGCTGGTTTTTCATTGATAAGATTGCACATTCATCTTCGTTTTAACCAATCAAATCACACTACATAGTAGTTTTTTACAGACAAATCATTTGCCTAAAGGTTGCAGCTGCAGAGCACATATCACAGGTTACGTCTGCCATGAAGGTATAAGAATGTGTGAGAATAGTGGTAGTGCATAAAATTTAATGGTAGAACACCATCATTATCTATCCTTAATATGGGGAAAGTATGCACCTTAAAAGTTTCATTCCCAGGGCTGCAGTCAAGGCATCAGTTGCCCAATGAACTGGTGAACAACAGTTACCACCCTTTTAAGCTTCCTGAAAGGTAGAACAGCATGTGGAATGGACTCAATGTAACTATCAAAATTTTGAGAAAAGTTAAACCACTGAAGAGCGATTGATAAGGATATTCATGCATGCGCAACAACAATGTATTCATCTCAACCATGATATACTAAAATTTTGAATCTATGCCAACCTGTGCAGTAACAGCCATAGAAACACTGTGTTCAGACCATCGCTTGAATTGCCTCCACAAGGATTTGCACTCGACAGATTTGATCAATGTTTTGAGGAGGAAACCTGCACAGAAAATAAATATATAAAAAATCACAAAAGCTACTAGGTTTGAAACACCTATGCTAACAATACTTGATAAAATGCAAACTAAAAATTTACAAGCAAGAAATAAACAAAAGAAAAGGCACCTCTTGCCAAGTGCTTGAAGCCAGTGGGTCAGCTGTTGTGATACTCCTATCTTCAGCAGCAGCATTTGTGGAATCCATCAAGGCAAGGGATAAAGTATTCTCAATATTATCAGCAGCATAATCATCCAAACGGACTGAAAGCAATAGCAACATAGTTAGCAAAGCTTCAGGGAAAATTCAAACTCAAGTTCTAATAGATGATATAATATAAATCGTGCCATATTGCAGAACGGGCAGTTACTTCCTACCTGCCCTTCATACAGGTCAAAACCCTTCCAGCCTCTTCCTTTGTTTTCGCTTCCACTACTCCTCTTGCATATGCCTTCAGACTTGAAAGTGTTTTGCCCTTGGATTGTTCATCATATCAAAACCCGAAAATGCACTAGAGATCCCAGAGACAGCTGATTCTGTCTCACACCGGAAAAGATTTCTTATTGAAGGCCAGGTTTCACCATTAACTCCATCTAGAAGGGCTTCCAACCGGTCTTGATAAGGCATCCTCCAATTTTTCCTGCAAAAGTAGTCAACAATAAACATATAGGGAATGAAAACCAGTGAGAAAAAGTTCTCCAACATATATCTACCACTACAAACCTGTGAACTCCTTAAAAATTAGCATATCAAACTAGTTTAGTTTCCACTTCATCCCACTTATTCCCTTTTAGTTTCTTCTTCCACTCAAATTCTTCCTCGAGTTCAAAAGTACCAGTCACCCCAATCATTTCACAAGAGGCAATGAATAAAATATGTATATTTACCTCATAAAGTGCAGTAAGTTCAGATAGCTTGGCAGCAGACTGAAGCAATATGGGCTTCTATATCACGTTTAAGTTGATCCCTTATATTTTAGATGTATCCCAGTTTGCTTGTGTGATAACAGAGTCTCACCACACATTAACTCAGTCAGGAATCAAAATTTCACTCAACTTTTCCTTGAGATTTGTTTTAAGAAGTGTATACAGTAATTTGTCTTATATTGTATTCTTTGGTTCATATATTTAAAGGATTCTCTTATACTGTAATTCATTTTTTGTATTTTATACTTGAGTTTCAATTTAGGCTAAAGGAAAGATATAACATACCTGCACATCCTTCATCAAATAGAGCCATAAATGACTCAGAGCAATTACGAGCAGCCACTGAAAATGCCTCCTCACCATTCAAGGCCTTATCAAATGCTTCCTTGAACTTATCCAGAGAACCAGATCTTATATGTCCCAGCAAAGCTTGGAACGCAGGTTGGACAAGCTAACAATACAGTGAAAAGAATCAATAACAGAAGAAAAACATATGAATCAAATTGATGAACAGTGAATGTTCCCCAATCAATTTGACATGCATTGCAGATTCAAGGAGGAACCAGAAACAAAATTTGACCTCCACTCTCTATAGGCAAAAGGATGCTGAAAATGCAGCACCCTACAGTCTCAGTTCAACTGCTATCACCCATCTATGGCATAAGGACAGAAGGACAGAAGGGGAGCAGGAACATAGCTGTCACAAGAATAATATCGAGATTACTTACTTGCAGCAATTTTTCTTCAAGCTGCTTGCGCTTTCTGACACCTTCATCAAAATATGTAGCCTGTGCATCATACCTAAAATACCAAAATAAGCAAATTAATCAACTAAATACAAAGAATTATTCAGCCATACAAGTCAAAAGGTGTACTTACTACTTAGAGACAGCAGACGCCTTAAACCTTAAAGTTGCTCAGTATAATTGAAGTGATGGCAATATCATTTGCACATTTGGAAAAAGATAAGAAGGTAACCAAAATTCTAAACATAAACTGACATAAAAGATTGTGTTGTATAGACTACAGAACGGAAAGCAGGAAACTAGTGACCATTTTGTTTCTGTTTTCTCTCCTTCTCTTCTCTTTTCTGTTACTAGTACTACCATTTGTGTATTCTTCCATCTTTATCAAGGCCTCAATGTGGATACATACCCAAAAAAAATTAAGGAAATAACATGGACGACACTTGATCAGCCACCATTTCCAAAACACTATTGAAAAGAAAACAATGCTAAATTATTCGTGAATACCAAAAAGCAAGTAGTAAACTTAGATCTTCCAGTTGACTTGAATTAGGCGGAATTAAGAGTCTAGCACATCATAAATACACTAATCCAGAACAGAGGCAAGTTGGAAATACAAGACCCTTACACCATCATAGTGAATTTTATATGTCTTCACCTAAAGTGCATGCCACTCAATTAAGACGATCTTCACGAGTCAGTTACAGAACTTCTCTCTCATTAGATCAAATCATATCCTATAGCTTTGACGCAGACAAACCAGATGAAGATACTTACTCTGATAGACAAGTATCAAAGATTGAACTGAGCTTCTTCCCGAAGCCAGAGACAGGACCAAATTGAACAACCTCTTCCAACTGGCTCCACTCCTGTGATAATTAGGAGTTCAAGGGCCACCGAAGTTACAACATCAACAAAATTTTAAGATAGAAAACATAGCACTAGATGAAAAACAGGTACCTCATTTCCTGAAAAATCAGCATACTTCTCATTGGCAATCTGTTTACAACGTACAGTAGCCACCATGACCTACAATGGATGGAATAAAAGATAGCTTATTCAAAACAATATGCATATAATACATGAATAGCGTAAGTGAATATATTCACAGATTATAAACATCAGAGTTATTTTATGTGGACTAAACAATCGCAAAATAAGCTTGATAGAATCGTGTTCTAGTAAAATTTTAATGGAACGGTGAATAAAGACTAAGATTTTTAGTGGAAAACCATTAACTATTCAAAATATCTTTCTCGGTATGGGGAAAATGAAACCTCGTCAGGAAGTCACATGATACTAATTCCACAAATGAATGAATGATAAGGGCAAGGGGTTCATAGCGTATTGCTCTAGAATGAAAAAATTGCATCATTCCAAAAATCCAATGTTTCACAGCAAGAGTAAGCACATCAAAATCAAGTTTCATTTTATCAAAGAGCTAATCAGAGACAAAGAAGTTGAGGTTTTGTATTGCAAGTCCCAGGACCAGCTGGCAGATTTGTTCACCAAACCGTTGAAGAAGGATCTGCTCATCAAGATGAGGAAATTAATTGGCGTGAATGAAGTCTAGCTTAAGGGGGGATGTTAAGAATAATCTGGACTTCATTAATAATCGACTGGTAAATTAGTAATAGTCGGTTGTTAAAATAATGGTGTGGTAGGAGTTAGTTGAATTACTATGTTCGGTATTAGTTGTGTTTTTCATGTGTAAAGTCAGGAACATCATCACTATCTAAAACTAAAACAGTGTTCCATTACCTCTTTGTCTTTTGATCATTCTCGTACCTATTATTACTCCCACACAACCGTGTCCACCACCAAAAATATTAATCATGTAACCATCAACCATAAATGATATACTTTATATAATTGCTCGAGTATGTCGAAATTGCTATGTAACCACTAATATCAATTATATTGTTATTAGCAAGAATGTAGAAATTTCTACTTATATAATAAGTAGGGAAGTATTTTCCAAATATTAAACAATCGAATTAGTTACCAATCTCAACTTCATTTGTGCAGTGATTGATTTCTTATCACCCAACGCGGACACTTTAGTTTTACTCTTAGTTCGTGAAGCACGAAAGTACTTTTAGTTTCACTTTCTATGTTTTAGTATGAGTTGGACCAAAGAGTATGTTTGACTATTGACATTGTTTGCTAATGAGTGAAAAACGTGTTAATGAGTTAAAAATGTGTTCAAAAATTACAAATGAGGGGAGGAGAGGAGGAGGGGCCATATTGCGCCCTCAGACGTCAGCCAACCTACGTCACATGCAGCAGCAGCATCCACCACTGTCCACTCAACCCAACAACCACCCAACCCCAAAAAAGAAATTACAAGAATATAATACCGACGGTGATGATGACGTCATTGCTTTAGTCGTCATTGTTTTCTCTATAATGGTGTTTTACCATTCTATCCATTGCTTGCTTCCATCCAAATTCTCAGTAGGGGTGGTCGGCCTGGGCCGGTGGGGTAATTTCGTCTTTCCACTTTTAAAGTGTACACCCCCCGGTATCAGTGATGATGATTCTTGGTGACATCAACAACATTATGTCATCTTACCAAGAGCCGTGACTTTTGAGGAACTTAGCTGTGACTTTTGAGAAACTTACTTATATATAAACAAGTCTAAGAGGGCAGGCAGGCACGCAGAGACTAGCTAGTCATCAGAAGTTGAAACAAACCCATTAATAATTAAGCATGGAAGATGAGAAGATTGATGATCACGTGGATACCAGCAGCTGTAAACATTCAGTAGATCATCAAGAAGAGGAAGAAGAAGAGACCGAGGAGATGAAGATGGAGAAGTTTTATTCGTTGATTCGAAACTATCACGATGCTCGTAATCGTCTGCGATCAAGAAAGCTGCCATTTGCATGCAATGAGGATGAAGAAGACGACGACAACAACAACATCTGCATCAAGGACAAAAAGAGAAGAAAGGCGACAATGGGTGATGATGATCGGGAAGAGCCATCTGCTGCCGGAGGAGGAGGAGGTTGGGTGCCATGTTTTGAGTTGGAGGATTTTGGCACAGAGGTTAAGTTACTCTTCCCTCCTCCTCCTCCTCCTCCTCCTTCTCCTCCTCCTCCTCCTTCTTCTAACACTAGTAATTTAGAAACACAAGATGATGGTTTGGGTTCTTTGGACCTTAAACTTGCCCTCTAGCTTATAGCTACTTGTGTTGTTTTGTGTGCTTGCTTTGCGAATTGCATGTACACCGGAAATTACCAAGTCAAGTGACAATTTTCTCTTCTGTTCTGGGTTTTGGGTTAACTGGGTTCTCATGATTTTTGCTTTTCAATCAAATTCAATGAAATTCAATTATCACTTATTTCTTTCTCATATATTTTTTTATGGAAGCAAAGCATCACATCACGCAGAGCGCATGAGAATCTGATTGGATAAAAAAAGGACAAAGGTGGGAAGTAAGGAACCAAGTGCAATTAAGCATATTAATTATTTTAGTAAATTTGGCTTACACCCTTCAAATTCAATTTACCTTACCTAAAACCCTTCACTTTTTGTTCCTATAAATAATACCCAATTTGTATAAGTAAAAACCCATGACTATGATCCAACTCAGCAAGTTACCTAATTAAGCATAAAATCTGATTTATTGTACTTTTCAGATTCCAAAAATACCCCCAACTAAGCCATTATTGTATTTTGTATATTAATGTATGAATCAATATGGAAACAGTTTTTAATTGGATTGTATATAATGACAAATGTTGAATTTGGAAAGATCTCCAAATGGTTGTAATGGATGTAGGAATTAATTTTGGAACATTTTTTAAAAAATTTAACAATAAATTCAAATTTAGGTAATCGGTTTGTTTAATAAAATGTTTATGTTATTTTCTTTTTATGAATTATACATGACTAATAATCCACTTTATAATTGTTTATGAATAAAACTGTACATACTAATTATGTTGAAAAAATAATGTAACTATTACTTGTTTGTTTTATGAAAAACATAATTTACCTAGTATGAAAAGTGTACATAATTATCTATTCCAAACAATGTACCTATGCACATTTACAGGTATATTGTAAAATAATTTACTTGTGGGTAAATAATGTACCTATATTTTATATAAATTATTGTGTACCTATTTTTAATTATGAAAAATATACGCAATTACAAAGTAACTGATTTTTTTTTTTTTTTTTTTTTTTTTTTTTTTATATACCTATATTTTATATGTATATATTTTATATATATATTTTTCATAGATACATTATTGGATATGTAATTTACAGATATTTTTTTTTGTTTGTAATTTTAGGGGGCGAGATGTGAGAGGGAATGACAACTAAAAGAAATGGGGTGATTGATATGTTATTAATAGGGAGTATATTAATTACAATTATGGCAGTTAATGAAATGCTTGAAATAAATTATAAATAAAATATGAAGTTTAGTGGCAATGATGTAAAAACATAGAAATACTACGACTTTTTATATCCTATTAGTCATTTAAATTTGAAATTGGGTTTTACACATAGATTTATAGAGTAATTGGTATATGTCTAGGAAATAGAAAATGTAGGGATCTATATTGGATAAGCCCTAAATTTGTTGTTAATCAAGTTATGGGTTGCTTCTGCGCTCCTTCGTGGCTTGGCAGAGACCCCGTGATACATACATGTCAGGTCAAGTTGATGATGTCAAGGTTGTATCATTATTATTCGTTTCTTTCACGGGACCCAAATGCCACCCTTGCCTAGTTCCCTCTTAAAAAATAAAAAGATGTTATAGATCCTGAATTAAGATCTTTTCATAAATGGTAACGTTTTGCTAAAATTAAAGATGGGGTAGGGGTCCGGATATGGAGTATGGCCAAAAAGAGGAAAGAGGGGGATGGGATGGGCCAAAGCCAACCTGGTGGCGAAAACGAAGCCTCTTGTCTTGGCTTTTGTAAATTTCGTGGAAGGACGTGCCGCATCATCACAATTTGCTGTTTTAATAATTCTGTGAACCTTTCTGACTTAAACTACTCTTTCTTTGGGTTTGGCCCTCGCCAAACGAGTATCACATGGAGACCCATGAGAGCAAGAAGAGGAAGATGATCATTAGCAATGACGTTGATGCTGCTGAAGCTGATGATGAAGAAGAGAAGATTGAGAAGTTCTCTGCTCTTATCAACAACATCCGGGAAGCTCGTCACCGATTGATGAATGGTTCGAATGTAATATTGAAACGGGAAGAAATGAATGACAACAGATCAAACAAGAAGAAGAAGAAGAAGAAAGTGGAGGAAGAGGAAGAGAAGGCCATAGCTGACGTTTGGAAGCCATCATTTCAACCTGAAGATTTAATTGAAGAAGAGGCTCATCATGAGTTCAAAATGCCACACGTGATATCTGGGATTAGTACTACTAATAATTCTCAAAGCAGAGGCTGCTGTAACACAGAAATTTGTAAACAAGGTAATAATTTAGATCTCAGGCTGTCTCTGTAACTGTTCATTGGGTGTAACATATATACATATTGTCGAAGAAGCAGTTGATGCAGAGAAATCAGTTCGATTACGATTACAAATATGCTTTGCTCTAATTTGACACAATATCTCTATGATGCAAAAGATAAGATGTTGAGTTGCCAAATATTGACTCACTCCAAGGACAAGAAACTGAATTGGCTCTAGTCAATAAACGTAGGTACAAAAGATAAGATGTTGTTATGTATCAACGGTGACAAGAGCAATTGGGTTCTGTTTTTATTCTCTTACTACACTTCTTAAACCCGCCCACCCATACCAATTGGGCCTATAATTACAAAAATGCCCATGTCTATATGCTACATTGTGTATCATTTCTTTAAGCATTTCCAGCAAGGGGCCCGGGGGGGGGGGTGGTGTGGGGGAGGGGGTTGGTGGGGTTTGGGGTAAAGACTCATTTTCAGCAGTGGAGGCAGGCCAGGGCAAGATGGTGGGATCCAGCAAAACTGGCTGGCCCGTGCTGACGTCATCGTGACGCCAGCGCTACAGTGTCGCCAACAATTATGTGCCATGTGTCGTGTCCTGGGCTCTCCGATCATAATTTTTGCTCCAATCCAACGGCAGTCAATATTTTTGTAATAAAAAATTGAAAAAAATACCAAAAAATTACTTCTTTTTTTTTCTCTCTATACCTTATTTCCATTTTCAACATTTAAGTAAATGTCTTTGTCCTTTTACTTTTATTTATTTTTATATTACTCCATTTACTTAAGTTTACAATGTAAATAAGGAAGTACCCCCCATTTGGATTCAAATAAAATTACTAGAAAATCAAATTCCCACCAAATCAAAATATGAAAAATCGGTTTTAGTGCAAAATACGATTTAGGCTAAAAATGATGGCTCATTAAGTCAATATATACTTCATATTAAAATCTCATAAAATCAAGTTTTCTTATTTGATGTGCAAGGAATAAAAGCCGCCAAAAATTATCTTGAGAAAATGATTATTCCGAAAAACCATTTTTCATACTTAGTCAATATTGCACCTCCGCTTTTAATACTTTTAACACCAAATCCTCATACTTCTTTTTTTTTTTCTATAAATACCAACCAATACAACTAATAAAATAAAATCTTATCTAAAAATATTATCCGATAAAATAAAATCTTGCCTTTCATTTCTTAGTTTGCTTGCCTTTCATTTCATTGTATTTTTTTTGTTTTGTTTTAATAATTTAGTGGTCATTCATGTATTTTATTTTATTAGTTGTATTGATTTTTTTGAATTTTGAATTTTGAAATTTATATGAAATTTGAAACCAAAAATCTTATCCGATATGAATAGTATTGACACGTAGGAACCCAAAAATCTTATCCGAAAATATTATCCAAATCAAATGTTTAAGTAAACAAAGTTGTGAAAAAAACAAAAAAATGAATAGTATTTGCCATGGCAAGCCTAAAACTGCTGGAAACACACTTTGCTGGGAGGCTAAGGCAGCTACTATTCACGTGAATAATAGCTGCCCTAGGGCTCCCCTTGCCATGGCAAGGGGCTAACTGGTGGAAGTGCGGTATGCCTAGCACTACTCTTTAGGTATTACTTTTTTGGTCAAAAGCGGTTTAGGTATTACTTGACACATCACCTGTTCTTGCAGTTTGATTTGATCAAATTTCTATTCATCATATTTGATAGTGAAGCCAATATGGTTGCTGGTATATATACAAAGAGTATATAATTATCTAAACTAATCTTATTGATAAACGAAAATCACAGAATTTTTATTTATTTATTTAAAGAATCCCATTATACATATAAAGCGTATAGCCGAACAGCTATACTATTTATTAAAAAAATTATTTTAAAATGATCCTAGTAAGGTCGTTCGGCTATACTTTTTTTTTCTTTTTAAAAAACCCCAATATAGCTAGGTGGCTATACTATTTATAAATTTTAAAAAAAAAAAGAAAAAAAAAGAGGATCCACCTAGCGATTAGGTGTCCACATGTCAAAAACGTATCGCCGTGCGGCTATACTATTTTTTATTTATAAAAACCATAGTATAGCCGCACGGTAATACTCTTGAAATATAATATAAAGATTCTCAGTTCATCATCGTGCTTTGTATTTCTCCAGAGTTTTAAAATTGAATGGAACTCACCTTCTTTTTCAATTTTTGGCCTCTACTTTTTCTTTGAGTTGACAGGTAAGTTCCAAACTATTTCAAGGAACAGATTAGCTCGGTGATAATACCAATTAAAATGATTATATAAACTCGAATATTTACAGAGTATAGCCGGAATATAATAAATTCAAATATTTTGCAAGTAATGGCATATATTCGAAATTCAACTTAAAATCTTATACCTAATAATAATTATGAGAGAGGGTGGGTCATGAAGGTTTCCCATTGCTATGAGAAAGACAAAGGCAAATTGATGAAACTTTCTTCCTATCACAAACTGAACATGGAATAAGATTATGTGGTAGAGAGAGAGAGAGAGAGAGATATTAAGGGGTGAATTGTGGTGTGAAATGAATTGAAGGTGGAGTTCTCAGCCAAACAAAAAAAAACATGTAAGAAAGTTTATATTGGAGACTGCGGTGGGAAACTGGAATTTTTGGTCAAGGGGCTGCCAAGTGAGTGAGTAATGTAAGGATTTGTACGTGGGTGATGTAACAATATTTAAATAGTATAGCCGCGCGGCTATACGGTTTAAATATAATAAATTCGAATATTTAAATAGTATAGCCGTGCGGAGAATTGACGATAATAACTATAGGTATACGAAAGAAAAAGAACCTTTTTTTTGTAATTCCTATGATGCAATTGGAGCTTATCGGCAGAAAAGAATCAATTTAGATAGCCCTTTGTGGCTCCGATGGCGACTAGATCAACGCGTTATTACTTCAAGAGAAACTCCTATGGCCATACTCTTTGAATATAATAAATTCGAATATTTAAATAGTATATCCGTGCGGCTATACTCTTTGAATGTAATAAATTTGAATATTTTAAATAGTATAGCAGCGCGGCTATACATCTTAAATATAATAAATTTGAATATTTTAAATAGTATCGCCGGGCGGCTATACGTTTTAAATATAATAAATTCGAATATTTTAAATAGGAGTGCTGCTATTTCCACCCACCTGTCCTATTTTCCCACCCACCTTATCTTTAAACTTTTCAAGACAAATTTAACCCTATTGTAAAATGACTTAAAAGGACTTAAGGAAAAAGAAAGAGGAAAAAAAAACAACCATATGATGAGCACAAAGCGACCAAGAGAGCTGCCAATTTCTTCTCCTGTATATGTTACAAAAGACTAAGATACTAAGAACCAGTTATATTTGTAAGATTGGTGCATAATACAAGTTTCCCTATATATGTATAAGTCAAGTAGCATGGATACAGAACTAAAGCGCTATGTAGTAAACTTACTCTAGGAAAAGAACAGAGTTGAAAAGCTAAACCTGCAAAGCCCCACAAAAAAAGGATATAATATATGACATACGGGTTGGGGAGTTCGTCCCAATTAAAGAGATGAAGATCAACCACCCAAAGAAATACTTGTATATAATTTACTACATTTTCATTTTGATATATGGATTGAAACACTAAGAGGATAAATGGGATTATATTGACATAATCCATATTTACAAAATTAAAAATAAAAATGACAGCAAAAAACTATTTTAGTTCAATAAACACAGAGATGGAGTGTGAGAGATGGAAAATAAGATAGAGCAAAAATGAGAGAGAGATGTGTGGGCCGTCAGAGAGAAAGAAGACATGAGCAGAGAGAATAAAGGAGAGAGGAAATGAGGTCATAATTAAAAGGGTATTTTAGGAATATTGGTGGGTGTAAAAATAGGATTGTGTTTTTTAAAATTTATATGGTGGGTGAGAAGATAAGGTGGGTGGGAAAATAGGACAGGTGGGTGGAAATAACAGCACTCTTTAAATAGTATAGCCGCGACTATATTTGTTAAATATAATAAATTCGAATATTTAAATTGAAATATTTAAACATTCGAATATTTATTCTCTCCCACCCAAACCAATTGCGTTAAATTCCAGATACATCATGTGTTTCTATCTACCAAAGAAACAAAGACCATGCCACGGCATCATCTTTTTCTAATATGCCCTCAGTCCAATTCGTTTGCACAACTCAAAAAAGGAGTAAGCAAAAGAAAACGAAATGAGATCAATGTGATTCGAACCCCAACATTTAAATGGCGACGATGATTCGCTGAGAATATGTGATTTAGAAGCATTGTGTGATTCTTCCTAACACTCCCTAGAGGCAAGAAGAATGCTGTAGCATATGTAGTTCAACTTTAAACAGAGCAGATTTGTGTATTTTCAAATACACGTACATACGTATAGGAAGTGGGGGTTTGATCACACATGCATCGCCCATTGTTCGTGTGTATGAGGCAAGTGAAAGAAACAGATAAATTATGGCATTTTCGATTGATGAGGGAGGAACGTACATGAGTCAGATCGAAGACATTCACTGGTATAATTAATGTTACAAGAAATAAACACAATGCTAATGTACTATGATTACCATTCCCACCTGGGAAAGCAAAAGGAAAACCTTTTTTTTACAAAGAAGCCAAACTAAAGAAAACAAAGCAAACCGGTGGAATGAAAATGGTGATCAAAGCCGTCTAAAACTTCTTAATTAAAGGTTTGCCGAAATACACAGGTATCATGATGTTGTGTTGTTACTAGGACTCTTGCCCAGAATTGATGAAGATCCGGGTGTCCTTGGACTGTTTGGCCCTCTTCCACCGGAACGAGGACTTCGCTCTCCTCTTAGCTCGTTCACACGAGGACTGAAGGAGGAATGTGGGCTCTCGAGGATTTTAGGGGCATTTCCTGGTGTTGAAGTAGAGCTTGTGATCCTTGGACTGCTAACATGTCTAAACTCACCTCGGCTTCTGGTCATAACCTCATCTAATATCTCTGCATCCCCTGCATAGGATGCTCCAGCTCCCAGCTCTGCCTCCTGTTATTTTGGAGCACATCAAACACAAAATGAATGAGTTAACTTTCAACCGTTAAAATCCATATCTAAGATTTAGAAATTTTCTCGTCAGACAATCTATCATGTTATGTTGCCCAGAAGTGAATATGCAAAGAATGAAAGTGCCTTTTACCGTTGCAAGGTTAAATGGTAAAGCAGGAGCCTCTTCATACTCTGCTGCATCCAAGTCTTGAAGATGTGCTCCTTTGAAAAACTTGGGCAGAACGTATTGTCTTACAGGAACCAAGAGCATGATCATCAATGGAAACATAACCCCAGCAATTGGAACCCAAGTAAGCCCAAAACATACAAGCAAGTACAGAGTTTGGAAAACTGTAAACAGCGCGATTGACTTGAAAGGCACAGTTTCTACAAAAGTGGCATGATACTCCTCGAGGACTCTGCAGGATGATGAAAAGCAATTTATGTTAAGCATGAAGAGGAAGGAAAATTAAACATGTATGAAACAAGTGAAAGAAGATTTGATTTGAGGGTTTACTTGTATCTTCTACTTGGAGCAGTAAACAGCAATAAGATCCTTTCCCAAAATTGGTTACCGGGTAAGCTTTCAATGGCCATGAAGGCAAAGTAGCCCCAAAGGACTGAAGTTGGGATCTTTTTTAGGATGGGCATAGCTGCAACACATCCTCCCACCAGTATAGCTTGAAGCAAGTTACTAAGACGCTGTTCTTTCACCTCAACCGGCAATAGATCATCAATCTCTTTCTCGACGTCAAACACTGTCTCGTCAACTGGCGCATCAATATAATTTCCCATACTTGAAGCTGCCTGAATGGTCGATTCTTTTAATTCATTCAGTCCCTGCACAAGTGGTTATACACAAATGTTTGATTTAGATCACAAGGATTACCTGGTTGATAATGTCTTCAAAACTTCTACAAAATTAAAAGCCAAACATATAATGCTGTTATACCCGAGCTGAGGCCTCTTGGTAAATCAAAGGCGTCTGCATTTGTCGATAGGCTTCTTGCATATTTCCATACAGCTGTCCCAAGCTAGCATTCTTTCTCATACTTTTGCGTGCTGTTGCTACAAGTCGATTACGAAGCAACTGCACAATCAATTTCATTCTTATCAGCAAAAGCACAAGTCACCAGAGAAAAAAAAGGATCTACAAGGGAAAAATAAAAATAAAAATAAAGAAAAAAAGGTTATGTGATTACTTGATGTTTGAGAGTAGCCAAACTCTTTGTATGCATTGGTGACTGTGGGATGACTCCATTTGATGGAGGAATTCCGAGCAGACCACACATTAAAGTCTGCGAGAATTAAAAAAGCAAGAGAGTTATGCACAATTGCTTACTGAAAGGAAAAATTGAAAGTAAGGAAAGAGCAATTTGGCTTTGCATACCAGAAACCCCAAAAGAAGCAAGTCATAATGGTAAGAAGATGGTTTTCTTAAATTGAACTCTTTCTGCTGAGATAGTTGGGATGCTACACTGTGATCAAAATAGTAAAGCACCGCGATCATTGTTGCTGGAATGAAAGCTCCAATGATATAGAGGATGGGAACATTGAGCATGTCCTGTGAGTTAATATCAAGTATAAACCAGTAAGACGATCAGCTTAATTTAACTTGTGAATTTACAGACAAAATGTACTTAATGGTGAGTAACCAAAACTAAAACAGAATTCAATCATGAAGACATACCTTAATGACAATCCAATTATCATATGCACCAGGTGACCATGGGTTTGGGCTAAAAAGGCGCCTTGGGATTCCATGTGGAACGGTACTAGTTGGTATGTAAGATACACCAGTCCACACTAGAACCATAAGTGGCACACCATAGTCTGCTACAAAGCCTCTAAGCCAACCTGCAGCCCAGAAAGAAGTTCACATTACATACACAAAATGAAACAAGATTCTATTAGTCACCATAATTACCAAGGGAGATGCAAACTTAATTTATTATATTTATCTTACCAGAGCCATAGCGCCATGACCTTGCTTTCCTACTTTTCAATGCAGTGAGAAGAAGGCCAAATGACAAGACCAAAGCAAACATCCCATTTGCAAACCTCCATGAAGGTACAAATTGTGGTAAACTAGTATCTTCTCTTTGCGGTAAGCGAAACTCATCCACAAGTCCCTACAAAATCATACCAGAAAAAATAGAGGCCATGAACAAATTGCTCATTTTTATTTTTCTATATTATTATTAATTTTTTAAGCCTAAACTCTTAACACTCATAACTGGAATTAAAATAAGAATTGGAGGTGGAAAAGAGTTAAGAGGGTAAAGTGGGGAGAACTGAAAAATATGATATCCACTAATTTCCTTACTATATCCCTGCCAACCAAACAATGGAGTGACACTCCTAATATTCTAAGGTTCATGTACCAAACTTTAAATAATTAGTGGGTAGAAGACATAATTAGTTAAAAATAATTCTTACTTTAATGGCTTGCTGCATGAAGAGCATAGCAATAAGTAAACCAAACAACTCTCCGGCTACTCGGGTGAACCTATTGATTATGGAACAAGCGCCCAATATAGCCAATAAGAACAGCAAGGCAGCTGTCCACACGCATACCCTACAAAATTAAACATTCATCAGAAAATGAGGCTCAGAGTCAAAGAATTAATTAATTTCAAAAGACAATACACACACAAGGCAAATTTATCGAAAAAGACAATGCGAAAGCGAAATTGAGTATGTAGTTTCTCTTAGAATAGAAAAGTAATGATGGCTGGCTCACCATCCACTCCATGCTAGAAAGAGCTTTGGACCCAAGTCTGCTCGTTCTTTGGCAAAATTGAACATGAAGGTGTACATAATTACAGTAGGCTCGGCCACACCTAAAATCAGCAAGGGTTGACCTCCTATGATGGAGTGTATGATCCCACAAACTGCCGTAGAAACTAAGGTTTGCACTGCTGTCAAAACTCCATCTGCAGCATAGTAATTTAATTAATAGTTTTCCTAAATAACTAACTAGTTGAATGTCATACAATAATTCAATTGAAAATTCACGTGCCAGCCAATCCCTCTCATAAAAAAGTATATCTTGGTTATTTTATTTTAGTATTTCTTTCTCTTTTGAATATCCCTTAGTTTCCTGCCTTTTCTTTTGCATAACCAAAAATAAGATGCTAAAATCCATAGGGGTGATTGAAAGGCTCCATTCAGGTAAAATCCAAAGAAACTAGCTAGAAAGCTGTGACCTTTACAGACTTAATATAAGAAACATTATATCTCTGTGCCTTTCAAGTTAAAAAGAAGTGTGGGTTGCAGATCTAATATGAGAGTAATTCGTGAGTTGCAATTACCAGTATTTCGCTCCAGCTGCTCGCCAAATGAAATGACTGGGATTGCTGAAGCAAAAAATATGTAAGTGGTTGGAGCCAAAATCCTGCAAAAAACAATATCAACAATTTGTCAACAAGATATCAAGTTTGCAATTTATCAAAATCAAGGGAACGAACTTATTTATTTTTTGGTATATGGTTACATATATTGAATCAAAAGCTAATTGTTTTTTTTTTTTTTTATTTTAAATAAATATAAAATTTTTTTTTTTTTTTTTTTTTTTTTTTTTTTTTTTTTTTTTTTTTTTTAAAAGAGGTAGATGAAATGGGTACATAGTATATACCTGAATCCTGCTTTGAAGCCACCAGTCCAATCTTGCTTGTAGCACAGCAACCTTCCTCTGAGATCATTCTTGATTCCCTGTAAAGGCACAAATGTCTCTTCCATGCTTCCTTCTCTTAAGAACAACACTTTGCTCTGCTGTACCCTGCCCGGGCCCTAATGGGTGTTGCTAGTAGTTTGCAGTAAGCTGCTGGGTGCAAGAGATTGCCACAATTTGAAGAAGTGGCAACCCAAGTAAGAAATAAACCACCTAAACTACATGATCTGGGAATTTCTACAAAATTGAAACAATGTAATGTAGAGACTCAGCACAAGAAAGAGCAAATTGAAGGGTTTTTTGGAACAGAGCAAAACAAAGTCAGCAGCAGTGGTAATTTGGAAGGGAAACTGAGAGCATGCAGGCCAAGGGAAAGCTTAAATTTGAAGTAGGTTGTGGTTTGGTTTGGGAGGTGTACTGTAAATATATAAAGGGAGATTCAAAAGGGGGTTGGAAAATAAAAGGGGAAGGGCAGATTTGATGCAGACAGCATTGCGGGTCAGAAGGGAATAATGGAGTGAATCTCACTGTCATTGCCTTTGCCATTTTCCATTTTGCCATTTTCCTAGGAGAGGAGAGAAGAGTGTTACAGTAAATCTCCCTCGTTAATTTTTCCCGCTTCTGTGGTCCCTCGCTCTTCCATGGTCTTCATGTTTTTTATATTATTTATTTATTTATTTTATGTGACACCTCAGCTCCTCCCCAACACCATCTTGGAACCATAGTCTAAAATATCAATGGTTTTGGACATATCGATGGTCCAAAAACATGAAATTTTTTATGGAAATATGAGGAAACTATTGATATCAGTAAAAATTGAATAAAAATCATGAAAATTGTAAGAAAAACTTGAAAAAATTTGTTGAAACTTTGGAGGATGTTTATTTAGTCAATTATCTTTTAGCTTATCACAAAAAATTGGAAGGAAATATTTTGCATGATGAGTTTAACTAATTTAAGTTCATTATATAACGAGCTAACAAACAAAGCGAGTGTAGAAAATATGTAGTAATTAATGAAAGAATATTGAACACACCATAATTATTTATTTATAATGATTTACTACAATATTTTACACTTTATACATTGCATGGTAAGATACATGAGTGACTTAGTACCACATAGAGCTCCAAATTTTTTATTGTTTTCATCATCTATATGTGTAAAGTAAGTATATTATGAAAAGTAGTCATCAAAAGATAAATCCCCAAAATAGTTTTGCATGTAGTTGTTAACATGTCACTCATATGGATCCGAGATTGATTGAAGTTGTCCATTTAGCAATATTTTTTATATTTATCAATATTTTGGCAATATTTTGGCCAAATGTTGTTGAACCTTGTGAGAAATTATTGACGTTGATATTTTACAATATCTATATGCATATGTATATGTTCTAAAATATCCTAGACCCGAAAAACGATAATATCCTCCATATTTTAGACTATACTTGGACCCACTAAAATAATGTTGCTCTTTGTTCCAAAAACAATGATAAACAATAATATTTTACCCATTTTTCATGGAACACTACACAACTCTCTCTCATGAACTCACCGGTTTTAATAATAAATAGAAAATTACAATGCGGTGTATTTTTCTTGGGTTTAAGAAACTTAAGATAAGAGTATATTTCGATGGTGGCAATGTTTATTTTAAATGTGGGCATTTGTGAAAGAGTGTTGTGATTTATAAAAATTGCAATGATTAAAATACAAGACAGATACTACTGGCGCTTCAATTATATTAAACACTGTGGTGGTTCATGAATATACTTCCTTAATAAAGAGTGGACGCATGACACCCAATAGAATACACCACAAGCACTCGTTGACTTGTTTTCCTTCAATAAATAATGTTAATACCTGTCTCTAAAATAAATAATATGTTCATGATGATTTTTATTGTAGCAAAAATAACCAAATTTTATGTATTCATTAGTACTCGTCGCCTCTTTAACAAAGATGAAACCTACTTATATTGTTGGGTTATACAAAAACACAGTTCTCCTAATAGTTCATTTTCCGCAAAAGATTATGCTAAAGTGATCGTTGAATTGAATAGAATCTTTTCAAATCTTTCTTACTTTACTTTTGCAGTTTCACTATTTCTATCATGTTTAATGAAAATTTTATTTCTTGTCACGGGGCCTAAAATAGTCCCGAATCACTTTGAGTATAACATAAAAAGTTTCTTATGATAAAAAGGGCTTTTAGATTATTTGGAGAAATACCAAGTTTTTTTTTGGCAGCACTTTCTTTTTTAACAAATTTTTTGATGTACTTGTAATACAAACGCACGCCCACGAGCCTGAGGATAGTGAACCCGGTCAAAGAGTGATGACGCAATTCAACATGCTCCATCTTATCAATCAATGAAGTGACTAATATCATTAATAAAGTTACCACTATGAAGAAGTCGCAAGAAAATGAGAGAACCGCCCGTACGGGTTACATATTCAATTAATCAAAGTTCTATCCTTGTGGAACTCATTCTCAATCATTTGAAAAATATATGAATCGATAATAATGTCGATGTTGTTAATAGTGAATTTTGTAAGCGATTAAGTTGTTGATAATGTCGATGTTGCTAATAATGAGCGTCTGGTTCTTTTATCTAAAATATAACATAGTATCAAAACAAACTGATGAACCTGAGTTTTTAGGTATTTTCAGAGAACTAATAACCCACGTTGGTCTGTCTTTATTTCCACATTCATCAGTGTGTACGTTATCGGTGCAATGTGGAACTTACTCAGGTGCAAATCTGGAAAATGCCACTGACTCATCTGAGGGGGGGCAGGGCAAGTGGGCAAGTTGGTACTTGTAATTTCCATGCTGGGAATAAAGCCAAGAGTTACGACGCAACATGCATGTATAAAGAATAAAAAGGGTGTAAAAGAGTGGACGCATTTGCCACCGACTTTAGGGCTTTATCTTATGATTGGCTGTCATTCATTGACAATTGAAGGCCCAATAATTTAATTTGAGCTTTTGAACTAATGTTGAAGCATTATTCACTTTAATAATATTCGAGGAGTAGACTTGATTTTGATATATATTTTTTTAAATCGAATTTTAAGGCTTCTTGTTTGTCATGTACGACATACTTTGCTTGAGTTTCTGGTAACCCCTCACGCTTATAAATTAATATCTTGCTGGTGTTGCGCAGTTCATTGGAAGTGGACTACCCAATCAACTTGTTTTTTTATGTCTTATAAAAAGAGTACCTCAGCTGCCAATCAAAACTCTTTTCTTGTATAGGCAGGGAAGGCAGACTCTCCATTACTGATACATAAACATGCTCTACATGTGGCTGTGTGTGTCTCTCCCTCTCTCTCTCTCTCTCTCAAATGTTCATTAAGCAAATATGTACTAAACTAGCTCTTGTTTATAGTATTTTGTTTTTCGATGTTGGACGATGTTCTAAATTCCACTATCTTCATCCCTCCTTAATTTTTTTTATTTTTTATTAAAACAAACCTAACATATATGAATTGTGATAGTCTATCTGATTACTAAATCTGTAGATTTGAAATTACTCTTTATTCCAAATCAGTTATTAAAAACTGGCCAGAAGTTCTAATTCGATTGGCCTGAAATAGTGGAAGATAGGAGAACTTTTTATGATAAAATTAATACAATAAGATTAAAAGAATCCCCAAAGGCAGGCTTAAAGCAGGATTGACGAGTATGACTTGTTGCCTTTTGGTCTGAACATTACGTACGTACCCTACCCACCTTATTATTTCAATAGCTGCTAAAGCATATTTTCATTTACAGGGACAAGTTTTTCTATGAGACAAACCACTAGAGAAGCTGTAGTCTGTAGACCTACATATCACGTATACCAAGATGATGATAAATGAAGAATCACGTATACCAACTAATAACACTAGAGCTCAAGAATTTTCTAGATTTGCACTCGAAAAACTGTAATTCCTTAAGCGCGAAGTTGATTTGATCATCGGAGGCTAAAATGATCCTCCCATTAACATTTTATATCGTTAACTTTACAGTGCAAGTATTTTATTTTATTTTATTTTTTTATTAAAAGCGATAGTAATTTTATTAATAACACAGAGAAAAGTACAGAGTAGCCGCAATCCCAAATATGAGTATATATATCACCCACCACACCCACACCACCAACAACAAATTTGCTCAATGATTCAGGCTAGCTAGGATGTATCATGTATATTAATATCATAAATACTATTTTTCCTCTCTCTAGTTATTAATTAATTCATTCATTAATTCACTACGCATGATGCGGTCCGGATTCTGCAACGATGCTCCAAAAAGTTAGTATATATATGTTAACATTTGTTCTGTCAAACTACTTTGTGGTTTAACAAACTTGCAAGTTGCAACTTATTGCACCGATTAAATATTAGATTGCCAGTGTCCGTTTCATGTTTAAGGTAAATGACAAAGACTTTGTCATTGATTATGTGAGTGAGCCTTAGATTAATGTTTTTGTTTCATAATAATACTAGTGGTTTTAAATCTTGTTTCGTAATAATAAGATTGTTAGTTTATTTTTATGATGTGGAAGCAGTCATCACGAAACGATATCGTCGTCATGATATAGTCACTGTATTTTGGCCCACGTACACAAGGAGTTGACTCCCTTTAACATAGTTTGGAGCTCTAAAAAGGGGAAGATGTCTGGTTGCATTGGCTTCGGTTTTAGCCCATGCGGAACTATGAGTTTAGCCAGTATGACATTATGATTTTCTTCAGGTTGCCTCGAATATGTGGAGTGGTGGTTACGTTTCTTAGTTTTGTTTTAGACTAATAATTTTCTGAAACTCTTTAGGAGTTTGCTACTATATGTTTTCTATTTAGGATTTTTATTCCTTTTTAGCTTTTGGCTTTCAATACGAATTTGTCGTTTCTGTCATTGCACGGTTTGTATTTGTAGGTCTGAATACATGTGCTTCTGGTTGTGGATCAGGGATTTAGTTATTGTTTGCTCATAAATAATATACTATCAGTTTTTTTTTTATAAAAAAATCTCGGGTCTTATTTAACCTCTACAACCAGAAAATATTGATTGGCTCAATTGATTGATTAATGCCAATTTTCTATTTTGTTTTTTTCCCTCTTAAATGAGTTGGTATTGATAAAGATTTCTCACATCTTCATGACTCTTCCACAATGAAAAGATTAGCACAAAATATCTTTGTTTTTTTCTCTCCAGGTCTTCCCATTCATTTGAATCTTCAAATTATATGGATGGTTTCTACACTTGAAGATCATTATCATGATTAAAGTAACCAAACCCAATTTGCTCACTATAATGCCCCCACGATTTCTCAGAGATGTGAACAAATTTGTTCGAGGCACACACCGAACCTCGAACTTTTGCACTTGCGTCGCATTCAAATGATTTTGTCTTCGCACAAGACTTTAATCAATGTTTTGCTCATTGAGGAATTGTGAGCCAAAGACAAAACCATGTGTAAATAAAGCCGGTTACATCATTTTCAATCTTATATTCACCATTCACTGCCAGAAAATCATTATAGACACACACACACACACCGACGCGTACGATTTCACATCAACCCTAGCCTAGGCCCTATATTATTTTCTAAATTATATAAACACTTTTGTAATGGCATTACTTTATAGTTGGCAAGTCTGTCGGAATGCAAAGGAACAACATCATGTGTGAGTGTGACCCAAGATTAAGGCAAAGTAACATTTTGCTTTTGTTGCCCTAGTCATAGGTCATACATTAGAATTAAGCTTCCTTATTGTCACAGGCATGAAGCCGGCCAAAAATGGTCATGTTTCTGGTAGGTAGCTGATTCAATGGTAATGCGTTTCTCTTGCAAATTCAAAACCAGGCTGGCCACAACTTTGCTTTTAATATACTTATTATTGTGGAGACCCGTCGTATTATAGCCAGCCATGAATGAGCCTCAAACCTACACCAGAATCTGGCCACCCCAAAATTTAAAGAGATTAACTAATAATAAAAATAGCCACTAGGCAAAGATCATAAGACCCATCATGTTTACGTTAATCAAGTAATTAAACCAAATCAATGAGCAAACAAATCTCTCCGGCAAACATTGTCATAACTACAATAAAATAAAAGCCAAAATTTTGTGAACCTACAAAGAAAATCAATTATTAATCGTCCGTCACATAATCTGCCTGCTGCTCACGATGCTCATGGTGGTGGTAGTGGTGGTAATGATGATGGTAGAAAATACGTCTATTAGGAGGTCCAAAATTAATTCCAAGTCCATTGAAAAAACCACCTATATCGGAATTGTAATCACCGAAGTTAAATATGCCCGGCTTTTTTATTCACTCACAATCAAGACGGGTAAGTGCTGAGAAACATAAGATGATGACAAGAGTAATAGGCAGAGGAAGAAGAAGATAGTACTCATTTCTGCTTCAAGTTCGTTAATTAGATTCACTAAAACCACTAATATATAATCTTGTATCATGTATGTGCGATTATTAATAAGAAAAAATTAAATTAAACGTTTCAAGTTTTCCTTTTACAGAATGTGGTATGATTAGTAAGTTTGCGGTTTGATCCGCGAGTTTTTTTAAGGGAGTTTTACTAAAACACCCAAAATGGGGGCTGAAATTATAAAAAAACCCAACACCCAAAACACTTTATAAACACACCCAAAACCCATCATTACACACACTCAAAACCCATTTATAAACACACCCAAAAAATATACAATTGTTGATTTTGGGGTTAATTTTGAATGTGTTTCTATGTTTAAATAGTGTTTGGGTTTTTTTATAAATACATGTCTAGGATTGAGTTTATTTATAAATTTGTATGTTTTTAAATGTCTCCATAACATAACAATACAGCAGTTGGGATGAAAGAAAACCAGATCAGAGCTTAAGCGGCTGATTCCAGCATACTACAACTGAATCGGCCATCCGACAGAGACAGCTTCTCTGCTTTTGTAACAGCGTCAAGAGGAAGGGGGCTGAAACTTCGAGATGGACCGTAGAAATGAGGGAAGCTATTGGAACCATCAACAACTTCATATATTAATCCTTCGCCCAGCTGCGTCAATGCATATCGATTTAGAGCAAATTTATCTCGATACTTAACTGAGATTACAAGGTATGAAGACAAAAGGAAAACAATGCCAGCAAAATGTGAGTGTGAGCTACATGTGGTTCTCTACCAGTCTAGGTTTCGCACTTTCTATTCTTAAAAGTCTTTGATGAATTTTGGGGAGCATTCAGTGCCGTGATAAATCTTTGGTTAACAAAAGTCACCAGGAACCCCACCCTGATAAATCTTTAACTGCTCGTCCAAGGAATTCACAAACAAGACTGGGAAATCATTTGAAACCTTAAATACAGGAAGGAAGGCAAATTTTGAAGAAGATACAGTTAGCCATATGACAAGATTCCTATCTTTTAATATGCAGCTAAGTGGTATAAGATTCCATAACTTCTTATTTAAAAAATAGGTAAGAAGCTTGGGACCGCCCGCAGCTGCAAGATTAGATTCCATAAAATTAAAGCATGCATGAAATAAACTTCATTGTGCACTGAAACAATTACTTATTTCAATGAAAGTCTTCTGAATGTTGAGTAATTATCTACGCTTCGAACATAATAGGGTGATAATTACGTGTAGGCAAATGGGATTAACTGGTTCCCATCATCTGTCAAATTTTGAAATCCTAGCTCCTAAGTGGTTTGACAACAATTGTTTTTACACAACAATATCTAGTTGCAGGCATAGCCCATTTCTAACTACAGAAACTGAAGTTAAAAGTCATAATGGATGGATGCTCATATCATATGTACCTTTTTGGTGTCAACTTGAAGCAAGTAAAGATCCACCTTAGTATTCAGGAAAAAATTCTGCAATGTCAACTGTACCTGAAATGTAAACCAAGCACCCAAAATTTCTCTCATTTAGACTAATTCTTGGACAAATAAGGTTCAATATGCTTAATCATAAGATTTTGAGAAACAGAGAGAAAATAAAACGACTCCAATACACACAATCTTTCAGCGATGCAAAGAGTAAACATAATCAGATTGGGTACTGGGTGGGTGCATATAACTTGAGAATTTTACAAGGTAGGAATTTTGAGAGAAAAGAAAAAGAGCCCAATAGCGTTAATCCTGTACTTAAACCTGAGAAAGTGAAGAATTGGGATATAAAATATTAGAATTTGGGGAGAGAAACCTGATTGAGTTTGCTAAGATGAATGAACCCAGAAGTCTTGTCAAGCTCTCCACAGAAACTGGACCCAGAGCTCTGCAACTGTTCCCACTCCTTGGCTGTGCTGATTCTGTACACATATTCATCCTCACGTGCAGCCATTCTTCCTAAACTGGAGACTGGAAGACGGTCTTGTCCAAGGGAAAGAAATGATGCAACAGACAGACTAATCAAATCACCATCTCCTTTCCCTTCGGCCCATCTTCAGCTTGGACCCAATTGAGCTATATCTATGGGCTTAGCTAGAGCCCATGTGAAAGCAATTGCATGAAGAATCTACCACGCGTCGTTTTAACTTTTAAAGCGTAAAACTTTCCAAGTGACCACAACGACGTCAACTGACAACAACTGAGACGGAGAGGCTCACTGGCTCAGTAGTCAGTAAACATGGCTGCAATGGCGAAACCAGGCCTGCTTAACCCCCTCCGTTCCCACCTCAATGAGCTTCCTCTCATAGATTCGAGCTCGATCCGCACCAAGCTCGGAGAATTTCGGTTCTCTCACTTCAATGTCACTCTAAAGCACGCAAGAAATGCGTCCGTTCTTCCGGTGATAAGAGCCCAGAGTTCTCCTGGTTCGTTTTTCTACGAACTTTTCTGGCAAAATCATTCATGGGGTTTGAATGTCATTTCAGATTTTGTTTTGGGTGTTTTGGATTTTGAATTTTCATGGTCTCTATTGTTGGTTGCTCGTAGATTATGTACCAGACTCCAAATTTTACAAAGTGGAAGCGATTCTGAGGTGCAGAAACCACTCAATCTTCTTTCCTTCTATACATTGTTGGTTCTTAGGTCCAGCTTGTCTCATTCATTTATGTTTTTGTTTGTATTGATTATCTATAGCTCTGCATGTCTGTTGTGATCTTTTTTTTCTTTTTCCTAATTGTATACAACGTTTCAGCTTATGGGTTTTGATTATTTCTAATTATTTCTTAATCTTTGTTCTGATTATGGGACGACATAGGCCATGGCGAGTTTCGCAGGTTTCTTCGGTAAGAACTATTGACCACAGTTTACTGCATTTTTAGTTCGCATTGCTTTTTTCATTAGGATAATGAAATCAGGAAAAATATGAATTTAGGTATCAATTTCTTTTTTGACAAGATGATAGATAGTTCTGTGGCTTTGCCCCTGTGTAGTTATCTCAAGCACAATACCCACCGTATCCTTCAAGGATTGGCTTTAATCCTTTACACAATCAAATTGATTTCCGGATGAACGTCTTAAAATTGAAGATTATTGGTAGGCAGTGTTGATGAAGTTATTTTGTGCCTGATAAAGTCTTAAATATCGTCCCCAATATGGCAATATCAGTCAGTCCTTACCAGGAACTTGCTGACCAAGTTTTCTACTCCTTTCTGTATTCATTACCTTGTTCATAGTCAAGGCACAATAGCATTGGTCTTCTAATAAACTTATGCTATTCTCAGCATTTCTGTGCCGCTTCATCTTTCAATCCATTACAGCCATGAGGCATCCCTAGGATGCTGCCATGCCAGTGGGTTGTCTGTGGTGCAGTAAGTAATGCCATTTGGTATACCAAAAGAAACGTAGAAGCAAGATGATCAAGAGAAATCGCAGAATTAAGATGTTTCCTGTGGATGATGTTTTTTTGGAGTTAAAATGTAGGGCTATAGTCTATAGTAGGAAAAGAATGGTACCCTCTCATCTTAACCATCCTTTTTGGACGCATGTTCTCAATTCTCAACTAATGCACAGTGATGGTGTTAGAAAGTGTATGATATACGTGTTTCTCTAGTTATCAATCTTTTCATGTGTAATATTTTTGAAGCTCCTTGAGAACATAGCATAAGCACTAACCTTTTTCTTCTTTGCCATCTCCTCGGTGAAAAACAAAGGCTCTGTTGAAAATTGGTATTCGCGGGGTTACAGTATCTGATGTTCGAGGCTTTGGTGCTCAAGGTGGTTCAACAGAGAGGCATGGTGGTATGCTCTTGCCTTGGCATAGATCTTTTTCCCTTCATTTTAATTAAATCTACCAGAGGTTTTGATAACTGTCCCTACCCGTTCTGTTGCTTATTTATCCTCCTACTTTTTGTTTTGTATTATCATTTCATAATTGTCTTCATTTTTATTTTGCATTGCTTTGTAAGGCTCCGAATTTACTGAAGACAATTTTGTCGCTAAGGTTAAAATGGAGATTGTAGTGAGCAAAGACCAGGTATGAAGAGTATGAGTGATCATTTTAGTTGTACGACGAATTCTTCTTGAAAATGTGACATAATTTGCCATCTTAATCTCAGGGAAGAGGAGAAAAAATAAATGCTCATTGTTAAAAACCACTGATACAATCCTGCATGTCATTACTTCTTAGGTTGAAGCAGTAGTAGACAAGATCATTGAGGCAGCCAGGACTGGAGAAATTGGTGATGGCAAGATTTTTGGTAAGACTGAAAACGTCTTTATTTGTTGTGAATTGTCCATTTTGAAGCTACAAAGATACAGTAAGCAGCTAAGCAGGTCAAAGAAAATTTTAAAAAATGTAGTGTACGTGCAGCCTTGTCTTTTCTCCCTCGGTTAAGGCCTTGTTCTATTGTTCCTTGAAGAGGAATATCAAAATTCTAAGATATGTTGCTTTAACATGATCAGGGCATGGTTTATCATATTTATAATAATTAATTAATTTTTAAAATGATGTACATCTGAACTATATAAATTACTTTGTTTTCAGACACTTTTTTTTTTACTATACAGTTTTCTTCGATGGATTTGCGTCTTTCTATTTTGTTACCAATAGATGGTCTCAAAAAGATACATGTCCCTCCAGCTTTAGGGGCAATCAGATTCAATAAATTACATTTTATCATGTCTGTAATTTGAGATACTAGTCATAAAAAAGTTCAATGCTTGTGAAATTGTACTTCAAAGACGGGTTGTTAGGAAATGTAGCAGTTTGGACAAGGCTGATCATCTGTCAAAAATCTTTGTACTGTGTATTCTGCAATCACTCTGCTAGTTACATGACATATCATTTTTGGCCTCTCTATTGAATATTATGCAGATTCAATTTTTTGTCAAATTTCTAATGAGGTTTCCTATCTTGTGCAGTGGTGCCAGTCTCAGATGTAATAAGAATTCGCACCGGTAACATTTTACTTGTCAACTGATCTAAGTTATTTCGCAAAAACAAAAAAACAAAAAAACAAAAAAAAAACTTATCTAAGTTTAAGATGATTTATGCTGATGTTTGTATGGTAATTGATGATTGCTCTTTAGAATTTGCCTAAAGTTTCATGTGTATGTAATTTTCAGGGGAGCGTGGAGAGAGGGCGGAGAAGATGACGGGTGGGTGGTCTGACCAGTCATCTGCTGCTGCTTGAGCTGCATTATCCGTTTGGGTTCAACTGAGTGATATACGCCACTTTATGAGCTCTACTCTAATCAACCCCCGTCCAATCTCCCATGTCCATTAGATCTTAAAAGTCCAGTGCTTTTATTTTTGCTAGTGTTATGTGATGATATAAGACAAAAATAAGGTGTAATTGCATGTAGCTTCACTTTTAAGAAGGTAACCGGTAGAAAATAATTTGGTAATTATTTCCCCCATTATTTTTTAAATTAAAGTAGTCAGCTTATGGGGAAACTCGAATGTAGCAATGAAGAAGAATGTTAAACAAAAATAGGTGGGTAAATTTCATCAAAGTCTTGTCAAAATTTTGCAATGCATCTCATTTGAGTCCCGGAAATTTCAAACGCTCTTTTTAACGTGTGAACTTTTGAATTGTGCCTAGTTGGTCTAATCTCTAATCAGTTACTTTTTAAGAGTTCCACTTCCTAGTGAATAAATACATGAGTTGAGTAATTCCTCTGTTTTCTTTTGAAGTTCGATAGATACACTGCTCTATTTCTATGGAATCTTCTTTTACTTATTTACCCAACCCATGATGCAATGCGTTTCTGTTTTTTCTTTTCTTTTTTGGTCGAAATGATGCAATGCGTTTGTTGAAAGTCACATTTAATCTTAGCGGAAAGCTGTGTGTGGGACAAGTGCACGAAAATGTTAGAAAGATAGCAAAGAAATCATAACGACGTTTCATCAGATAAATCCAACAATAACAAGAATATTTGTAAGATAGTAGAAACTAAAATAGTTCAATCTAGAAATAGAGACATGTCCAAGACGAGAATGACATAGAACTAGACAAAGTAAGATTCAAATGGAAGAAATGACAAGATGAACAATCATGCTGCTAAGGTTAGGTTTTTGGAAAATGATAGTCAAAGTCCTACCATGTCATGACTTAACAAGCACACTAACGAAAATACGAAACAAGCACACTAACGGAAATACGAAAGTGATAGGAATAGATAGTAGAAGTAGAAACTCGGTAAATTTTTGGCTAATCCGCAATGAAATTGCAAGGCAGAAAATTAATAACCTATTTCAAAATTATTAATATCCTTATTCCCGGTTCATATATCATGGAAGTTGTAAGCTAAGCGTTGTTTGGAGGCTAACGAATCAAACCAACGATAACAACCAACTGGTTAAAAAGCATTTTGTATTGTTCTTAATATTTTTATTTTTTTTTATTTTTTTTAAAAAAGTATAAATGTGATTCGGTCGGTGAGGTGTATTCTTATTCATTTTATTTTTTGTATCGCTCTCCCTGATCTATAAATACAGATAGTGTGAATCGTAGCGAGCGTATCGGTGTGAAGGACAGCTCCTCTTCCTCTTCTTCTTCTTAGACACACGCACATACACAGACAGAAAGAGAAAGAGAAGCGTAGATCTCTTTGTTGCTTCAAGGTCGCGCTCTTCCTCAGGTAACTTACTTTACCCTTCCTTCTTCCTCTTCTCAGATCTGCATCGTGAATTGCTTTTTGATATCCGATCTCGAATTTTCTGACTTTTTGACATCCGATCTCTTTGTTTTCCCTAAATCATTATGAAATTGACCAGATTTAGTCATTGTTGTTATAAGATCGTCTGTGATTGCTGATTGATAGATAATTTGGGTTGGTTTTGAAAATTTGAAGGTGAAAAATGGGGCTGTCTTTCACGAAGCTTTTCAGTCGGCTCTTTGCCAAGAAGGAGATGCGTATTCTGATGGTGGGTCTCGATGCGGCTGGTAAGACCACCATTCTCTACAAGCTCAAGCTCGGCGAGATCGTCACCACCATTCCCACCATTGGTACGTACATACCCATCTCTACCTTAATCCACTCCATTGAATTCCGCGCCTGATCTATTTCTTTTTCACCTATTATTAGTTATTAATTTGCTTTCAATTATGTTAATTCTATTTGGTTAGGATTCAATGTGGAGACTGTGGAATACAAGAACATTAGCTTTACTGTCTGGGATGTTGGGGGTCAGGACAAGGTATGGTCTTTGTTTTCTTTTTACTCTTTTTATAAATTTTTTTTAAAATCTTACCTTCCTTTTGTAAATTTTGATTATTGCACCTGATTTAGTTGATTTTGTATAATCAAGGACAAACCTTGAAAGTGACATGGTTTATTCCTTTTGGGCAAGGTTTTGTTTGTGGACTGTCTATTGCTTTTGGTTTGATGCACTTGCTAGTAGCCTTGAGACAAACATGGGTCCTCCATAGTTTGCTGTATTTGAATGTGTAATGTATATACTTGGCGATGCCTGAGTAAAATACTTTTGCCCGTGGATTGTTTGGTGCTGATTTGAATAGAGGCAGTGCCCAATATGTGGCTTACAAGTCACATGTTGTGTTGCTACTTTTTCATTATCCGTTGAATGTTATGAAGCTGTTGGCTTTTCGTTTTATCTTGTTTGTGATTGCATTTAATGTATTTTTCAGATCCGACCTTTGTGGAGGCATTACTTCCAAAACACACAAGGACTTATCTTTGTGGTTGATAGTAATGATCGTGACCGTGTCGTTGAAGCCAGGGATGAGCTGCACAGGATGTTGAATGAGGTATTAATAGTCTTTTGAACTTCTTATCTCAATGCTAAAGGGTGGGATGAAATCTTGTGCACCTCTGTTGCTATATAGGATCCTTTTTTTAATAGCCAAGTTTTTCTTGTGTTGGCAGGATGAGTTAAGGGAGGCTGTCCTGCTTGTATTTGCAAATAAGCAAGATCTTCCAAATGCCATGAATGCTGCCGAAATTACTGATAAGCTTGGCCTTCACTCCCTCCGTCAACGCCACTGGTAAACCCGAATATGTTTATTTTTCTCTCTCATACACACGCACATACGCACCTCCCTTTATGGATAACTAACCTTGTAAATTATCCATTGCAGGTATATCCAGAGTACATGTGCCACATCTGGTGAAGGACTGTACGAGGGACTTGACTGGCTTTCAAACAATATTGCAAACAAGGTGGACACATACTCATACATTTTGAGAAACTCCATTGTTGTTATTGGTTTCCTTTCCCTGACTTTGGGTTCCTTGTGTTGAATTGCAGGCATAGATGGCTTGGCTTGAATTTTGTGCGGTGACGAAGTTGGACATTGATCCTTGGTGCTCTGCGTTTGCTACCGTTTTAAGTACCCTATTTTACCGTCTTTGTGTTTTCTTTTGCAAACAGTGCCTTTTTTTACCTGTAGTCTAAGAATAATTCGTAAGTTGTCAATTTTTCTCACGGTATTAACTCAATAGCATTGTTTCCCCGATTGTTTGTGTAATGAAATAGCTGCCATTTATTTTACTACCATTTCTTTGTTTATTCTTTACTTTGCTGGAGATTATATAAGATGATCCTGCCCTCATTCTCTCTCACTCCTTCAAAATTCAAATCTCAATTGTTTTCAATTCACTCTCATCTCAGATTGAAGAAAAAAATGTAATATGGAAATGGATAGCTGGGCAAGCGATAAACTGAAAATAGAAATCCAGACTCCATAAACATTACATTATTATGTATATGGTACAAGATGTATCAACAGAACACAGCAACCCGTATCTCCTAGCAGGTCCAACCAGAAACAAAAGAAGATGAAACAAAGCAAAAACATCAAAACCTGCTTTTCCCCGACCCCAAGCATTTGATTCCATCCAGTTCATCAACAGGCATGGAAAAAGAAACATAACAAAGGAATCTAAATATTTTCACTCTCACTCCACGTCTACCCTTCTTAAGCGGCTGATGGGGCAGTCACATATTGCACCACACCAGCTTCCGACAGAGCCTCAATGAAGGGCTGCATGTTCACCCCTTCGCCTTCAGCACCGCCCACCACAGCTGCTCTTGCTCCTGGTGCCGATGGTTTCTTGTAATCCAACGACGTGTCGTTGTATATGTCCCACCATTTCTTCACCAACATCTTTATGTCCTCCCTCTCCATGTTCTCCTCCTTGCCTGTGTACCTCCACGGCTTTGATCCCTGCAATGCAACAATTAATATTCAATCAATCGTTCAATCATTTTCGAAATTAATCAAACCCTTTAATTGATATTTGAATTATAAGACTTACTGCTGCACAATAATGCACCACTTTCACTTTGTCAAGCTCCACATTCTCCGGGTGTCGCCACAACATTGCGAGGACCAAATTGTAAGCTAAAGGAATTGGCTTGTAGATTTTCCTAAAGAACATGTTCAGATAGTCCTGCTCCGCAAATGGGGTGGGAGGAGTCACTTTGAGAGTGGTCAAGAGGTCATGGTAGGTTTCGAGGTCGGGCTCGAACACAAACATGCCGGCGTTGAAGTAAAGTGAGGGTGGTGGTCCCAGCTCCGATGTGGGCCACTGCACCTTCTCCGGGCACTGCTGGCAGTACCCGATCTTGTACTGCGGCGTGTGACTCCATGTTTTCTCGCAAAAGCAATCCATCACTGCGTAGAAGTGGCCGTCTGGCAGATCAAACAGGTGATCTATGTTGTCGTACACCTGAATGTCCCCGTCCAAGTATATCATCTTGCTATACTCCACAAACTGCAAATTTAATCCAAAAAAACATTAGTATATACTTATCAACATAATCTTACAAATCCACACAAACTATAAGAGATGTTTTATTACACAAGCGATAATCTAAATTAGGCATTTGAACTTGGGTGCAAGAGATCAACCAAATATTATGTACACAAAAGAAATGAAAGAATCAATCAAATGTTTAAAGAAATAAGTTTTTTATGTCGCCTACCTGCCACGTGTAAGAACTAGAGCAGCGCAAATTATACGTGTAACTAAAAGAGCACATAATTATATGGCATGGCCACGTAAGCAAGCTAAAGAACGTACCTCCCAAATTCGGAGCTTGGAATAGTTGATTACGTAATAGGCCATGGCGAACTGGGTCTGGTTCTCGGGCGGGCAAACGGGTTCGATCTCTCGGACTATGCAACCCTGCGACTCCAGAATACGACGGTGCTCTTGAGGGACGTCGGGCAAGACCGCAACGACCAATGGGTATGCCGTTTTGACCTTCCTCAATCCCTTGGCCAATCCGACGACGCCTTTCACGTAGTCACCGTTGCCGGCCAAGAAGGTGACGTATGCCCGGCTCGGCAGGGTGGCGGGTATGGTGAAACCCGACTTAGCGACGCTGGTGGGGACGAGTTCAGGAGCCATTGTGTGGTAGTGACGTGTCCAAGGGAGAAGGGACCGAGGTTGATAGAGGAAGAAGGCCTTGACCCTTGCAACGCTAGAGAGAGAGAGAGAGAGAGAGAGAGAGAGAGAGAGCGAGCTAGCTGGAGATGGCGAGAGTGGCAGAGATCGATGGCTTTGAAACTGCTCTGGAGGGATGATGATGTTGTTGGGTTTCGGTGTTGAGGTGGGAGGGGGTTTATATAAGCATTGGAATGAAATTAAATTTGCCCAAAATTTTAGGTTAATGCAGTACATCTTCTGGGATGGCCTTCTTGAGCTGTTTTCCATACACGTGTCTTTGTGAATTCATCCTACAGTAAGAGGCTGCTCCGGGGAAGTTCTGGAAAGGACCTCAACTTAATCGTGACATTTTTATTTTTTTTTAAAAACTGTGGTATAGAAGACTCTCGAAGGTCTATTTCCATATTTGCTACAGTTCGTTTTGAGTTGGAAATTTAAAACCGATGTGGTTGGGTGTAGAGCCACGTGTAGGGTGGTATTTTATTTACAAGCAACAAAGGTTAATTAGGTTTTTATGAAGAATAATCTACTGTTGAAACCATGACATTCGAATTAATTTTTAAGAAAATTCTCATCTCACTTATTACTTTTACGTATTTATTAAAACAAATAAATACAATTGAATACAAAATTGGAATGGAAAAAGGCTCACAAATTTGCATATTTAAGCTCCCTCTAAAAGTGTCGAGATTTACCACAGCTTTTAAACACCAACATCTCTAAATTGTCAAGATTAGATAAGTCGGTGGCATGCCATTATAGTTTAAAGAAAGGCATAACTATGAAATTGAAAAGATGGTAGAGAATAACATTATGTCATTGTACTACAACCGAATTCAAAGTTGAAACATAGAAAGATACCAAATTTTCATATTTAAACTCCCTCTAAAAGTGTCGAGATATTTTTAGTGAATTAGTGACGTCTCACGATATTTTTTTTCTTTTAAAAAGAAAGAAAAATGTGAAACACAAAAGATGATAAAGAATAAGATTCTATTATATATTGTCTTTAGTTTTCATGTACAAAATTGTTGAAATTGCCATAACATCCCCAAAGTTTAAATCGACATGATTCTTTCTTTGTCCTTGGTTGCTTGGCCTAAATAGGTTGAATATGAATTTTGAGTTGGAGTCTACAACCAATCAAACATGATTCTCTCTTTTCATTTGTTGCTGGTCATTTGCTACAACTTACTACCAGACGAAGACTGAAATGAAAAAGAAAGGACACCCCAAATTATATTTGTTTGTGGAAAAAGAGAGACAAGGAAATGTGGGGCATTCTAAAAGGTTCCATACGACACCATTGCATTGCAATTTGCTATGTGCAATTTGCATGCATCAAATTCGTGGGCCCTTGCCTTGACGACGCTCAGACTGTGCCACTTGTCAAAATGGGCCCCTACGTCGAGTTCTCCTCCATCATCTTGAACTTTCCTGTGCTTTGACTAGCAGCATCCATTCTAGCAAAATCTACTAATTACAATTTACAAACAAAACACTCACCCGCCATTTGATAATCTCATAATTACCATTAGACTATCATTTACTTATTATGACTGGAGATGTTCAAAAGACAACTCGCTGACAATCCCGTGTGTTGTAGACTAGTGGTGGTGGGGTGGGGCGTGACGAGTTGACGAGAGAGGTAAAATGGAACTGCCGATCACGACCTGCCCAATTTGGGCCATAGTTTTGCTTTGCGCCTGCATCTTTTTCAAAGTGCTCGTACCGCTTTCTTTTTAGTTGTTGTTGATGCCCTCGGAATGGCCCAGCTCAGGCCTCTTGTTGTTTGGGCTTCAGCCAGCTTCTCAACCCAAAGAAGGGTTCTTGGGCCTGACTTTCTGCCCATTCTTCCACAAAAGCTGTGCTGCTAATTGTTGGTCTCGGGTTCATTTAGGTTGGGTTAAAATTGAATTATTATAACTTGTATTGTTGATTGGAATTTTAAAGCTCAATGACCAAAACAAAGGTGTTTTGGATTATTTTTCAGCTTGAAAACAATATATAATAATATTTTAGAAAAGTGCTGCCATATAATTGAAATCGACCAATTCAAACTGTTTATTTCAATAAAACGAACTGATCTAATTCAATTCGATTCCACTGTAGTTTAGGATCCAATCCAATTTGTATTGGTCGACCAGTTTTAGTAATGGAGAAAAACAATATTGAACTATGAAATAATTCTCATAAAATCCAACTAGATTGGATTCAGTTGGATCTAATAAGTAAATTCGTCGTTCAATCTAATACGGTTGATTTTAGAATGAGAAATTCAATCCGATACACCAAATTATTGAAAAGAAAATAAATAAATGTGAAATGTGAAATGTGTAATGTGTAATGTATTGTTGAGGTATTTTAAATGTTTTGGCAGATACAAATTTAATCAAGTGGGCCAGAGAGGATGTGCTTCTTATTTTGTAACGAGTTCAAATACCCTCTCCATAATTTAGCTTGTATTTATTTATTTATTTTTTATAAAAACGTTTTGTTGCCACGGTGTTCATTCTGGTTAAGCCGTATTACATCACTCCGCAAGACGGATCCAAACTGCTATTTCATTAGCTTCGTCTCCTCTACAAGCGCCCCACTCTTCTCTTCTCTTTATAAAATAAATTTATTTTCTTCGCTTTCTCCTCTTCCTCCACCCCATCGTCTTCTTCTTCTCTAACGGTAAGGGCTTAGATCTCACCAGCTTGACCTTTTTATTGCTATTTATTTATTTGAATTCTGTTTGATAGTTATGTTGTATTTAGGCTTTGGTTGAGTAGAAAAATCGTTTTGCATTCTAGATCTGTGGTTTTCAAAATGTCTTTGATCTCTTCAATTTTCTTGGGTTTTATCGGGATGCAATCGTTGTGGGTGATTTAAGCTTTGTTCGGTGTCGCTTGAGATTGTGGTGATTATAAGGTAGATCTTTTAGTTTGATTTCATCTTGTTGCCTGTTTTGATGAGATACAGTTTCAGTGAGAATTTTATTTCAGTAATTCGTCAGTTTTGTAATGCCATCTGAAATATCTTTAGATTCGTTAGAGTTCATGAACATAACATTTCAAATGAAGTTTTAATTTGTTGGATCTGATTTTAGCTTGCAGTTTAATTGCATTTGGGGAAAATTTAGCTTGTTATGTGAAAATTGTTGCTGACTTGAGATTGTAAAATGAAGTTCTCTTCCCAATTCGGTTGTATATAGAGAATTATATGGTGGAGTGACTAGATCCCATGCAAACCAAATGTGGATTTGAGCCTTTGATGCATACAGTTGAGCCACGGATTCCGAATGTTCACACATTTAGTCTCTCACTTTGTGCTGAGTTCTGTTTGCACACATGCTCAAATTTGATATTTTTATTCTTTCTTATAATCAAGCTCACGTGTGATTTGAGTGATGCAAAAATGGTGGAAGATCATGATGCTTCGTTATGCCCTCCTCCATCCTTCTGATTACTTTGGGTTGTCTGATTTTTATTCTTAGTTTTGTGACATTTCACGAGACTTTCATTTTGAAGGTGCTCCTCTAATATTTTTTTTTACTGCCTTTCAGTTGGTGGCTGTCAATAATCTCCAAGTGAATCAAGATGGTAACAATCTGACCTTTCTTAGTTTTCCATTTAATTTTTACAAATTTATAAATAAACCCAATCCTAGACATGTATTTATAAAAAAACCCAAACACTATTTAAACATAGAAATACACCCAAAATCAACAATTGTATATTTTTTGGGTGTGTTTATAAATGGGTTTTGAGTGTGTGTAATGATGGGTTTTGGGTGTGTTTATAAAGTGTTTTGGGTGTTGGGTTTTTTAATAATTTCAGCCCCCATTTTGGGTGTTTTAGTGATTGATATTAGTATTATTCATACATTTTAACCACTCAACATGGAAAACTATTCTGTATGCAAGTTCGACTGAAGATGCCACAGCAAAATAAATATACGAGTATAAATTTCTGAGGCTCAGTCAGTTTAACTTGGATCCAGAATAGTTTATATTCTTCAGTTTAATTTCTGAGGCTCAGTCAGTTTAATTGTATGAGTTTATAATCATGTAATTCATTGTGTTTCTCTTCAGTTAAATGCGAAGAGTTTTCCTTATTGAGTGGTTTAAATGTGTATACACAACTTAAGAATGTTGTCCCTAATAATTTTTTGTTTTCTTGGAATATCTCTTCTCATTTTCCCCTCTATTTGTAATTTAGGTTGTGCTCGCTTCTTCAATTATAAGCAAGTCTGGGAAAGGTGAGTTCTGTGCATTTTTCTTATGTTTCTGTGGGTTTCTGTTGGTTGATAATAATAATTCTTGCCTTTTCCTTTGTCTACATAAAGTACACATGTGGAAGTGTGGGAATTGTTGATTGGTGAAATAATTAAGAATGACACTTGATTGAATTAGGAAATTGATACACCCTTGAAGGCAGTCTGAGCTGTGTCATGCACTACTGCACTAAGGTTTAACCAAAAAATTACAGTGGTTTATCTATTTCATTGAGATTCACAAGACTCTCATACAATCTTGGTGATGAATTTAGTCAATGGAGTTTCTTGCAGTAAGAGAGAGGGAAATGAGATGGCTTTGGGGATGTTACAGGAATTAAAGATAATCCAGGTTTTCATTTTCTGTTTTGTTATGCCGTATCTGGGGGTTATTAAAAGGAAAGAAATAGTTGTACTCTTGGCTGAGCTATTTTAACATCACTTTCTTTTGCCTTAATTTGACTTGCTAGTAACTAATTTGTTGCAACGGTGCATATCATTAGAGTTGTTAAAATTTTATCTATATTTATTTTCTATTTTTTATTTTGCAGTGCTTGTTTCTAGGCAGTTTGTGGATATGTCTCGTATAAGAATTGAGGGTCTTCTTGCGGCTTTCCCTAAGTTGGTAGGCACCGGCAAACAACATACATATGTTGAGACAGAAAATGTGCGCTATGTTTACCAGCCGATAGAATCTTTGTACTTGCTACTTGTTACAAACAAGCAGAGCAATATATTGGAAGATTTGGAGACTTTACGGCTGCTCTCTAAACTTGTATCCTTCTTATGCTGGCCTATGATTGTTTTCATGTTATTTTAATGACTCGACTTCTTGGATCCATCAGTCATTGCTGTTTTTTTTGGCAGAACAATTGACTTGTTGCTATGATGATAGTGATAAAATGTTAGAATCGATCTAGATCCTTTTTTTATTTATTTGATTTATGTGCTCATGCCTTCATTTTATTATTCCCCCACTCCTTTGGGAACTGCGATTCACATCACACATCTTGGTTCATGGTTTGTGGCCATTCTGTTCTTCCAAATGGTACTCTCAACTTACAATTATAAATGGTGAAGAAAAAGGATTTTAAATGTGAAAAGTAAATAAAGCTGGAAGTTAGGGCAAAGTTTGTGTATACAGTTTCTGGTCTTCTCATCCTACGTATATGTATGCAAGTGTTTGTGTTTTTTTGCATGCATGTAGATGTATGGATGTTCCTTCAAGTTATGCCCAAGCAACCCAAGTAACAAGTCTAACAATGTGCACCATTTACTTGCCATAACGTACCATGGTTCTGGTGGGCCATAAGTTATTTTTGAGACATGTCTTTTCGTTTCTGGATTTTTAACCATCGAGTTGATTCCTTAAGCGTTTTTAGGTACCTGAATATTCTTTGTCCCTAGATGAAGAAGGTATATGCAGGACAGCATTCGAGCTGATTTTTGCTTTTGATGAAGTCATCTCTCTTGGGCACAAGGAAAATGTGACTGTTGCACAGGTTAAGCAGTACTGTGAGATGGAGAGTCATGAAGAGAAGTTGCACAAGCTCGTAATGCAGAGCAAGATAAACGAAACCAAGGATGTTATGAAACGGAAAGCTAGTGAGATTGACAAAAGCAAGGTAATTATTTAGGGCCCTGTGATGGCTCCTGTAGTGGCTTTGTGCTTTGCTTTGCAAGCCTCCTCTTTAACAATACTATGTCGTGTTTCTCTGCAGATTGATAGGGGCAGAGTTGAAAAGGGTGGATTTATGTCTTTACAGTCAATGGGATCTGGAAGAATTGAGAGTACCTTTAGTGATATGAGCATATCAAGTAGTGGAAGTGGTGGTTTCGGAGGTGGTTCTGGTTTTGGATTGAGCACTGATATTGACTCATTTTCTACAAAGACCAAAGGTTTGTGTCTCTATTTGTCTGCGTGAATCTGTGATTCATTCTGATATTAATGAGCTGCGGTGATGGTGGTGTGTAGTGCATGATTTAAAATTCTTATTCGATTATGATATGTGTAAACCATATGATGTAGTTCCCCGATGTTAGTTAAAATGCTATGTTTGTTAAGCTGTTCTTATATAGTATGTGTAGGAAAACATTGAAAGCACATAATGTACAAGATTTCTATCTGCCACCATTGTGCCTTTCACATTCATTTTTTATTGTATAATTAAGTCTACTTGTTTTTACTATGTACACTTCTATCGTCAGGTCGTCCACCTTCATCTGCCACCGCTCCTCCAAAGGGTTTAGGTATGCAGCTGGGAAAATCACAAAGGACCAACCAATTTTTAGAGTCCCTGAAAGCAGAGGGGGAGGTGATTCTTGAAGATGTACAGCCAAAAGCAGGCCAGTCTAAATCAGCTGCTCCACCTCTAACTGATCCCGTCACTTTGAATGTTGAAGAGAAGCTCAATGTTACACTTAAACGTGATGGTGGAATGAGCAACTTTGATGTTCAGGGGACATTATCTCTGCAAATTCTTAACCAAGAAGATGCACACATCCAAGTCCAGGTACTGTGTGAAATATTACCATGGGCATAATCGAGATGGTAGTTTTAGTTTTAACATCTCAGTGTTCATGATGACGTTTAAGTAACACATCTTACAACTGACTTATTTGATTACTAGGCTTGCTCTAAATCAGATAGGAACTTCATAATTATCCTTTCCATGGGATGGGAGACTTCTAGAGCTGTGTCTATTTTGAATGTTGTCTTTTGAAGTAGGTCATGCTTTGTGTAATTGCAATGTGTTTTGTCTTATTTTCAGATTGAAACTGGTGCAAATCCTGGCATCCTTTTCAAAACACACCCTAATATGAACAAAGAACTGTTCTCCAATGAAAACATTCTAGGCCTAAGGGATCCTTCTAGGCCTTTTCCCACCGGTCAAGCTGGTGATGCAGGAGGTGTTGGTCTTTTGAAGTGGAGAATGCAGACTACAGACGAGTCAATGGTGCCCCTGACAAGTGGGTTCCAAGTATTTTCATCATCTTGATGCACAATTTATATTGTATGCTCTGATCATTAAATATCAATCTATCTCTGTTGCAGTCAACTGTTGGCCCTCTGTTTCTGGGAATGAAACTTATGTCAACATTGAATATGAAGCTTCACAGATGTTTGATCTGCGAAATGTTGTCATCTCAGTACCTCTGCCAGCTCTTCGAGAGGCTCCACGAGTAAGCCAGGTTGATGGTGAATGGAGGTGAGAAAAGTCAATTTATTTTTCTTATTTACTCTAGCTTTTGGCACCTTGAATTACAGCCATACGCACTGAATATGGTCGTCGTTTTACTGGTACAGAATGTTCCACTGTGAACATGAATGTGGATACAGAGGGATTCTTTTCTCATTGGTACCTTACATTAAACTGTGTGGCTGTGATTTTATGGACATGCTCATAATCCTAGGGTCCTGATTCAGGGTGGAGTTAAGATGATATTTGTGAGATACTGTTTCCAGTGCTTTTTTATTTTAATTTTAAATTCATGATTCTCTAAGTGGTGATTACGTGAAAGATGTTTTAAATTAATTTTTTTACCTTTGATGCTTCCTTGAGTTTAAGTTGCATCAATAGAATGGTAAAATTGTGATTTAAAAATTTATTTATGGAAAAGCAAATTTTTTTTTTACATAAAAAAGAAGAGGAACAGTGAATTCAGTGCTTATATATAGTATATAATACCATATAATATATATACATTTGTGTGTGTGTGTGTATTCTATCTGCGTTTGAAGAATTATTTTTGGTCACATCAATCTCTAGTCAAGTTTTCTGCTGATTGTAAATTGTAAATGCTGTCCTGTGTGGCTTTGAAACTGTAGTTCAATGGAACATAAAATCTGGCTCTATTAGCATAACTCTTAACAACATTGTCCTGTAGTGTGTAGAACTTTACTATCATTACTAGTTATAGTGGTTTAACTTTTCTGATAACAAGCCTGGAACTAGGAATTTTGGGTGGCTGCAATTTTGAGTATGCATGGGTTCACATATTGTCAATTTTGTGATATCTTAACTTTCGTTAAGTAGTTTTGTGGAAGTTTTTCTTTTTTCATTTCCTTTTTGATATATTTCTTGCTGGAAGTGCCTGTGATCCCATGAACAACGGGTAGGATATGAGTACCCCCACATGTCATCCTTTTGTGTAGATGTTGGTACCGGATACTAACATGGAAAAAACCTGGGAATACACTGGGAAATAGGTCCAGGAATATGCCTGGTGTCCCTGCTATCATGTGATGGTGATGGTATTACTCCTGGAGCAAAAGGATTGAAACATTCACTGCTTTTTTGGAATTTATATTTCTTATATTTGATATCAACATTTGCATTGCAGATATGATTCAAGGAATTCAACGTTGGAGTGGTCCATACTTCTTGTTGATAACTCGAACCGCAGGTCTGCAAATGCTCTGATTCTTTTGGGTTGTTAAATAGTCTTGTATACTAGCGTTAATGAGACTGTTATCTTTCTGGAATCCTTGGCAGTGGATCGATGGAGTTTGTTGTTCCCCCAGCAGACTCATCTGTATTTTTCCCCATTTCTGTGCGCTTCTCCGCCACTAGTACATTCAGTGACCTGAAGGTACAAGTGCTTGACTTTGATTTCTTGATGAAGATCCTTGTGCTATCATACTTTCCTCATTTTGGTGAATTTAAATAACACATGCTATAAGCGCAAATACTCTGTTGAGTCCATTGTCTCATACTTTACTCATTTTGATGGACTTAAATAACTCATACTATAAGTGCGACTACTTTGTTGATTCCATTGCGGATGTTATACCGCTAGGCTTTTTGGCCTACTATGTTATTAGGTACCTCAGGAATTGGGGAAGTATTATATTGCTCTAACTTCTATCATACTGGCGAGAACTCACTGCTTCACACGCCAGTAACACGGATGGGCCGCAGAGTTTTTATTATCTGCCCATTTATTATGTATATCTGTAGTCCACTTGAAACATGGCTAATTCTCAAACTTCATGTGGAAGCCTTTGGGTGTGTGATCAGTCCACTCAAGGACTCCATAACATACTTGAATAAGCAAAAATGTTTTTATTTTCGGTGCATGTAATGGCCAGTCTGATTCTTGACCGAGGTTAGAAAAGACTTCCTAACTTGTGCACCGTATAATTTCCTTCTGAGATTGATTAGAGATCTTCTGCCACATATAATTTCCTTTCACTATCATGAATAGGCCACTTATTCTCTAATGGTATTAACGGTTTAAAAATTGGAACCTGATCTTATGCCATAACTTACATCTGACTTTTCTTTCTAGTAGCATTTACGTTAGTAGATTGTACTTGAGAAGTTTTTTTAGCCACAACTCTTTTTCTCAATTCTTTCCCGAACATCTTGTGTTTTGGCATAATTTGCGTCATATTCATACCTTGTATAAAATTTGCCAATGTCAACTTTATTTTGCAGGTTGTGAACATTTTACCTCTGCAAGGTGGAAACCCTCCCAAGTTCTCTCAAAGAACGCAGTTGATCACAGAGAATTACCAAGTGGTGTGACCCGTTGGGGTGTCAGTTTGCAACTAGATTATCAGTTTCTGCTACATTTTTGGACACGAATTAAATTCTAAATCGACAATTTGTACTTTTTGGTGTTTTTTCCCCCATTCAATTTGAGATGAAGGATGCCAAGAGTTATATTTTTATAAATTTGAACCTAATGTCTTAGGATGCTTATACAATCTACAGTCTTTCATGTGTGTATCTGCCAGACTTTGGATACTATAAATCTTCATGTCATTTCATTCTGTACGTCAGTTTTTATCCCGACTTTATACTTCAATTGCATATTGATCCACCTTGTCTTTTCATACGGTAGTCTCAACTTGAATCACAAGGATGAATTCATGAATGAAAGTTTTGATGGCTATCCATGATTCATCGATCATCTACTTTATTGTGATAGATGAAAGATTTTATTCTATTTTTATACAATAAATAGTCTTAATTAATTTAATTTATTGGGAGGGAGACTCGAATTTGAGTGCTAATGGGTGGGCTATTTCCCTGGCCATACAGCTTGTGGTTGGCCAAATTATAAGCTACCCCAGTTTCTATAACTCTAATTACTACTCATGTTGACAATTGGTTACCCTTAATTCATTCGATATCCCCAATCGAGCTCAACAAAAAGTATTCTCAATTAACAACACATTCTCTCTCGAGCAACCAAAAATTTAGAAAATCAAGAACCCATTAAGTTCTATGAAAACCTACAAGAAAAATGCATGAATCATTTTATTCCCTCTGGGACACGCATTCAAAACATGATATTTGTTATAAGATAGTTGCCAAACACCCCCCTTAGTCTCTGTCTGGATCAACAAATCAATTAAATATTCAAAGCATTAAGAACAATAACAAATACTCAACATGGAATAGAAACTATAAATTAATATAAACTATAAAAATGAAGTATTTATGGTTAGACTACATTGTAGCCATAGTAAGGAAAATTAGTTCATAACGACAATAAAGATAAATAAAATATTCATTGTCATTAAACCAATTCAAACGACGGATTTGGTCTCAGGAATCTCCACAGCAACACCTTTGAAGGCTCCAATTACTCTTGAGAGTCAAAATCTGTATTGTGTATTAGAAGGTTACTTTTACACAATTGGCAAGTCCTGACAGATTAATTGTGTCCACTAATATAATTGTGTTTCCACACGTCTATGCCTTGAGCTCTGCAGCCTATCAATATATTTTTATTATATATAGTGTATGAGACCAATGGGGCACTATAAACAGCAGATCCAAGAGACTTATTTGGAAGTTTGAGCAGACCCATAAAGAGGAAAAGAAACCTCAGCAATGTCTAAGCCAAGGTAAGAAATTCAAAATCTTTCTTTTTGTATCTCAACCTTATTAGATCTTCCGGCTGAGTTCCAATGTTAATTTTCTTGTAACATCATTTCAAGTGCTTGATCAGTTAACTTGGATTTTGGACATCATATTCCTTTTCACTCTCACAATCACAAACACCTTCAAATTCCATGCCTTAATCAAAATGCATGCTCTTAATATAAACAAATATATACAATTATGATTTTATAGGTTGGAGGGCAAGGTGGTCCTTATCACAGGTGCAGCCGGTGGGATTGGTGAGGAGGCAGTGAGACTATTTGCAGAAAATGGAGCCTTTGTTGTTGCTGCTGACATTCAAGATGAATTGGGTCCTCACGTTGTCGCCTCAATAGGCTCCGAAAGAGTTAGCTATTGCCACTGTGATGTAAGAGATGAAAACCAAGTTGAGAAAACAGTGAACTACACGTTGGACAAATATGGCAGCCTAGACATTTTGTTCAGCAATGCAGGTGTCTTGGGTCCAATGACTGGCATATTAGACCTGGACATTCAAGGCTTTGACAACACCATGGCCACGAACGTTCGTGGCGCTGCTGCAACAATCAAACACGCTGCGCGTGCCATGGTGGCTCGAAAGGTACATGGTTCAATCATATGCACAACAAGTGTGGCAGCTTCTCTTGGAGGTATATCTCCACATGCTTACACAACTTCAAAACATGCTCTGTTGGGTTTGGTGAGAGGAGCTTGCAGTGAGCTTGGGGCTTATGGGATCAGAGTGAATAGCATTTCCCCATTTGGAGTTGCAACCCCTCTTTCATGCAAAGCTTACAATTTGCAGCCAAGTGAGGTGGAGGCTAATTGCTCTGCCATAGCCAACTTGAAGGGCATTGTGTTGAAGGCTAGGCATGTGGCGGAGGCTGCTCTGTTTCTTGCTGGTGATGAATCTGCTTATGTTAGTGGACACAACTTGGTTGTCGATGGAGGCTTCACGGTGGTTGATCATATTTATTCGGCCAACTAGAACTGTGGTTTGTTGTCGCTCAAGGAGCCAACTTATTTAATGTATGGTTGGCATTTTGATTATTATTTTTTGTTGTTGCTTCTTTTCTACATTAAACAGAGTTTTCTGTTCTAAAGTCAAACTTTGTTAGCAGTAATTCCCATGTGCGCTTTCCTTGTAATCTGCAATGTGATCTGTTTTTTTTGTAGCTTCCACTTCATAAATCCATCGATCATGTCTTTTGTCTCCCCCTTGTTCATACACTCTTTAAGTTTTCTAATTAATTAAAGAAAGTGAAAACAGTACAGTTGAAAAGAAATGAAGCTATAGTTATAGTAGGTACATTGAACCATTGAAAACCGATGTTTGTATTGTATATTTCTGACAAAAACCATTATAATTATTTGGACATCATTTTATGAACCCCATTTGACTTGAGAGGTCTATCTATTCTGTACACTACACACGATTTAGCACTTTAAATGTATCAATAGATGCTAATGTGGGCAATTAGTGATGAAACTAGCCATTCGTATGTGGCTGTTATTTTGGATATAGATGGTATAGGGAGAACCCGAACCTTAGCATTTAGAGTAGGGGATGTTTGGAACCAGCTGTGTAATGTACCAATTATTAGGTGTCTGTTTGCTTTATTCATCACCCAAAAAGGGAAACAGGAAATTAGGGAAAACTACATTTTGAGTATGTGATCCTTGCCAGAACCGCAGAGCAGCAGCACAGATGGAGCCGCTTGACAACTTGTGCATCCATCCATCCACACACCCAGAGAGGAGACACAACAAACAAGTATAGTCTGGTCAAGTTAAATGCGGCAGATGATATAATGCATAACATAATACAGCAAAATATAACACTTATCTGAGTCACTTTGACCAAATGCTTCATCATTCATCATTCATCATTCATCATTCATGTCATGTGGTCCCAAGGAAATGTAGCTACTACTACTACTATAAACTACAATGCAAAAGGCAAGAAGAGTAGAGAAACTTAGCTCTCTGAGCAGCAACTGTAACCCCATTTCTGGCAATCTCTCTGAGCAGTAACTATAAGCCCTCCGAGGGGTTCTTCTTTGGGCTTCGTGGTGGCTCCTTGCCTCTTCTCTTTGGTTTGGTTTGTTCTACTTTTTTATTTGGTGGCTGGTTAGGCTCTTTGGGCCTTTTTGGGCTGTTGTCAAACGATGGTTATGCCCTCTGTTTCTCTGCTATTTCTTAGGCTTTGTCAGTTTCTTAGGCATTCTTCTAACTTTATTTGATTTACTATTAAGTGTCATGAGTCATGACAACAAAATGCATACACAAGCACAAGTTTTAAATTACACACCGGGTAGAACGTTAAATGATGTTAATCATTTGAGCTACAAGACCATTGCAGTGTTAATACTGTTATAATAGGATTAAATGAAACGAGAAATTTTTTGATAAGGGATAAGATGGGCACAAAAGAATTAAACTTGATTTAGTTTTCAAACATCACTGTCAAAATGGAAAGTGTTACGTGTACATTCGTTCACCCAGTCGTTGCCTTGCTTGGCCCCAGTATAGTTTTGACCTGAATAGTTTGTATTTTGTATCTTTAGCTTAGTTTTGTCACCGACCAATCTCCCAAAGCGTCCAACGTGACCAAAAATCCACCTCTACCTTCTCTGTCTACTCATTTCAAATCGTCGTTCAGAAAATACTTCCAGACCTGACAGTCAAAACTACTAGTCGTCTCCATCAAACGATCAACTGAAACAAGTTCCAGACACACAATGGTGGTCTGTCTCATTGGGCTTTCATATCTCAAATTGGAAATTCTGGGTTTTCATTTCTGGAGGCTCAGATTTCAATAAACTTCTTCCACTTCAACAACAGCCATGGCACTGGAGGTTTATTGGTATGACTTCGTGTGCTTTGGCATTGTTGGTGTTGCCTTCTTTGGTGCTTTATGGGTCATTTGGAGGAGGGAAGGCGCTTCTGCAAGATTCGAAGATACAACCTTGTATGAGAGCCTTCTGGTCACTAGACCCGACAGTGAGGTGTTTGTGAGTGCACTGCCGAGGGGTCATGTTAGCACTTCTCAGCTATGGACTAGTTGCTGGAAAGGGCTCCACCCAGGTTGGCTCTTGGCCATTCGATTTCTCTCCTTTCTGGCCCTTGCTGGGTTCTTGACTTGGGATATTGTCGATTGGGATGCTTCCATTTTTATTTACTACACCGAGTAAGATTTGATTTTCTGACTTGCTCATTAATTTCAAGTCTATAGCTTGATGTATGATTTGATAGCTTGATCTCTCAGTATATGTCTAATTCATCACAACTATAGAGTATTGGACCCTCTGGCTTCTGTGGGAATTTGACTTAACAATTCATTTTATCAACATGGTCTGTGATCAATAAGATACCCTGTAAATAAGTTCCTAATTCTGCTGATCATAATCATGGTTTTGTTTCATTACTTGTGCCTGCCCACATTAGGAAACTAAATTGATGGTCAGTCCGTTTTATTTTACAAGTAAAACAGTAATAATGGTTAGGGTTTTGACTGAAAGGGTGAGACCAATGACCAATTTGGTAAAGTATGTGAGAGGATGATACATCAAGCTCACCCAACGTTCTGCACATTATGTGCATGAGGGCAACCCTGTATTGAAACAAGATTGAAGCACCACTTATATACTAAAGCATCCCTTGGAAAGATTAACATGTGGATGAGCGGCAGTAATTGTTGACATGATGAATAAAACGTGGGCCTAAAATTTGGTTTTATAGTACGCTTTCAGAGTTCCTTGGCAATTGTTTCAGCTTGAGTTTTCTGATTCAACCTAAACCTTCAAACCATGCATGTCCATTCTCAATACAAGTTCTTCTCCTTAGATTGCAATCCTCTGGATCTATGCCACTTATTAAACATGATATTTAACCTTATATGTGTTAATGTTCTGTTAATGATCTCCTTCATTATTTATTTGATGTTGTTGATCTGCAGGTGGACTTTTACGTTGGTTATGGTCTATTTTGCGGTATGTCAGTCTATACAACATCACATTGTCTTCCTTTTTCTTTTGGTACCAAAACACGCATTTTATTGGCTCATTTTGGTGTTCATCTGTATCATGAATACCCTACATGCTCTGGTGTGGAGACTTTCACATAGAGAAACAAAAATGAACCGTGCATAAAGTCAATTTGGGTTTGGTTTGTAGAATTAATAAATTAGCAAGACCATATCTGTTTCAAATCAGATCCTGCTTTGCCTTTACACATTGCTAATTTCTCTGTATAGCTGGGAACTATAGTGTCTGCGTATGGTTGGTGGTTGTCCACAAACAAACCCCCCTCTGAAAATGGGACAAGGGCTGAATCTGTGATAAGGGATGTGGAAGATGATAATGGAATCATTAATACTTATAGGCAAAAAGGAATTAACGGTACCATCAAATTGCAAAGCCACTATGCTCAAGAGGAGATTCAACATAGAGCAGGATTTTGGGGATATCTTATGCAGATTGCATTCCAGGTTAGTTAACCAAGATCCAGATTTTGTACTTTGTAGCCTATTCCCATTGGTATGTGTGGTGCGCGCGTGTTCACAAACTGTTGTCAAATTGAGGTTACTAGATATTTACAATGCCTAATGCCGTTTGTTGGATGTGTGTGTGTGTGTGTGTGTTCACAAACTGTTGTTAAATTGAGGTTACTAGATATTTACAATGCCTCAGAATGATTTCAAATCACAATTGTGCCTAATGTTGGGAATTAGCTTGATTTTTGAAAATTTTCTTGAATGCCGTTTGTTGGAGGTATGCAATATGCCGAGAAGCTGATATTTCTTGGTAACAGACTTGTGCAGGAGCTGTTGTCCTCACAGACATTGTCTTTTGGTGTGTCATCGTCCCATTTTTATCAAACGCTCACCTGGGCCTAAATACGGTGCGTGTCTAGCTATTTCTTGTAATGTGTCCAATTCTTGTACATCCCCTAATTTGTTGCTTAATTATGTTTTCATTCACCATCTATGAAATATAAAGTTGCTATCTTATGGATTGACCGATGACTAACTTGTATATGTACTTGGCAGTTGATGTGCTGCATGCATACTTTGAATGCGGCTTTTCTTCTTCTGGATACCTCTCTTAACAGCCTTGTGAGTATTTCAATATGTCAGCCAAGCTCTCGTACAACTGGTTTTACCATGTCTATCTCATTATCAGTTTACTGATGTCCCTTCCATCTTCTTTTTTTTTCAGCCATTTCCTTGGTTCCGGCTTTCGTACTTTGTCCTTTGGAGCTGCATCTATGTCATCTTCCAATGGGTCATTCATGCACTTGGTTTCCCATGGTACGCTTAATTAATTAAAATCTTCTCTCTTTCACACTTTTAGTTGGCGTGGAACAAACAATGAGTCTCATAGACCTGTGATTAAAGAGCTAGTAACATTGTCTTGAGTATTTTCAGGTGGCCATATCCTTTCCTCGAGCTTAATACACCATGGGCCCCATTATGGTATACTAGTTATATATATCTCCTCTGTTTTGACTTTTCTTCAAGATGAAGTTATAAGAATAAAATTCTAATGGATGTTTTCTTTGATTTGACAGGTATTTTTGTATGGCTGTGGTTCACATCCCTTGTTATGGGATTTTTGCTCTAATTATAAAAGCAAAGTATTCACTTCTCCCCAAATGGTTCCCCCACGCTTTTGTGAGGCCAATCTAGCTCACTTGTTATTCTTGGTTATTTGAAGAATTACATACAATTGGGACTGGTTTTGATTTTGATTGTTTTCTAGTGTATATAGAGAGGGCAATGCTTTTCTCCGTCCCTCTCGGGATACTTGTGATTCACATATTTTACAATGTCTTATTAAAATAGTTGGATTGGACCGACCAATCATAGCTTCTTCTTCTTTCCTTTTTTTTTCCCTGTCGCAATGAAGCTACATGATCCCATACTTCTTTATTTAACTTATTTGAACTTTTTTGGAATTTGCAACAATCATGTTCTGATCTTCTTGTGCTGCTCAAAAGAAATTTCGAATCTCACCACAGCAGTGAGATTCCAAATACATAGGTTACGTCTTTCAATAAGAAAGTTTGTACACCAAGCATGTTTTATCTTCACATGGTTATCAGCGAATGATTCGACATGTTTTATTCTCCACCCTTGAATGTGATCACCGCTGCTCCAATTTGACCAAATATCAAATATACACACAAACTACGTGGGGTTTTTTTTAACAAAAAGACACGATTGAAACCCATGTAGTTAAAAATTTCTCCTTAACAATCACAGCCAGACATTCAACAATGAAAATTTGCTTGGCTACGTCCTCAAAAAAAATTTCCAAATCACTGTGTGACATTAACTCATTATTTCTTATAAATGGGATTTCATTCCTCGAATTTCTTTTGCTTTTGCGGATGATTATTTGGTGTTTGGTCAAGAAATTTGGGGATTAAGGTTGGGTTAATAGAAAATTTTGGAAAGGAACCCGGAGCACTGCGGAGGTCTTGGTGGGGCTAGGTTTAAAAAAAAAATTATATAAAAAAATTATAAAGCTTTTTTCTTTTTCTTTTTTTCTTTTGATTTTATCTATTTAACTTTTATTTTATTCAAGAATACAAATATATCCCTAAAATTAAAGGAGAATTGGATGAGGCACATTACTCTTATAAATTTAAAAAGTAAAATTTATATACACATGTCAAATTATGATGAGCAATTAAATAAGATTGACTATTTTCAAGAGAAAGAGCTAATTATTATTGGAAAATACTTCCTTTCATCTATGAACTCTTGCATTAATGTCAATGGCAGTATGACATATATAGAAGTTCTTCTTTTTTTATTTTTGATGAATTATTAGGTTTTCCAGGTATTTGAGTATGTAATTGAAAATGACCACACAATGTGGAGGATCTTTTTGTAGTTTGTCCTTAAAAACACCAAATGACAAGAAGCCAGTGAGAGCATCCACAGTGGGGGGTGTATTTTCGGGGGTGTAAAGCCACTTTTACATCCCCTTTACACCTCCGGAGGGTGTAAATACGTTTTTTGCTCCAATGAGAAATGATGTAAATTTAAAGATCTATAATTGATTTGTTTGTCTTAATTCATTTTTGTGTTAAATTTGTAATTTGTGTTTACTTTATAAAATTATTATTTTTATGTATTAGGTTAATTTTATTTTTTCAAACAAATAGACCTAAAAATATTTAAATTTGGAGAAGATATGATGTCATACAAAAATATTTAAATTCGGAGAAGATAATATTTAAATTGCCCCGCATGTGAATTTTTTTTAGCAATTACTATAGCCATGGGTCCCACCTTTTTATGCTGACTTTTCTCCATTTTTCCTCTCTTTTTCTCAGCTAGGTCCCACCTACAAGAGATGTAAAAAAAGATGTACAATTACATATAAATTTACATCTCATGGTGGTGATGTAATTATACATTCATTTACATCCTCCATTATGAGTGATTCTGATCACAACGGCTGTATATTTAAGATACACCTCATTATACACCTCCTCACTGTGGATGCTCTTAGGCCATCTCCAGTCATAGGGCTAAATGTAGTACATGACTAAAAATTTAGCCCCCCTAAAATATTAATTTTTTAAAGAATAGTGCAGAGCTAAATTTTTCCATCTCCAACTATGCAGGGCTATATTTTAGAATCCTTCATATTTTATTATTTTGAAAAGGGGAGTGGAGAGTGCTTTAATGATTGGTTGTTGAAAAGCACATGGATGGGGCCCACTATAAATTTCGCCTAGGCCAAAGCTAGGCTACATTTGGCCCGGTTGGAGGGCTAAATGGCCAAATGTGGCCCTCCAAATTTGGCCAAAATTTTATTTAGCCCATGACTAGAGATGAGTTTTGCATTAATTTAGAGCTATATTTGGGATATAGCTCATGATTGGAGATGGCCTTACAAACTAAGAACTAAATTTCAAGGCATATGGTCCGTGAGTAATGAGCCGTGAACAACTTGGCGGGCCTTCCCACCCCGACACTTACCATTGGCCTCTCAATAGTTAAATAGTCGGTCATTTCGATTTCAACTACCTACCCGGTAGGCCATTATTGCTTGGCATTTTTCATCCAGTCATCTTCCCTCTTTTTCTTGCAGAATTCCCACTTGAGAGTTGAGAGTTGAGATTCAGCTTTTTCTGGGTTTGTTCAGAAAGAAATGAGCAGTGAAGAAGGAGAAGGCCCTGGCTACTGGCTTCAATGGCAAGTGCTGGTTTGTGCTCTGATTGTTACCGTTCCAGCAGTGATAGCTCTGAAATTTGTGAAGAAAGCAAAGCAGCAACCTTTGAATTCTGTGGACTTGTGGAGCACATGCTGGAGATCCCTCGATCCTCTTTGGCTTCTCTTTTACAGAGCTTTGGTCTTCCTTTGTATGGCCAAAATGCTCTATGACATGGTCTCCCAATATGGACTTTTTACCCTTGTTTTCTACACCCAGTAAGAGCTTTGATTCATTCACATCACACACAGTTGTTGAAATTATTAGACTTTTTATTTAACAACAAGAAGAGCTGTGTAATCTTTGTGGCAAAATTGGGCTGCAGGTGGACTTTTGCGTTGGTTATGCTGTATTTTGCGGTATGACATAGAAAGAGTTAATCAACTCAAACTAGTTTGGTCATTTCAAAAATATCAAATTAAGCATCTCTTGCTTTACATTTGCATATGCTTTTTGTTTGTGTGTGTAGCTGGGAACAATTATATCTGCTCATGGATGTTGGGTTGGAAGGTCTACTTACAGAGAAGAACAATCGAAGGGTAGAGTCAAATCGAAAAGCCACCAAGCTCGAAATGAGATAAGCCAAAGAGCAGGATTCTTTGGAAATCTAATGCAGATTATGTATCAGGTTTGTCCATCTTTTTGAGTGTCCTTGATTCTAGTGTAGATTTAATCTTTGAAGCAAGCTTTGTTATAATTTACAAGGGCTATAGTATTACTGTATTAGTAGGTCATTTGAAACCAACATGAATCATATATGGCTGTGTAGTTGGAGGGCTTGAAGCTAATATGAGTAAGATATGTTTGGGAAATCAGATATGTGCAGGTGCTGTGATGCTAACAGACATTGTATTTTGGTGTCTCATACTACCATTTCTAACAAGCATAGAATTCGAACTGACCCTGGTGAGTTGCTCGTCTTCTCCTCTCTTCTAACACAGGAAGATTAACTCCTCTTAACATATGAATATGATACATGATGTCAATGGCAGTTGATAGGTGCCATACATGCTGTGAATGCTGTTTTTCTAATCGGGGATACCGCTCTCAATAGGCTTGTAAGTCTTTGAAAAAACTGCCATTCTGTTTTGAATGTTGTTTTTCACAGCACAAAACTAATGATGCTACTTTGCACGTTGTTTTCAGCCATTTCCCAAGTTGGGTTTTGCATATTTTGCGCTCTTCGGCTTCCTCTATATTCTTTTCCAATGGCTCCTTCACGCCTTTGGTGTTAAATGGTAAACTTGTTTTATTGTTTTCAGAAAGAAATTATTTTAATGCACATAAATTGTTTTGGCTTAAGTTAAGATCCCTTGTTCCCGCAGGTGGCCATATCCTTTCCTCGAGCTTAATACACCTTGGGCACCTTTATGGTATGTCGCCTAAGCCATATCCTTCAATTATTTTTATCTTTGTTAAATAAATAAAGAATCTCATCCAAATTATTATGTGTTTTCCTACCATACAACAGGTATTTTGGATTGGCAGTATGGCACATTCCCTGTTTTTGGATATACTCCCTAATCGTCAAGGCCAAAATTTCAATCCTCCCAAGCTTGTTTCCTCGTGCATTGGTAAGGTTATAATTTGCCTATCGTCCTTCGATTATTTGATGATAAGCAGACACTTGTTCTAAATCTTCTGGGGATTAATCGCCCAGATTTTGTATACTGCTAAGCTATACACATTGTTAAGCAGCCTGCCATTTTTTCTTTGTAATTGTCATTCGGGCTAGACATCTACCATTACAAGTTACTGGTTTGAATAAAATTGGCCATGGAGTTGGTGATTCTAACGGGTCGAAAGGCTGTTCAACCCACCAGACAGGCAGCTAGAAATGACATCCACAATAACAGAAAATATTCACAATCCTTCACCATCCTCAAATCCAATTCAACGTGTGAATTTTAAAAAGTTTCGTAGATAATAAGGGAAAATGAACCACAGAAGGCACATACAACACAGAGTGCATCAAAAAAGCTCAGGCCAATGACGCAGACATGCACACATGGTGGTATGGTGGGAGACTGGTAAAATAGAACACAAACTTCCATTTAAATGGTAAAAGAGTTTCAATTAACTTTGGCAACAATAATTAAAGAAGTTTACTCTGTGGACATACCATGATCATGAAACAAATAACTTTTTTTACCTAGAGATTTTCAAAACCAACATTGGCTTTTGAAAGGCAATGGAACTTGGGCATTACATATTAAAGTTTTGAGGATGCAGAAACCCAATGCTACCTTGCCAAATAGGAAAAACCCGATTAAAAATGCAGAACCAGAAACTACTTCAACAAGCATGACTTGACTTATGCTTCCTTTCGGATATGGCTACGCAGACAAAAGGTAATCTGACCAAACATACTTAACAATTTACTGTGATTTTGCAGGACAGCATGGAAACATTATAGACATCAGAACAGAAATAAGGAGTTCAACAAGGGTTGAGAGAAGAGTGGGATAAACAGGCTTTGGGGTAGACACTAAATGAGCAATGAGACTAAGCAAAACTGGCATCATTCCCGCTATAGTATTTGGAAATGATTACAAATTGTATTGATACACAGGATTAGATCACACTAATTCCAACAGAAATTGCTTTTCTAATTGCAATTGTGACCGAAACAGGGCACATTAATGGCAGTTTATATCCTGTGCATCAATGCAACCGCATCAGCAGAAATTAAGTTTACCAGCAGAAGCAACTAAAAACTCAATTTGATGGTCAAAATAATAAACTTCGAACTGAACCGAACAAAAGACAATATTCTAGGAAACAAATTTCAATACAAAATGAATTAATCACAGGCGTACAACTAATATAAAATATGTTCAAGTTCTAAGCTGTATGACCAGAGAACAGACTGAAACCAATAATTGGAGAACCACTTCGAAAGGCACAGGGGAATGGAGAACCCACATCAAATTGGGAATGTCGAGAGTTGATGGAAATCAACACATGTGAAGTTTGTTAAGCAAAAAATTCCATCCGGAAATTGTGTCAATAGAAAAAATCAAAAACCACATTCCACCTACTGGATAAGAACGATTGAGTTCATCCATACAACAAATAGCACATCAAATCACAGGAAAAATAAATATAACAAAATTATAAATAATAATAGCTAACCATTGAACTCCAAAATTGAAATTAAAATTCTAAGTACCATATCAAAATACATAAAGCATAAACCATAAGAACACGGTTCCAAATCCTAAAGCAGAATTATTTAAAATTAACCAACTGTTCAGCACCCTAACATAGTGATATTAAAAAACGAACCCAAAACGGTGCGTTTGACTCAGTCGCCGCCAGCCTTCTGATAGACATAGGTGAGGCCGCACTTACCACAGTAGTGCCTGTCGAAATGGTTGGCCATGAAAGTTCCGGCGCCGCACTCAGCATTGGGGCACTCCTTCCTGAGCCTCTGGACCTTTCCAGAATCGTCGACCTTGTAGAACTGCAGGACGGCGAGCTTGACCTTCTTCTTCTTGTGCTTGATCTTCTTGGGCTTGGTGTAGGTCTTCTTCTTACGCTTCTTGGCTCCACCACGGAGACGAAGCACCAGGTGCAGAGTCGATTCCTTCTGGATATTGTAGTCAGCTAGGGTTCGGCCGTCCTCGAGCTGCTTCCCTGCGAAGATGAGACGTTGCTGGTCTGGGGGGATGCCCTCCTTGTCTTGGATCTTGGCTTTCACATTGTCGATGGTGTCTGAAGACTCAACCTCTAGGGTTATAGTCTTCCCCGTTAGGGTTTTGACGAAGATCTGCATCTTTTCTCCGCAGACAGAGAGAGGGAGATTCGGCTAGGGTTTCAACTCTCAGCTCTCTCTCAAATGTGCGCTTAAGAGATGGGAGGGGATTAGGGTTTTGAGGACCCTGGGGTCTGGACAGGGAATGACTTTTATGTCCCTGACGAAGGAGGTTTTTAGTCACGTGGCTTGTTTTCCATGGGCTGATACTTCACAAAATGGGCTTGGCCCATCACTGTCCAATCAAACGACGTGCCGTTGATGCTATACTACAATCGTTCCAGCATCTGTCTCTAGGTGGAAGAGGCATTTCCAAACACTCGACTAGGGTGTCCCCAAACTGCCGGGCTGGAAGCGGAGAGGAGTGAAAAACAGAGCAAACAATGGAGACTCGATGCAAATTTTGGCTTCCTAAAAAGAAGAGATTTTGTGCAAATATCCCCCTCAACGAATCTTTGTAAGCTCAGCATCTTTCTCTCTACTCTGTTCCTTTTGGTTTAGTTTGCTTTCTGATTTTTCAAAGTTTGTTCAAACAAAAACACCAAATTATGGTAGATTCTGTGGCAACCACACACCCAGGTCCGATAGCCAGTGGATTCCATGTCCAATAGACCCTTCTCAGTAAGCTCCTTCTTTCTCTTCTTTTCTGTCTGATTGGAAGTTAGAATCTTTCAATAAGCATGGTCTCTGCATTCAATTGTTTAACCTTTTTTTTTCTTTCCATTGTTTATGTGATTCAATAGCTCTGTACTTAAAGAGAATCTTGAAGGACATGTTAGAAGATGCCCATTACTCAAACAAGTGCAGTCTTTGACTCTCCAACCCTTTTACCAAAAGGGTATCAATGCTGGCAAAGAAGAGGACCAGGAAGAATTAGAAACATTCAGACCCGAAGGAGCCGATGATTTGGAATCTTCTAATGACCCCGAGTCGGGGTCTTTGGATAACATTCTTTCAGAAATGAAGAGGAATGCTGTTTATAGTATGACTGTACTTGATTTCTATAAATTAATTGAGAAAATTGAGCATGTTCATGAATCTATATGCAAGGATATTCAGGACTCATATAAGGTACCAGAAGCTTGTGGAATATGGATTAAACGAGAGGTTGACAGGTATATATGAGCTGGAATGTTCATTTAATTCTTGATGTGGGGTTGTTTGATTATGTAAGATAAAGTCGTTGTTTGCAGAAAATTGCCATTTCAAGAGAAACATGTTATGCAGCAGGTGTCCATTCTTGGGAACTTGGAAGATCTTGGTGTATTGAAGAGTTCTCTAGGAAAGGAGAGGGCGGATTATGATGATGGCACTGGTATCCCTGCGGTGGTTGAGTTTGGAGCCGGCAGGGGATACTTGACACAGATGCTGGCAGATTGTTATGGGATAAAAAAGGTCTTTCTGGTTGAAAGAAAATCATACAAGTTAAAGGTTAGTTTGGTTCAATGCATCTTTTCCTAAGGCTAGACTGCTTGACTTTTATACAATCAAATTTGAAGATGTTCATTTCCTTGGACCTAGATTTGCTAATAGTTCACTCATTCTGTATGTCATGTGATGCTATTGCTAGGCTGATCGATCCTTGCGACAGAAAGAGAGCTTGATATTGCAACGTTTGAGAATTGACAGTAAGGTTTTTTTTTCTTTTCCATTTTTGCTGGTAAGAAAAGAGTTTGTGTAGTTTCATTATCTCTACTACCTTGTAAAGAAAGTGCATGAGTTTTCTCCTGTAACTTTTAGCCAACTCTTTGTCTCTTCGTCCAAGCAAATAGGCAGATAGCAGTTATGCACCCTATTCTTTTAATTTCATAAAATTACATGCACATATGGTTATGGCTAATTATATGGGAAGATGCTGCCAAAACCGTTTGTCGGTCTCAAACACTATATTTGTGTCCATGGACAGAAATTATAGCTTTTTTATATAGTAAAAAGTAAAAAAATATCATACATAAGATGGCGGATACCTTGTGATATTACAATGTTTGATTTGCAGTTGAGGATTTAAACTTGAATGCTGTTGAGTCATTGCGGGAAGATCCTTACCTTGCTATTGGTAAACATCTTTGTGGGCCTGCAACAGGTGATCATATGTTTTCGTAAACATACCCTAAAATAATCATTACACATACAGAGAACAAATAACTGTTGCTTGTGGGAATTTCTGTTTCACTGAATCACGTAACTTAATTATAACTTATATATTTCGTACATTGCATACATTTTGTTCTTTATGCAGATCTGACTTTGAGATGTTGCCTTGGTGAACACCGTAATCAAAGTAATGCTGAATTGCAGAGTGTTAACCCAAACCTGAGAGGTCTAGCTATAGCAACATGTTGCCATCATCTCTGCCAGTGGAAGCATTACATAAGTAATCAATTTATCTCACCATACAGTTTATGAATTAGTAGTTGAGATTTATCTTTTCATAGTTGAATGGGTGAAGAAAATTTGGCTTCCTTGCAGATAAAAAATATCTATTAGATTTGGCAATCACAAAAGAGGAATTTCATGCAATTACTTGGTTTACTAGTTGGGCTGTAGATGCTGATCATGGTGCCGATCTCCCAGATGTTACTGATTGCAAATTGCATCTTGAATCTATGTAAGTAATCATGTTGAACTTTTGTTTATCTGAATGCCTGCTTCTAACATTTCTTTCTTTTCAATCTGCAGTTAATGGCCAAACCACTAGATGGCTTTCCCTCTTCTATTTTCTTTTTCTTTTTTATGATGGTTGCTTACCATGTTGTTGTGACAGTGAAAAGAAGCAATGCGGTGAGGATTATGGAGTTGAAGACATTGTGAGAAATATGAAGGCAGTTGAAAGGGCTGTGTTAGGGTTTATGTGCAAGAAGATTATAGATAAGGGTAGGTTGATGTGGATGAAGGAACATGGCTTAGACGCAGAGTTTGTCAAATACGTCCCATCCAGCGTTTCTCCTGAAAACCATCTATTGATTGGTAGATGCGCCAGTCATTTGTGAGATGCCATCTCCTTTTTTACTTTAATTCAGATTGTTTCTAATGTACAATTTTGTGAAAGCATCTTCTTGAACTATTATTACATTTGACAAATTCTTCTCTCTCTTGCTTTTGGAGGAGTATTAACCTTTCACACCTCTCGCATGCAAAAAACAACCCCCCTTCCCTTTTTTTTTTTTTTTTTTTTTTTTTTTTCGCTCGACATAATGAAATCCTTTTGCATTTGTTTTCTTCGTCCGATAACATAATATGAGGAATGCTAACAACTTTATCTCTAACCTTCGCTTTTGAACCTTTTCCCTTCTCCTCATGATAAGTGTCATTTTCCTTACAATTAAAACTAGGAGTGGCATTTTAGACCGAAAAACCGCAAAAACCAACTTACTATTTACCGCAATGAAACTGCGATCGCGGTAAACCGAACCGCATTTGCGGTATGAAGAACCGAACCGCATTTGCGGTTGCGGTTGCGGTATTTGATTTTCAAAACTTGCGGTTATCGCAAACTGCAAAGTATAGTCAATCTATGTTGTTTTATTTGATCTTCTTATAATTAAATGTACTAAACTATGTTGTTTTATTTGTAGATAACATTGGTGCTCAAACAATACAACGGGGTTCTTCAAATCCACTCACCACCAACACTTGAGTTTGTAACTTTAGTTTGTAACATTGGTGCATTGCATTTTTCTTTTAGTTTGTAACTTTAATTAACTTTGAATTGGATTTTTCTTTTTAGTTGTAACTTTAATTCATTTTTCTTTGCATTTTCCTTTTGGTTTGTAACTTTAAAGGATTTGGAATTGAAATGCTTGAGAAGTTTAACTTTAATTGGAATGCTTGGAATTGTAACTTTAATTTTCTTTAGGTTGTGAATGCTTAAGAAGTTAAGGAGATTGTGAATTTATATACGCTTGAGAAGTTGAGGTTGTGTATTTATTTATTTAGGTTGTGAATTTATATTTTTGTGAATGCTTGAGAACTTGCGGTTTTAAACCGCTAATTCGCGGTAACCGACCTCTTTTTGCGGTTTCAAAAATCACCATACCGCAAATAGTCGGTCGGTTTGCGGTTTGGGCAAAAATTCGCGGTTACCGAACCGCAACCACCCCTAATTAAAACAATGTTATTAATGCATCACACAAGTTAGTTTTTGTTTTCCAAGTTTATCCTTTTAAAATGTATTGGCTCTTATATTTCCTTCAATTTATTCAAATTTTGTTACAACTTCTTTAGTACATTGTTAAAAATTAAATAATTTTATTAGAAAAACGAACAATACCCCCCCCCCTAGAAACGTATAAGAAGTTTTCTCCTCGTACGGCTCAAGAAAATTATAAATTATGTCTATAGTATAGAATTATAACATCAAACATATCCATAAATTAAATTAAATTAATTAAATTATTGATTTTAAGTACTTTTTTCTTATTCTTCCCCAACCGAAAAAAAAAAAAATCATTTTTATTTGCACCCTCATAACTCAAGTTGAATAACTCTCGTCATATATATATATATATATATATTTAAATAAAGTTTGTTTCATGATATTGTTATCATCTTTATTATTATTATTTTTTAACAAAACACACATTTCTCTAAAAAAAAAAAAAAAAAAAAAAAAAAAAAAAAACCATAATTTTTAATTTTTTTATTTAATTTTTTAACAAGGTGGTAAGAAAGTTGTAAAAAAATTAGCTTGTTATAAATAAATAAAAAATTAATACATTTAATAAGGGTAAACTTGGAAAACAAAAACTAGTTTGTATGATGCATTAATGACATTGTTTTAAGTGTAAGAAAATTTACACTTGTCATGAGAAGATTAGAGATAAGGTTGATAGCACTTCCACCAGTTAGCCCCTTGCCATGGCAAGGGGAGCCCTAGGGCGGGTACTATTCACGTAAATAGTGGCTGCCCTAGCACAAAAAAAAAATTGTGTTTCCAGCAATGCAAGGCTTGCCATGGCAAATACTATTCATTTTTTTTGTTTTTTTCACAACTTTGTTTACTTAAACAATTAATTTGGATAATATTTTTGAATAAGATTTTTGGGTTAAAAGTCAGTATTGGTTGGTATTTATAGAAAAAAAAATTCAGTATTTTTAAAAAATTTTTCCAATTTTTTTTTTCATTTTTTTATTGGGCAAAAAATCGCATGCCGTTGGATTGCTGGAAAAAACTAATCGGAGAGCCCAGGAGCTTCCACGTGGCATAGAGCTGTTGGGGGTTGCTTTTTGCATTTTTTTATTTGTAAAAAAATGGCTGCCGTTGGATAATTTTAAAAAGCAAATCGGATGGCCCAGCATGCGACACGTGGAATCATGCCGTTGGGCGGCTACTGTAGCGCGCGTCAAATTTTTTTTAAACCGGCAAGCCCCTTGCTGACGTCAGCCTAAAACGAGTTTTGTTGCTCGGGCTGGACCTCCCCAAGGGCTAGCCCAGGCGAATTTTTTTTGCTGGGGCCCACACCTTGCCCCGGCAGATTTGTGTTGCTGGAAACACCATTTTTCCCCCAGCCCCCCCCAGCCCTCCCCCAGGCCCCTTGCTGGAAATGCTCTAATATAGTGCTTCTTGTCTGGTAATGTCAAAAAAACGTCAGCTCATACGCAAAAAATCTCAAACATATCCACTTCCACCACCGCCACCCCTATTACTGTCTTTTTATCCACGAAATCGATCCACCTTAAAGCCATCACCTTCATCTTCAACTCTCTCGCAACTCTCACCAATCACAATGAACGACCCCAAAGGCACTGTCGTCTTCTCCACTGTTGGCAGGCCCCACTACGGCTTCGACCTTTTCTCACTCCCCCTCCACTCCTCCTTCAATAATCTCGCCTCAGAGCACCGCCTCTCCGACGGCATTTCCGTCAACTTCAACGCGCAATTTGCCAACGACGATCCCCACTCCGTCGTCTTCATCTCCGAGAGAACCGGATTGCCCGCCATTTACTTAACCCGACCCGGACTCCCCACCCCAAAACTCTTACACTCCGAACCCGGAAGCCTCTTCCACGACCGCCCCATCCTCAAAAACGACATCCTCTACTTCATCTCAGCTCACCAACACCCCAATCGACCCTTCAAGTCCTGGTCTGCTCTCTACTCCACTACCACCACACTCCTCCTCGATGAAGATCAAAACCAAAACCCCAAAACCACCCGATTGACTCCTTCTGACGCCGTCGATTACAGTCCCGCCATTTCTCTCTCCGGCCAATTCGTCGCCGTTGCGTCCTACGGCTCTCGTCCTTGGGACGGTGAGTTTCACCACCTCAACACAGATATTGTCGTCTTCCGAGCATCGCAGCCCAGCAAGCGTGTGCTCGTCTGTCAGCGAGGTGGCTGGCCCACCTGGTCCGGTGATGCCGTCATCTATTTTCACCGCCAAGATGACGACGGCTGGTGGAGCATTTTCCGGGTCGATTTCTCCCAAGATCTCGAGTCTTCTTCCGGGTACCCGATCACTCCCACTCGGGTCACTCCCTCGGGGCTCCACTGCTTCACTCCGGCCGCTCTCCACGACGGCAAGCAAATCGCCGTCGCCACTCGCCGGCCCGAAAAGAATTTCCGGCACATTGAGCTCTTCGACGTCGAATCAAAGACTTTTCGTCCGGTGACCGAGACTCTGAACCCGAACTTCCACCATTACAACCCGTTTGTTTCTACCAATTCCCAGTTTCTCGGGTACCATCGATTCCGCGGTGAGTCGACCCAGTGGGGGGAGACGACGATTCCTTATCTCGAGCCAGTTTCGTCTCCGATCAAACAACTCCAGATGCTGAGGATTCACGGTTCGTTCCCAACCTTCTCTCCGAACGGCGATCTCATCGCGTTTAATCACGATTTCGATGCCAACGCCGGCATCAAGATCGTCAAATCCGATGGCTCAAAGCGTTGGAATTTGATCAAGGACCGTGCAGCGTTCTACAACGCCTGGAGCCCCACAGAGAAACACGTCATTTTTACCTCGCTGGGCCCAATCTTCCAGTCCGCAAAAACAACGGTCCAGATTGCACGAATTGAATTTAACCCGTCTGATCTGGACGGTGATAAAGAGGAGATCCCATGCAATGTCAAGATATTGACTAAAGAGGACACAGGGAACAACGCCTTCCCTTCGTGCTCCCCAGACGGCAAGTCGTTGGTATTCCGCTCCGGTCGGACCGGCCACAAGAACCTCTACATTATTGACGCCGTTAACGGCGAGTTTAATGGTGATGCTCGTCGGTTAACGGAGGGCCAGTGCATTGATACAATGCCCAGCTGGTCACCGAAAGGAGACCTCATTGCTTTCTCATCGAACAGACACAACCTGGATGATGTTGCGGTGTTCGGCATTTACGTCATCAAACCGGACGGTTCGGGTTTGAGGAGGGTCTACGCGGCGGGAGATGACGTGGAGAGGGAGAGGATCAACCACGTGTGCTTTAGTAAGGATGGGGAGTGGCTGTTGTTCACGGCGAACTTGGGAGGCGTGACGGCTGAGCCGGTGTCGCTGCCGAATCAGTTTCAGCCGTACGGGGACTTGTACGTGGTGAGATTGGACGGGAGTGGGCTGAGGAGGCTGACGTGGAATGGGTACGAGAACGGGACGCCAGCGTGGCTTGAGGGTGATGAGGTTGTGGACATGGGGCGTTTGCGTTTGGAAAATGAAGTTGGAGGAGATAAGCTCAAGGGTCGGTTTGAAGAACCTCTTTGGATCTCTTGCGACTTCTAGAATGAATTCAGTTTTTTTTTAATAAATAGTTTTTTGTTTGGAGTTGGGAGGGAGGTCAAAAATAGCAACGTAAGGCATCATATTTCTCCATGGAGAGAGGAGCCTTATCAAAACAGATTTATGTCGGGAGGCTAAATTGAATCAATAAACTTGTGAGAACAATTATAAATTACTATATCCATTCGTTGACTCACTTGACAAGTTATACACATTAGGTATGGGCACGGATCGGTTCGGAACGAGAGAAAGTTCTTTTGTTAACCAAATCAAAGACTTCGGTAGACCATTTTCTCTTCCGTTAATTAAACTAAAAACTTTAGATTGGTTAACTTAATATTCGGTTCGGATTGATCAGTACACTGGTAGTATCGTAATAAAAATATACTAATAAAAATACAATTTATAATACTTTCACATAACATAAGTTCTTGAACAAATACACCAAATTATCCTTGTAAAATATAAAAATTCAATAGTCTAATTCGTCCAAGTATGAAATCAAATAACTTAGTCACTATATCATTCAAGATGTGCTCGGAGCCACTTATGTTTGTTGTTTGAACTTTTGAGTGTTCTTTTTATTGAATTCTCTACATTTATGTAAATGATTTTGACATTTGTTTAACGATGGGTTCTTTAGTTTTTCATGCTGAATCCAACCATATAAATAACATAAAATTTGGATCAACAGTTAGAAAGTTACAAGTAAAAAAGGGGACAAAGGTCGAAATTGGAAAATATAGGAAGTTCATAAATTCCTCTCTCGACCAAAAAGTGCTACAGTACCCGATAAGTGATACAATGATGATAAAGAAGTGATACATTGGTGATAAAGCAGTGATACAATGGTGAGAAAGAAGTGATACAGTAGTGATAAAGGAGTGATACAAAATGATGATTGTATTTACCTTTGGTTTCTTATTTTGTATTTAAATAATAAAATAAGTATACATATCGGGTCGGTACGGGTTTCCGTCGAGTTAGGAATTTTGTTTATGTTAACCAAACTAAATATTTCGGTACGGATCGGATCAGAATAATTAAAATTTAAAAATAATTATTTTACCAAACGGTACAATACGGTCGGTACAAGGATAATTCGGATGAGATGCCCACCCCTAATACACACAGATGCAACACGTGACATGTTGACGTGATTTATCAAAATTTGCTCAAATTATTATAAGGTTTATTATCACAAAACGTCCCTAAGGTTTACGAAACTGTCAGATTGCATTTTTTTTTTATTTTTTTTTTTTTTTTTTTTTTTTTTTTGTTTTTTCCTTAAGATTAGTATGTGTGATCACAAATAGTCTCTGCCGTTAGGTTCCGTTCAAAAACTCCGTTAGTTTGTTGGTCTTGACATATATATATATATATCACAAAATATCCCTGAGGTTCACGCACCTATCACAAATGATCTTTGCGAAAATTTTTAATTTTTTAATTTAAAATTCATAACATTTTTGTTTTCTTTTTAAAATTTTATGAATTTTAAATTATTTTAAATATATAATATATTTTATATTTTAAATACACTCACTATATTATTGTAGATGTGGGCTCCATATATGCCACATCAACAAACTAATGAAGTTTTTAAAAAATAATTTAAAATTCATAAAATTTAAAAATGAAAAAACTAAGGGTTTAGGGTTCATTAATGGTCCTCAAGATTAAAACTAGGTTTTTTAGGTTTTAGACATAAAAAAATTTTCACTTTTGGAAAAAGCCAAAGCTTTTTCAAAAAAGACAAAAAAACCGCTCAACTTTCAAATCAAAGACATGCAAATGTATTGGATTCCTTAAGAAATCTAAAAATAAATAAGGGCATTTTTGTCCATTTTTGCTTATTTTAAAATTTTTCTCTCTCCTTTTGCTTTTTCCAAAATGTCCCTAAAATCCTTCTACAAATGATTTTTTCATTTATAAATAACTTTAAAAAGAAACCCAAAATTTTATGAATTTTAAATTTAAAAAATTAAAAAATTTCACAAGGACCATTTGTGATAGGTGTGTGAACCTCAAAGATGTTTTGTGATATATATATACCACGTTAGCAAAATAACAGAGTTTTTGATGAAACCTAACCGCATGGACCATTTGTGATTGCACATACTAATCTTGAGGACCACAAGTGATACAAAAAAACACTAAGGATGCAATATGATAGTTTCGTAAACCTTAGGAATGTTTTGTGATATTATAATATCCAAACATAACGAACAATAAGAGAAAAAATGGCAGCCAAAGGTGGTTCATATCATATGGTAGATCCAAAGATTCCTTGTACTAACAACTAAACTTTGAATATTTGAAGAACAAGTTGTGATCCATTCCAAACAGAGATGTGAGGCCACGGTGGGAAGGTAGAGCCAGTTTGCAGGAATTTACAACCATGAAAGAGAAATCATTGTTCATATCTCTGAAGATTGGCATGGCCCCCAAAAGTTTTCTCAGTGCTATAACACATGTAGAGAAATCCATCCTTGTCCTTGAAGGATTCATAGACAGAGTCCATCAAACTAGCTGCAATGTGACATTCATTCATAAGAAAAAGGACTTGTAAGTTACAATATCATTCTGGCAAGAAAATTAAAACAGGCCATGCATGACTGATGCTACAAACAAAGAATCAATTTTCCATTTACCTGTTTGAGGCAAAGTATCCTTCACAAACACAAAGAGAGCTTTTCCATGGGCCAGATGAAGTCTGCTGCTCAGAACGTAAATGAATTGCCCGACAGACATGTCTCGGGGAACAAGGTATCTACCATCAAAGAGATGATCACAAGGATGTTAAAACTTATAAGCTTATTATTATTAGTGTAAGTTAAGTGTATATGGCTATTAATCTACACATTATAAAAAAAAACATTTTACTCCTCCAAGCATATAGCAGGAGGAACCCAATGCTCCAAAGTTCAGAAATTTGGTTAGACAATGTTGGCATTTGAGATTTGACAAGGTAATGCAGCAGCCTTTGATAAATTACTCATACCAAGGCAATTATTTATAAGTTACAGCAAATCAGCAGCCACACCCCTTCCAATCTTAGACACAAATCACAAATGTAGACAGGGTTTGGTCATAGGACCATTGAAATGAACAATGATCTAGTGTTAACCGATAGAAAGTATAAAGGTGGCAACTTTGAAATATGAAAGAGGTCTCTTAAGCTTACTTTTTCTTTTCCATCTGAGGAAGGTTGGTCCTGGAATACTTTTCCACAATTACCTGTGATACCATTGCCCAGAGAAATCTGATAGTTAGTAATAATGAATATGAATGATCCCATAACATCTCTTTTCCCTTCAATTTCAAATATACATAATCTTCAGTTGTAACCTGTATGTCTGTAAACAGAGTTGAAACCAAAAATGAGAAACGAAAAAAAAAAAGAAAAGAAAAAGACTTGTTGGTGGGTCTTACGGGTACTCGATCAGGGTATTTGGCCATGATGTCCTGTGATTCTTCAACCCTTTGTTCTGAAACAATTTCAAACAAGGAGATACAAGTTATAACATCAGATTCTATAAACAAAAAGAACAACAAAAAAAGATGAGATTCTGTTGCACAAAAAGACTTCAAGTGTTCGGAACAACAACAAACCGAATGTAAACTCATCCTTGAATGATTTTGTTCTACCCATCCGTGAGTCTGTGGTTTGTGCCGTTACGTCTGCGTCTGAGAGATTGCAGAGGAAGAGGAAAACGGTGCCGCAAACGCAATGGAACTGCAGAACGGATGACGACCTTTCAAGAAAGAAACATGCTAAGTACAAGGTTTCTATTTCTTGGGTTTATCTTTTCAAATTGTTTGGGCCAAGCCCAGCCCAGCCCATTACGCTTAAACCCTTCAAACGGTTCAGTCAGACAACAAAGAACAAGTTCAGCCATTCCAAGCAGAGCACTCCAAGCAACGAAGCAAAGCCAAACCATGGCAGTGGAGAAGAAGAGAGGTTCTTGGCAACTGCAAAGCTGTCAATACCTCGGAGAAATCTCAGCTCTATGTTTTCTTCACCTACCTTCGAGCTTCTCTTCTTTCCCTTATCTCATCGCCGGTAGGACTTTCATAGTATCATTCTCTCTCTGAAAATCTTCAGTTTCAGATTCGTTTTAACATGGATTTTATTGAACAAAACAGGGTCGGGTTCTCAAATCATGGTGTATGATTTGGAAGTGGGAAGAATGGTAAGGTCGTTCGACGTGTTCCAAGGCATTCGAGTGCATGGGATAGTTTGTTGTAGCTCTACTGATTGCGCAGAGGGAACATTGCCTTCTGTTGTTGCTTTCAACATTGTCGTATTTGGCGAAAGGAGAGTGAAGATGTTTAGTTTGCAGGTTGCAATGGGGCAGCTAGTGAGTGTCAGTTTGACGCTCTTACAGTCCTTGCCAAAGTTTGCTAATTGGGTATTGGATGTTTCATTCTTGAAGGTACGAATGCTTCCTCAAGTTCAACAACTTCTTTTTTTATCAGTTTGAGAATATTAGTGAGTTTTTTTCTTCTTTTTTCTTTGGTCTGTTGAATTGGTAGCAGGGGTCTGTGAGTGGTTCGAATGAGGAGGGTGATTGTCTTGCTATAGGGTGTACTGACAACTCTGTCCAGCTTTGGGATGTCACAACTTCTACTGTGGTTCTTGAAGTTCAACATCCTGGTTAGTTCTAGCTGAATTGACTCATTTTTTTGAGCTTTAAAAAAAAAACTTTTATTTGAAGTTAAAGAACTGAACTCTTATATTCAACTGTAGAGAAAACCCTTCTGTATTCAATGCGGGTATGGGGTGACAATCTTCAAGCTCTCCGTGTTGCATCTGGTACTATCTATAACGAGGTGGCTAATCTTTTCTTTTCATAATTTTCCCCACCCATCCAAACAAATGATTGCTCAGTGTGCGTGTGTGTATGCGTGTTTCTGGTTTAGATAACCTCTAAAGGATTGGATTTGCACAGATCATTGTTTGGAAAGTGGTTCCTCAGTATGATGCATCATCTTTAGCAAGTCAAGTAGAAGACCACATTGATCAGAGTAATTTATTCCCAAACTGTGTTCAACCTCATGGTTGCCAGTATGAAGCTAGTCATATGTGCAAACTTTCTGGACATGAAGGTTCCATTTTCCGCATAGCGTGGTCCTTTGATGGATCCAAACTGGTTTCCGTCTCTGACGATCGCAGGTGAAGTAGTTACTGAAATTATATGATTTTAAAATCTCCAGCAAGTTGTGTTTTTTTTTTCCTTTAATGATGCTTCCAATCAATGATTTGGTCTCTTCATTGGTACAGTGCTCGTGTTTGGGAAGTTTCCTCTGAGACGAAACATTCTGAGAAGCTAGGGGAATCCATTGGCCTTGTGCTGTTTGGTCACAATGCCCGAGTTTGGGACTGCTGTATTTTTGGTTCTGTAAGTTTTACAAAATCTTATGAATACTCATCGTCTTCTTATTTCTTGTTTATTTTTTTCTCTCCTATCCAAAATAATATACTAATAATAATTGTTGGGGAGTCAACTCACCATATATTAGAACAGATTACTAATGTCATTTTTTCCCTGGGGAAAACTTTTCATTTGATAGGATTTTCAGTCCTGTCTATCTCTAAGCATGCCATTTCACTGTCTGTCATTATGTCTGGTGATAAGGGTTAACTTTCCAAAATCAGTTAACTTAGTCAACTTGAATTGTTTTCATAATCTTTCTGGTTTTTTTGGCATGTGGGTTGAGTTCTCCTGATGGCGATGGTCGAGATGATCTAGACTAGATTATAAGTTTACTTATGTGTAGAGTGCTGATCGGTTCTTGTTTCCATACTTTTTATTTTAGTTGATTGTCACTGCTGGTGAGGATTGTACATGTCGTGTGTGGGGACTGGATGGTAAACACCTTCAAATGATCAAGGAGCACGCGTAAGTGGCTTGTAGTTCCTTTCTGTTGATTACTTTGGTTTTTATTTGTTTTGAAATGAAATGGTTGTATTGATTACTGACGATCCAAATCTCAACATAACAGTAAAATAATTTCTGGAGAAAAGAAAATAGCCTTGACCATTTACTTTTTTCGGTTGTGTTATGTACAGAGGAAGGGGAATATGGCGATGTTTGTATGATCCAAACTCTTCACTTCTCATTACTGCTGGTTTTGACTCTGCAATAAAAGTGCATCAGCTGCACGTTTCACTCTCTTGGGGACTGGAGGGACCTGCAGAGACAAAAGAAATCGATAGAACGATTGCGTACACAACTCATATCCCTACTTTGTCGGAGCATAGTGGACCTATGGACAGGTAGTACTTTGAATATTGAACAAACTTTGGGGTCCATCTTAACATTGTTAACTCCAAACTTTTGATATTTCTAAAGAGAAAGAAAAGATAAGTCTGTAGTCTTGGAAATTTGAAAATGCGACAATTTGGTCCTCCCCATGCTCAGCAAGGGTATTGATTCATTGGCACCATAGCTAAGAAAGGACATGACTATAAGAGCCCGGCTGCCTGGAGTTAGGTAATTGTAGATGTGTCATAACAATCTTAATGTATGATGAACAATCAACTGGACAGGTAGTTAACTCCTAAATAATTGAATGTCGGAACCCAACAAGCTTTATAATAAATACACACACCACACGCACACACTTTCCTTCCTTTGGTCTATGGTTCTTCTGTTGTTCTTTTCCTGAAATTTTGCTATTACAGCAATTCTATCTTACTTTACATTGGTATAAGAGGACTTGGCTTTTTCTCACTTGGTTCAGCAAAAGCGAATATGTACGTTGCTTGCACTTTGCACGTGAGGATACACTATACATTTCCACAAACCATGGTTATCTGTACCATGCTAAATTATTGGACAATGGAGAAGTAGAATGGACTGAACTTGTCCGCCTCAGTGAAGAAGTGCCGATTGTTTGCATGGATTTATTGTCAGAACCATTTGAACTTTGCTGTAGTGTTGAGGATTGGGTTGCTGTTGGAGATGGTAAAGGAAACATGACAGTCGTCGGGGTTATACATGATGCTTGTACCCCAAAAGTGGGTTTTGCCCTTACTTGGTCTGCTGGAATGGAGAGACAACTCCTAGGAACACATTGGTGCAAGTCACTAGGTTATGGGTAAGGATCAGCCATTATTTTTTTAAATAATAATTGTTAATTATTTCTTCTATACCTAAGTTGTTCATGGGTGCTGAGTTGATGCTATCTAGGCCTTTACTCTAGATGTACTGTCCATGATTGTCAAAGGTGGGCCATATTCTGCGAAGGCTACACGTACTACTTCCTAATTGGCAGAATGACCATGTCCCTGCCACTTAGATTTTCGATGACAGACATCACCTAGGCCTTCTTGGAATAACTTTCAGATGCAGAAGTTTAAAATATTCAGACCATCAATTCTGCTGTTGTTGCCATGTAGGTACATCTTCTCAGCTGACCCTAGAGGAACATTGAAGCTTTGGAGGTTGTCTAACCATTCTGCCAGGAGCTATGTATCTCTTGTAGCAGAATTCACATCTAGTTTTGGAATCCGAATCATGTGCTTAGATGCATCTTTGGACGAAGAGGTAACATTTTTCCGTCAGCTTCTTTTTTCTTTTAATTTCATTTGAATGGGATTTGTCACATTCTGTGCCATTTTCTTTTTCTTCGATTTTCTTTTAACCTGTGATTGGTAATAAGTGTTCAAAATTACTAAGATGAAATACTTAAAAACCAGGGCAACCCTTTGGAGCATGAGTTGACCCTAGCCAGCTTAAATTGAGACAAAATAATAATAACAAGGGGGTCAGTGTTGTGTAGGCTCAATACCTCCCCTCTCACACAAGCACACTCTGATGTAGCATCCTGCATCACACTCACTCTCAAATCATGATTTTGAAAGTTGAGATGAAAGAAAGCGAACAATGACTTCTGCTGAGCTACATAGGGAGATGAAAGCCCTTCCCTTCAACTTTAAGAAAATTATTAACTATGTGCCTAAATTGATTTTACTTTTCAATCATTGATCATGTGATCATGTGAAAATCAGATGTTGGATTGATTCACTTTTCAAATGCTTGAATTTGATCTAATAATTGTTTTTGCACCCCTTCTGGTTGAATTTTGCAGGTATTGGTATGTGGAGATATACGTGGTAATCTTGTTTTGTTTCCTTTGCGGAAGGGCGTGTTGCAGGGCACAGAGGTGGCATCTAATGTGAAAATATCTCCGTCAAATTATTTCAAAGGAGCTCATGGGATATCAAGTGTTTCAAGTGTTTCTGTAGGTAGACTAAGTTCCAGTCAGATTGAAATATGCTCGGTATGTCAAATTTCAACTTTGATCTACAAGAGTGATCATAGCACTTGCTTTCTAGTAATTCTGAGTGTGTCTGTGTGTACAAGTGCATTTTAACTTTGCTTTTTTTATTTTTTTTTATTTATATAAACAATTTCTAGCCATTATCTGAAAATATTGGAAGATAATATTTCATTCAAGTAGGCTGCTGTGTAATTAATTTCTCATTTTTCCCAGACAGGAGCAGATGGTTGTATATGCTATCTGGAATATGAAACAGATAGGAAGACATTAGAGTTTACAGGGATGAAGCAAGTGAAGGAGTTGAGTCTTATTCAATCCGTCTCCACTGATAACAGCTCTGTCAGTGAGTTGTCAAGCTGCCATTGTGCTGCTGGTTTTGCATCAGTGGATTTTATTATTTGGAACTTAATGACTGAGACCAAGGTAGAGTCCTTTCCTGTACCTCAGACTGCTTACTGAAATGATTTGTAAGTTGTTTGTGTTATTTATTTGGTGCATAAGGGCCCATATTTGTTGCAGGTTGTGCGAATTCCATGCGGTGGATGGCGTCGTCCTCATTCCTATTATCTTGGTGATATACCAGAAATAAAGAACTGCTTTGCATATGTTAAGGTTCGTGTTAATCTATTTAGACTTGGTAATTTCAGAGCCACAAATAAAATAAGCATTGTGGAAAGGTAGATCCACAGAGCAGGTCAAAAGTGTTTTTTATCATTTTAAAATACACATCCATATGCATGATATGAGTTCCTTTAGTTTTGTGTTATGAATTGCTTTGTGAACTGTTTTGCTGCTAAGCACATCATTCTATCTTTTGTTAATAATTTATCGTATGTTTCATTTGTTTACTTTGAAAATATAAGGTTTCATTTGAATTTTATCTTAAAACTCTGCACTATATTTCTTTGATTTATCAGGATGAAATCATTTATATTCATAGGCAGTGGGTGCTTGATAGTGAAAGGAAGATACTCTCCAGGAATTTGCATATTCAATTCCATGGGAGAGAGATGCATTCCATATGCTTTGTCTCAGAAGGATTTCAACCTGGAGTATATAGGAAGCACAGCCTCTTCTCTGGATCTAGTTGGATCGCAACTGGGTGTGAAGATGGAACTGTGAGGTTGACTAGGTATGGTTATTATTCTTAGCTATTTAATAACTTAATTTTTTTTTAAGGACAAATATTTGAATTTATTCTATGATATAATTGAATGTATTTCCACTCGTGTAGACCTTGAGAACGGAGCTAACAGTATACATGCATGCTGTAGTCTACAGAAAAATGAATATATGCTTGATATTAAAATATGAATCCTCCTGGGTGTCAAAACTGAGTGATTTTTCAGGTGTTTATACAAGACCAGCTAATTGTCTAATGATTCACTTAGGTATATGTCAGGGGTTGAGAATTGGTCTGCATCAAAATTGCTTGGGGAGCATGTTGGTGGATCAGCTGTGAGATCTATATGCTCTGTGTCAAAGATAAGCATAGTTCTGTCAGATGTGACCAACATACCCGATACGAATGGACAAAGTGCAGCAATGGAGAACATAGAAACTCCGGTTTTGTTGATATCCGTTGGTGCAAAGCGGGTGTTGACTTCTTGGCTACTAAGAAGTAGGAAGGTAGACAAGAAGGAAGAACAGCATAACATCGCTGGAAATAGCAATAAAGTTTTGTTGCAAGAGTCATCTTCAATGTCATTCCAGTGGCTTTCCACAGATATGCCCGCCAAGTATTCTAGTGCTCATAAGTTTCCAGAAAACAAAGAGAAAAAGGCTGGTCTAGCTCCGAATGTTTCTAGTGCAGAAGCTGATGGAAGATCTATGTCACTGTCTTCAGAGAATGGAAAGATGGAGTTGAAATCTGGCATTAAGGATAAATATGAAGATGACTGGAGATACCTGGCTGTCACTGCTTTTTTGGTTAAATGTGCTGGTTCCAGGTAATAGCAAAAACGACTAATATTTCTTTTACTTATCTGATTTCCCTTTTGTATTTAATACCATATTTTGGATTTCTTTTCAGGATTACCGTCTGTTTTATTGTAGTCGCTTGTTCAGATGCCACCCTTGCATTACGGGCTCTTGTTTTACCATATAGGCTATGGTATTTATGAAGGATCCTAACCTGTTCTATTCTTAATTCTCTTATCATCTCATATATTACATTTGTTTCTTTATCTCTCTGTAGGTTTGATGTTGCTATATTATTTCCTTTGTCATCACCAGTTTTGGCATTGCAGCATGTTATCCTTCCCACATGTCTCCCTTCTGAAGGTTAGTGATTGTTGGAGTCTTCAGGGTCTAGAAGTTTGTAAATCAGTCAAACCTTGAGACATATGTATCTTATGAAATTGTTGAAACCCTCCATTTCCTGACTCCAAAGTACTTCTTCATTAGTTAGGCAATTTTCTTGACTGAAATTTTGCACATCATTTAATGCGATACAATTTTGTTATTTGTGGCTGTTATAGAAATATTTGAATGTTTATAACAATGCCTTTGCCCTTTGATTGGATCTGAATCACAACAGCATCTCTTTCCATCAGTTCCTTTGTTATAAAGGCATTGACCATTGAGCCTATGCCATTGGAATTTAAGTGGTGTTCCCCTGTCTCTAACCATGGAGAATATAGATTACAAGTGCACCTCAAAAGAAAGTGTATATCGTTTGATAATGGCATGTGTATTGGTCTAAGCAATAGATGCCAATTTAAATTGCAGGATCCCTCTTCTGAACGGACCTTGTACTGATTAAATTGTGTCTGTACATGGCAGATTTTTTTTCCTTCTTTTTTCCCCTTAGATTTCTAGTACTATTGTCACGTTTCATCTAAATTTAACTAGAGATCCTTGTTGATTTATTGAACATAAAAATGCCTCTTCCCGGCTGCATGTTGATATCAGTGGAGGAGATAATTGCCACTGCCATAACTTTGCTCTCTATGACCTGAGCTTTTTCCCTGGTCATGATTTTTATACTGTCAAAGCATGTCCATGCTGGGTTTGTGAGTATTCGAAAATGTTTGTCCTAAATTTTTTATCGTGATCTCTTTCAATTATATTTTCAAAGTACCATTTCTTATAACTTCTATTCACAGAAAATGTTCAGATTGGAAGTTTGTATATTCTCATTAGTGGGGCTACTGATGGAAGTATTGGTTTTTGGGACCTCACTAGAAGCATTCAGGCTTTCATGCAGCTGGTATCAGTACTTGATGTAGAAAAGTTCATTGATTGTCAGAAACGGCCACGGACAGGGAGAGGAAGTCAGGGTGGACGACAGTGGAGGTCTTTAGGCAGTAGCATGTCAAAGAATAGACTAGGCGCTGGTTCCGCCACTGTAAAATCTGGAAAGGAAACTGATCACAATTTGCTTGATCGTGTTATGGATGGAACCTCAGAGATGCTAAATGATTATGAAAGCAGCAGAACAGCTTCTTCACAAGCTACTGCTTCCCTGGATTCAGAAGTGAATGCTTGTGATTCCTCATCTGATATATGTGAAATATCTCCTTTATATGTTTTCAAGAACATTCATCAATCTGGTGTCAATTCTCTCCATGTTTCAGATGTAGAGGGTTGTCAAAGTCCTGAACTTGGTTTTCTTTACAATTTAATTAGTGGGGGTGATGATCAAGCCCTTAGCTGTCTTAGGTTTGAATTGTCAGTGTCAGCATCAGACTCTGAATTTGAGAACATGACACTGGATGTCAGAAAGTCAGTCACTCAACTTGGAAATGCTAAGAACTTTATTCATTCTAGTCAAGACAAGAACTATTGGATCAGATTCCTAAATCATGATATAGTCCCCTCAGCTCACAGCTCTGCTGTAAAAGGTAGGCCATTTTATTCAAACTGGAGTTCAATCCCATTCTAGAGTACTTCATAATATGGCGCATAAAAGTGTCTCCTGTGTGTTTAACCTCTTGTTTTCTTGTTGTCTCCTTTCCTAGAACCTTTGAAGTACTAGTTTTAGTGTTTTTTCTTTGCTAAATTTATCATTTTTTACTAAGAATTCAAATTGTGTTTTATTTATGAAGGTGTTTGGACAGATGGATCTTGGGTTTTTTCCACTGGTCTGGATCAGCGTGTCAGGTGCTGGCGTCTTGAGGAGGAAGGTATACTAATTGAGCATGCTTATTTAATCATCAGTGTCCCAGAGCCAGAAGCGCTGGATGCTAAAGTGTGTGGCAGGTGAGTAAAGCGCCTTATACAAGCATAAGATTCACAGTGATTTAGCATTTCAGTACGATATATGAACTGATAACAATCTTCTTCGACAGCTTACCAAGTATTGTTTGTGTTTTATTTAGGAACCATTATCAGATTGCAGTAGCTGGAAGAGGAATGCAAATGCTTGAGTTCTCTGAAATTCAAGACGTCAGTTGATGGATGCAGGACAGTCAAGTTGGTTCTTCGGTGATCTTATAATCCAGTAATGGCTACATATTGATCTGAAGGTCTGACCCAAGCATGAGTAAGTCTTCACCTCTTACACACTGGCATTCGATCTGCAAAATTTTGATATCTGGGTTGCGTAGCATGTGTGAGCTGTCTTGAAGTTCCTCCCCAATATATATGTTTATTTTACAATTGCAATGTGTGCAAAAAGCCCAGCTAGGCTGCAACAAGAATCTCACTCCCAGGGGATTTTGAGATGGTGAGTGGGGTCTTTTCTTTTAGTTTTTTCTTTTCTCCTCTTTTGGGCCCTTGATGCCCAACATGATATATATTATAGCCAATTTAACCAGTTTTGGGGTTCACATAAGAAATCTGAGCTGTGAACTTCGACAAGCAATGATATGTAACAGTAAATTGTAAATTAGCTTCAATTGATTTTTAAAATATCTCATGATTCAGTTAAATTGGCCATTAATGCATATTTTGAAGCTTAAATTACACACAAATAGGTAGCTGGAAGATCCCTTGTTCACACTAGGGGTCCTCACTTGCCGGGTACGAAGTTGGTGGCATAAGCCCAGGCATTGTTGTTAACAGGATCAGCGAGATGATCAGCAAGGTTCTCAATAGGGCCCTTTCCAGTAACGATAGCCTGCACAAAGAACCCAAACATTGAGAACATGGCAAGTCGGCCATTCTTGAGTTCTTTCACCTTAAGCTCTGCAAATGCCTCTGGGTCATCTGCAAGCCCCAAAGGGTCAAAGCTGCCTCCTGGGTACAGTGGGTCAGTGACCTCACCGAGTGGTCCTCCGGCAATGCGGTAACCCTCAACAGCACCCATGAGAACCACCTGAGTTGCCCATATTGCTAGAATGCTCTGTGCATGAACTAGGCTTGGGTTTCCAAGGTAGTCAAGGCCACCCTCACTGAAGATTTGAGCTCCAGCTTTGAACCACACTGCCTCACCAAACTTGACTCCATTTCTGGAGAGTAGCTCTGGGAAAACACAGCCCAAAGCCCCAAGCATTGCCCATCTTGAGTGAATAACCTCGAGTTCACGGTTCTTGGCAAAAGTTTCAGGGTCAGCTGAGAGTCCAGCGGTGTCCCAACCATAGTCACCGGGGAATTCGCCGGTTAGGTAAGATGGCGCCTCACCAGAGAATGGTCCGAGGTATTTGACACGATCAGGGCCGTACCAGGGGCTGCCTGATGATACAGCTGGCTTTCTGGCTGCCCTCCTCATAGAAACTCTACCATTGCCTTGGACGGTTGAGAACTCTGTCTGCGTGTTTAAAGGAATGGCCTTCCCGGTGAATGGGGATGAGAGAGCCATAGTTGCCATGTCTTATATCTTCGGGGAGAGAGAGAGAGAGAGAGGGTTTGATGATTGAGTATGCAGAATATGATGTTCTCTTTTGTAAGGGATCCAGTGAGATCCACAATCCTATCCACAATCCATGCGTATCTTCACCCTTTTCCTGATTGGTTCTTGGGGTGATGAAGTGATTAGAGCATCCGGCTCATCTTCCCATCCAATCAATGAAGGATATCATGGATTATATTGAAATTATTTGGACTGTTTACGCAAAACACATATCACGTCACCTTCTGGTCCTTCATATAACTTTACAAGCCATTTTTAATTTTTGGTTTGGCCTCATTTTGCTTTTAGGGTTTTGTTATTTTGGCAACGCTTCTTTCTTTTCATGGGATTAATAAGCTTCAAGGTAAATGCTGGTGAACTGGTGAAGGAAAAGAGAGAGAAAGGCCTTATTTTAATGATGGAATTTCTTACATTGCATTCTGTTCAGAATGACATCAAGATGCATGAGAGCAGAACATGCCTCTTAATGCATCTCACACATTAATGTTTATCTAACAAGAGTATTTTTTTCCATGTCGCCCAATGCGATGAAGTTGACAAATTGTGTCCAAAGATATTGTACATTATAGGCCCGCTGATTTAAAAATTAAACAAAATAATTAACAAAGATTGAGGCCCGCAATCCCAAACGGCATGGGGTTGACCACTGGCTACAAAAAACAACACCCATGGAAGAAGCGGCCTTGTATATATTATAGACCCATGCATTTTTATCGGTGCACCGAATTATCCAGAACTTATTATACCCAAATTTTAAAAATACAATACAATATTTGAACATTCCATCCAATTTGGAATTGTGAATACCTCACGAGCAAGGTATAGATGGTTAGCGCCTGTTGGGAATTTTTTTATTTATAACAAGTACTTTTGCTAACAAGTGTTTCTATAGAATGTCAATTTTTTGTTAAGAATTCAAGGGCTTCATGGGAAAACTTTGTCATAATATAAAATGTTTTTAGTCATTTCAGAGGCAGTCTCAAACACACTTTCATAAAAGCGTTTTTTAGAGAAACACTTAGTAGGAATCACTTTCAAGTGGTTTTAGATGTTTTTCTAATAAAAAATAATTATTATTGTATAAAAAAGCCCCTGCTTCATATAGAAGCAATCCCAAACGGGTAGTTTATAGGTTGAATCAGTGAATCACATAAAGGGTTGTTGAGGTTTAGGAGTGGCAAATTTTAGTTAATAATAGTGGGGAACTTTATGCTGGTAGGTTTTAGAGGTATTGGGGGCAATTTGACTCCTAAGCCGACGAAAGGTCATGGCAGCCTATTTGGGTTTATAGGTGGCAAATCAGATTCATATCTTGTTTCAATCTTGTTTTGTCTTGTTTTTCGTGAACTTATTTAGGCAGCGAATCTGTTAACTAAGATTATGGCTTCTGAGACAATGGATTTGCCCAAGCATATAAGCATGTGATGTGTAAGTGTTTTATAGGGTTTAATAACTTGTTTAAGGTCCTATATTATTAATTTGCTTGATGGATAAGAGTTGGTTGGTTGGTTGGTGGTGGATTGGACTAGTCACAAACGACGATATCAACTCCTCATCAGCTTAGGCGGACAACAACTTCACCAACCCCCTTTGAGAAGAAAATAAAATGACCAACCCCCTTTGAGACGAAAATAAAATGGAAAGTTTGAAAGAAATATCGTATTGTTTAAGAAGACTGCGTCCTTTTTCAATCATTTTTGCAAAGGGGTAGGGTACACTAATCAAAGACTTGGGTGCATATAGAAGAAGCTTCTATGCAAGAACGTTGATGACGATCTTTTTTCCTTTGGAAAACAAGAATGACGACGACGATGAGGATCATCATCATGCAGAGCCGATTTGTGACTATTCTCAAATAAAAGTTAAAAACTTGGCTGTGAGGGTTTTCCATATTTCACCAAACCTTATTGCCCCAAAAAATAAAAAGGTCCATGTGGTTGTGGAATCTGGATGTAGATTTATTATAGGCAAGTGACAAATCCGTCTCACCAAGCAACCAAGCAACCAAGACAACGGGTACGTGCCGGTTATCCCAAGTTCCCAACCTTTTGGGAATTTAGCAGAAAATGATAGAATCCATCGTCTCAACTTTTTGGTCAGTTTTTGATGGGTGGGAAGTAGGAAGAAGGAGGAAGAAGGAAGGAGGAAGTGGGAAACGCACCTAGCTTATCCCTAAATAAATCCCAACTGCCCCTTTCTCACTTTTTGCTTAGTTGCTTCCTCGTCATCTAATCATCATCAGCAGCAGCAGCCATAATATGGCTTCAACTCTCAAGTTCAATGGGTTGGGTTGGTTAAATTAAAATCCCCATAGTGCCCTCCCTCCTCCAAGAGAAAATAAGAGCTAGTGTGCATTGGTCAATGACTCAATTGGGTTGGTGACCAAATACCAGATGAATTTAATTACCTTAATTATGGTACATATGTTGATACAACAATGAGTTTGACTTGTGACCAATGACTTTTTACAAACTCAGTTGTTAATGAGGATAAACCAAACCCACCTCAAAAAGCATTTGATCTCATGCATAACATATGCTCCTTTAACTGGCTCCTACCATCACCTTCTCGACTCGAATATATTCTCTCATCAATATCTCCTATAATATTACAAAACAAGCATTCATCCGGATTTATGCAAATTCTGAATGGCATGTGGAATACTTTTTTTATATATTATTTTATGTCAAGATATGGAATCCGATTGATCAGCAATACCCTTATTTTAGCTTATCAAAAACTTGTTCTCCAAGGATTGTTTAATTTATAAGGATTCGATTCTTTTTGTTTTGGTTAAAGGTTGAGGTAATCTTTGATTTTATTTAGAACGCTATTTGAAACGAGAATGTCAGTCTACTCCCCTAGAACGTTGTATTTATTTCGAGTTCATAAATAAATATATGGAGTATATATAGTTGTACACGTATAGAAGTCAACAAAAGCATAGTTGTTTCTATAACACGCAATAATTGAATTTCAGAATGATACCTCACCCATTTTTGTCCTTTTCATTTCAAATCTAAGAAGAAGAAGAAAAAAGGAGCAATGTGGCAGTAATGCCAGCTTTCACTCAACACTTCCTTATCAAGCAAACTTCAACCGACGAACTCATTATTTTTTTACCTCAATTTGCATTACATTCATTCCCTTGCTTTGTGTTTTATTTCTATCATTAGCTCTGCTTCTGCATTTCCCTTTCAAGAAATGAGGTCGTTGAGAAGGACACTTGCTTTCAGTGTCTTTAATAAGGCTAGGTTCCCAGCTCAGTTTTCTCCACTGTGTTGTCGGTTGTCTGTTGTCGGTGGCCGTGTGAATAAGACCAAAATACCATTGCAACTTCACTACTACTAAAATAAGACCACAAGGTTATTTTAGTACTTTCACTACTAAAATACCTTCATTTATATATTCCTCCTCCTATTCATTAATGGGTTATGAAATAAATGCACTCTCTCCAACCAAATCCCACTAGCCGTTAAGTTAATTCATTAATTATATGAAAACGGAAACTATTTTAATTTTAATATTATGAATATATATATTTTTATTTATTTATTTTGATATTAATGCTAATAATGAATAGTCAAAATGTATTATGCACCCAATCTTGTCCTCGTTCAACCTTCACAAACGTTATCCTTGAAAGTAGCCAGCCAAGCTAGTTAAGCCAAGCCAGTCAGCCGAGTACCGGTTAGGGTTGGTGAAAGACCAGCAGTAGCCGGTAATACCTACGGCCCAAGTACTAGATATTCTCCCTTACCAAACTCCGGAATAATCTCATCCCTGGATTCGCTCACATCCAACGGCTGAAACTTTTTTATGCTTTCAAGCTACCTCATTCGCAACCGTTAGATGGTTGATGACAATCCGAAACGGACGATCCCGGTAAACCGGTTTGGTGAGATTGGATCTATAAATAGCGGATAAGAGGAAATTAAGGCTCCAAAAAGACTTTTGTAGTCGTTTAAGTTCCGCTTTCTCTGCGTTAGGGGTCTGGTTCGAAAAGCCCAGCCTCCTTCTTCCCTCCAACTTCTTAAGAGTTTCAGATCTGCGCTTCAGAGGTACCATATCGCTCTCTTTCCTATTGAATTTTTTCTTTTCATGTCTTTGTGTTTTGTGGGTTCGCTATAATGCATGCAGATCTGGTGGTTTATATGGTTTTGTTTTGGAAATATGAGAGATCTTAGAGGCTTGCTGTCGTTTTTGTTATCATTTGCTCTCGGTTGCTTGTGACTGACAAGTCAAATTGAAGTCGTAGAATTTTATGTAGTAAATTTTGCAGATCTGGTGACCTCTTCATTTCATTTGCTTTTAATCTACAGATTTTGGGTTTTTGATTTTCATTGTGGTTCTTGTGTTGCTTATTTAATGAGTACTTTTACATATTCTGAAGATTTGTTTGAGACTGGTGTAATTATCAGAACAACCCTGTTTAATGGTTGATATTTTTCCCAAGCAAATCCCTTTTTCTTGAAGATAACCATGATGTTCTAGTGCACTCAATTATTAGGATGCCAATCTGTTTTAGGGATGTAGATTCTATTCAGCCTTATGTCTGATCTGATGTTATTCTTTAGGGATGTGGTTGTTTTTTGTTTGTTCACTCTGTATTTCCTTTTCTGGGAATAATACTTTTGTAAAAGTATAATTGATATGTTTGCCACCAATTTCAAACTTTTTATGACATTTATTCTTTCACTTTGTTGGAGCTATTGACTTTTCTTTGTTGCATAAAGTATACTACGGTGGGTACCCTGCTTAGCTTGATATTAAGATGTCTTGTTATTCTATTGTGATGTTTAGAGAATGGAGACTTTCCTATTCACATCTGAATCCGTGAACGAGGGTCACCCCGACAAGCTGTGCGACCAGATCTCTGATGCAGTGCTCGATGCCTGCCTTGCCCAGGACGCTGACAGCAAGGTTGCCTGCGAGACATGCACCAAAACCAACATGGTCATGGTATTTGGAGAGATCACCACCAAGGCCAACGTTGACTATGAGAAGATTGTTCGTGAAACTTGCCGCAACATTGGATTTGTTTCTGATGATGTAGGTCTTGATGCTGATAACTGCAAGGTCCTGGTTAACATTGAGCAGCAGAGCCCGGATATTGCCCAGGGTGTCCATGGTCACTTCACCAAGAAACCTGAGGAGATTGGCGCTGGTGACCAGGGTCACATGTTTGGTTATGCCACTGATGAAACCCCTGAATTGATGCCCCTTAGCCATGTGCTCGCCACCAAGCTTGGTGCTCGCCTCACTGAGGTTAGGAAGAATGGTACTTGCCCCTGGTTGAGACCTGATGGCAAGACCCAAGTGACTGTTGAGTACTACAATGAAAATGGAGCTATGGTTCCAGTGCGTGTCCACACTGTCCTCATCTCCACCCAGCATGATGAGACTGTCACAAACGATGAGATTGCTGCTGACCTCAAGGAGCATGTTATTAAGCCTGTTGTCCCAGAGAAGTACCTTGATGAGAAGACAATCTTCCACCTTAACCCCTCAGGCCGCTTTGTGATTGGTGGCCCTCACGGTGATGCAGGTCTCACTGGACGCAAGATCATCATTGACACTTATGGAGGTTGGGGAGCCCATGGTGGTGGTGCTTTCTCCGGAAAGGACCCTACCAAGGTGGATAGGAGTGGTGCTTACATTGTCAGGCAGGCTGCCAAGAGCATTGTAGCAAATGGGCTTGCTCGCAGGGCCCTTGTGCAGGTCTCTTATGCCATTGGTGTGCCTGAGCCATTGTCGGTCTTTGTAGAGACATACGGAACTGGAAAGATTCCAGACAAGGAGATCCTTAAAATCGTGAAGGAGACCTTCGATTTCAGGCCTGGAATGATCACCATTAACCTGGACCTCAAGAGGGGTGGTGGCGGAAGGTTTTTGAAGACGGCTGCCTATGGACACTTTGGAAGGGATGACCCCGACTTCACCTGGGAGGTTGTGAAGCCCCTCAAGTGGGAGAAGCCTCAGTCTTGAGGTTGAGATTGAACAAGTCATGTCCCTGCTGTTGAAGGCTTTGCATTAATTGGCACTGGCACTGGATGAATAATTCGTGTGTTTACTTGCTGCTGCAGCTCTACACTCTAAAACAAATTTCTAATGTTCTAATTTCATACTTTTGAAGGTCCTTTTTTCTATTATTTGTTTTTGGTTGATCTTATTTCATTTTTCTGTAATATGTTGTCTTCATCACCAGTGTCTCTACTCTATAATGAAAGAGAATTTTGTTCAAATTGATGGCACTCTTATTATATCCACCAGCAGGGCAGTTTAGCTATATCCAATTCCGAACTAACTCAAAATTAAATTTCATGCTCATACATTATACATGGATGAAGCGGACTTGTAATATGAAGTTCACAGAAAGAAAATAAACGAGTTGTTGCTTTGCTCTCTCTCTCTCTCGTTTCTATTTGGGCTTATAATTTGCCCTTGTCGGCCATAACACCCTCTTAGGATTCCCCCACATCGCATTTACGTGTTTATGGGTTGGCTGGAGATTTAATTGGATGTTGAGATCAAATGGGGAATGATCAAAGTAGATCATTACAAGATTTTATTTTATTTTTACCATCATTCAAATGGCGGTAATTATGTTGGGACTTCTATTTGACTTTTGTAATTATGTTGGAGTGGGATATTTCTGAAAAAATAGGACAGAATCATCTTGCAACTTTGAACATAAGATCAGGGTTACTTTTTTACTTGTCAAATAATTATTCTCCGAGGTTTAGATTTATTGTTTATTTATTTTCACTTTTTTCTTTTTTTATCAATCGATAAAAATACCATTAATAAAAATTACTATAGCACAGACCATTCTAGGCCATTAAAATTGAGCCGTGGTTAATAAGCTGAGCTGAGTGAAAATGAATGGTTTAATTTAGTCCAAGTTGGGAGACCATGGATGCATATGAAAAGGTTGACCAGGAGGAGAGGAGTCTGGACTGGTAGATTAATAATTTAATATTATTACTGAAAATGCAAATTAGAGTTTAGACAAGAGTCAATAATCGTCAAAATAACAACTAGAAAAAGATTTACAGCAGCAAACAGACAAAGCAACCGATGAAGACGATCCTCTCGTCTCACACTGCATACTCACAACCGCCAACAGCTGCCATACATCACGTTAAGCAATTAATTATATATAATTAAGGAGAATGAGAAAGAAGAAGAAGAAGCCAAAATGAAAGATTAAAAACGTACATACATGGGTTCTGAAAAACGACTAAGCCAGTGCCATTAAAGTGGCAGTCCCAAGGGTGCTTCCCAGTGGCCTTGTAAAAGAGGTTCATGGCAACTGAAGCATGCGAGACTGCATTGTCTGGCCTGAAGCAACTGCCACCTGGCTGAATGGCCCTACAGTCAATTCCCGCTTGCCCGCAGCTATAATCAATATTGTGGTAAAGCTTTTCAACATCTGTCGATGGCTTAGCTATGCACCATGTAGCTCTAGCTGCTGTCCCACTGTTTCCGATATCCTACATGTACAATATTCAAATTTCATTCCACATGTTACAATATAAAACAAACAAACACATCTCTCTTACAAGAGATGGTTTAAATTATTCTAATGTACGGGAAGACGAATTCGAAGGGGCGACCTCACTGCCCTACTACCGTCTCATCAAATCTCTTTTAAAAATATTAAACTGCACCAACACCTTTTATTACCTGATCATCTTGAGTAGCAAAGTTCCTTGACTCTGCAAGGTGAAAGGCAACCCAGAGTTAGAGGTGTACAAGTAATTCCTGCAAGTGACAATGTGCTTGCATGCATTGACTGAGGCAGAGAGAGCAAAGCAGCGCAGATAATATTACAAATAAAAAGTAGTAATTAATTTTGAATTGTGCACCTGTGCAAGCAGCAAAGCAAAGAAGAAGAGCTAAGCCCATTGTGACTCTGAGCAATGCCAAAGGCTCCATTTTATTTTATGTCTCTCTCTCTCTCTCAAATATCAAGTCACACAGAAAGGAAGAGAAGAGAAGAGAAGAGAGCGCTTAATGAATGAATGAGCAAGCATGTGAGGGGTGGTCAGGACTCAGGACTCAGGAGCTGCTTATATTGTCATAATGAAGGGGGCCAACAAATTTGTCATAATGATATGTACAATTATACATGCAGTGCAGGGCAATAGTGAAAAAGAAGAGTGGTGGACTGGGATTTGGTGGAAAAGTAGGCAAAATTGAATAGTTTATTTATTTATTCAAGGAATAAGGGACATGTGAATGCCTGCTAATTTGGTTTTGTTGCATGCAGTTCATTTGTCATGCATGCGTGATGCGTCCATTTTCTGATTTCCTGATTTCCAATGCTCACGCACTGCCCTTTGCATCTCTATACCACAATGTACAAGCATTATATCTGGTTAATTTCAATTTCTGGTGTGTAACTTTTATGCTAGAAGAAAAACAACACACATAGAATTACAAACCAAAGAACAACATAAGAGAACGAATGTTCAACAACCATAAAATCATGTATAAACTTTATTTTTCCTTCCAGAAAATCATGTATGGTACCAAAATTTGTATACAACTGAAAATTACATTGATTATGATTACACGAGCAAAATACATAGCATTCTTTTGGTACAAATATACTAAAATTTTAAAAAGCTTGTAGTTCAAGTGATTTCAATTAAGTATATGCAATGACCATCAATGAATAATAACCAATAACAACATGTACCTTCGAAAAGAAAATGAGAGTGATTAAGGGTTCGTTTGGGAGTGATTCTGAGAGGGCCAAAATCACTTCCTATTTAGTATAATCGCTTTTGCTTAAAAAATATGGTGATTTTGCGCAAAAGTGCTACTAACATAAAGTGATTATGTTAAAATCACTAATGAGTAAAATCGCTTCTACATAATCACTCCCAAACGAGCCCTAAGCCACGTGTGCAGAAAGCGCTTCCATAATCCAAAAAACTAGAAGAGTTTACACTTAACTTAAACCCATTCCCAAGCCACAACACGCCATGGAGGAATATCAAATTTATCGGCGTTTCCACAATGAATCAAATCCATGAAAAGAAAAAGAGAGAAAGTTGTGACGAATTGACATTTATGAGAATTAACCATTTACGGGGAGACAAATTCTATCACGTGATGCGATGCGAGCCTAGCTGTGCACCCCAAAGATCTTGAACGAATCAACATCGACCACGTCAGTATGGGGTGCGCTCGAACGCGCCACTCTTCTAGGGGGAAGTAGTCAAAGGGTCACATTCTCAGTCTGTCTTCTTCTGTAGCTGAGTCAAGTCTGGCCAACACCCAAAAAAAAATATTTAAAAAAAGAAAAATCCCAAAATATTAAAACGCGATCAAAATGTCACCTTCCCTAAATACATACATAATTGTGAAATTTGTAATACAATTTACAATCGCTTTTTCGGTATCCTTATCCTACGCACTCCCCTTCCTTCCCCGCCTATCCTGCGCTGCGCTTCCCTCGCCGGATTTGGAGCTCAGATCTCTCCCTCCCTCAGACACCCACTGACTGACACACCCACCCAATACTCTTGTAATTACTTTACAAGCCTACACTTAGCTTTTCCCTCTCTTTCAGGTACGCTCTCTCTCTCTCTGACGATCTGTGTCTTCGCTTTACTTTTTTATTTTGTTTTGGTTGATCTCCATGTTTGATCACATACTAGATAGACAGACAGACAGACAGATAGATAGATAGATGGTTAGATAGGGTTTTAAATAAAATAATGGAAATGGGTTCTCAAGGTCAGCGACTATGAATTGTTCAGTCATTGGTATTACTTTTTAGTAACTGGATTATTAATTCCTCAATTTTGCATTTCTACAATCCACCTTGCTATTTGCTCTCTTCGTTTCGTTTGCATTTTATGCTTTGCTGGTTCTAAATTTCAATCTCTTCATATCAATCATAGTAGCAGTTTTTATTTAATTCACTCAAAAGGTTTTTTTTTTTTTTTTTTTTTTTTTTTTGTGGTGTGTGTGTGTAAAGAATCATGAGCTGCTTCGGCTGTTGTGAAGATGATGATATGCATAAAGCGCCCGACCATGGAGGTCCATACATGGTCAAAAACCCAGCAGGTAATCTACTGTGCTATGCTATAGTCGAGTCGACCTCCTGTTGTGTTGCATGATTGCATCTAGGTTGATATATTTCAACTAACTATTATTTGATCGTTTCTTTTTTCCTTCAAATTTTGTTTCTTTTGCTTCATTTCTTCTTGTGTCTGTTTGTTTCTGTCACCGATTTCATCAATTCAACTGAGTTGAATTTCATCACACAGGAAATGAGGGAAGCAATCACGCCTCAGGAACTGCACCTAGGGGTGCTCAAGCTGTAAAGGTCCAGCCTATTGAAGTTCCTACTGTACCAATAGATGAACTTAAGGAAATTACCGATGGCTTTGGGACAAGTGCTTTGATTGGAGAGGGTTCATATGGAAGAGTATACTATGGCGTACTCAAAAGTGGGCAGCATGCAGCAATCAAGAAGTTAGATGCGAGCAAGCAACCTGATGACGAATTTCTGGCGCAGGTTTAGACGAGAATCTGTTGATTGTTATTTTTATTGCCATATTCAAACGAATTAATTAAAATTCATTCCTAACTTGATGAATAACTGATACAGGTTTCTATGGTATCAAGGCTGAAACATGACAATTTTGTTCAATTGCTTGGTTATTGTGTTGATGGGAGTTCACGTGTTCTTGCCTATGAGTTTGCATCTAATGGATCTCTTCATGATATTCTACATGGTATGTGAGAGTAAGGTCAAGGTGAAAGCTTAATGATATGATTGAGATTGATGTTTCTTGCTGCACAATCTTGTTTGATGCATTTTTTTATGTGAGGAAATTAACTATGTTGTTTTACATTGTCTAAACTTCATTCTCGTTAAAACAGTTTCTTGCAGTTAGACTGTACTACTTGAGATGAGAGCTGTTGTCTTTGCTGTTGCTGGAAAATATAGTGTTCAACCTGATTATTTTTCTAATGCAGGAAGGAAAGGTGTTAAAGGAGCACAACCTGGTCCAGTTTTGTCATGGGCACAGCGTGTTAAAATTGCCGTGGGTGCTGCAAAAGGGCTCGAGTATTTGCACGAAAAGGCTGATCCCCACATCATTCATCGCGACATCAAGTCTAGCAATGTGCTAATATTTGATGACGATGTTGCTAAGATTGCGGACTTCGATTTGTCCAATCAAGCTCCTGATAATGCAGCACGTCTTCACTCCACTCGTGTGCTAGGAACTTTTGGTTATCATGCCCCTGAGTAAGCTTTTAATTGGTTCTTCAACGATTGCATTTAGCAACTATGTTGTGCATTTGCTCTATTATAAACTTGAAATGAAACAATGCTCTTTTTTCAGTTGTTGAGAATCCTTTGGTGAAGAAATTAAAACTTGTAATTTTACAATGACCAACCCCAATTCTAAAGGCGGTGTAATCAGTGTTTCATGTTTCTTTGGGAAGATTTAGATTTTTCTTCGTTTCTTTGTTTCCCAGTAATCAACCCGAGCATCAGTTTAATGTATTAATTATTCCTACTTAAAAAAGTTTTTACCAGAGTGTATGTCTTCAGCACTAATATATTCAGCAATTTTGTTTGTGGCTGTAGATATGCAATGACTGGACAGTTGAATGCCAAGAGTGATGTTTACAGTTTTGGTGTTGTTCTGCTTGAACTTTTGACTGGAAGAAAACCCGTTGATCATACATTACCAAGGGGACAGCAGAGTCTAGTAACATGGGTACTATATCTGTGCTCTTTATTCTATATTCATAGCACCTGCTATCTGTTTTTTGATTTGTAGACATGAGAATATGTTTCTTGTTAATCAAGCTGATTTTTAAAGTATTGGGATGTGTTAGGCTACACCAAAACTCAGTGAAGACAAAGTTAGGCAGTGCATTGATTCAAGACTAGGAGGAGAATACCCACCAAAGGCGGTTGCGAAGGTATTCACTGGATCATAATACATTCATATATGTTGTATGTACACATATCTACCTACATGCATATACACACAAACATGTAATTAATGGTAATTTCTTTTTGTATTTGAACAAGGGTGAAGTGCTAAACTGGCATCTCTGTTATTTTTTCCCATGCATTTGTAAATAGAGAGCATACCACATTATACCTACGACTGAAGACTGATGATGCGACCAAACATCTAAAACTGAAATGCTTTTGTGTCTTGATTATAGATGGCTGCAGTTGCTGCCTTGTGTGTGCAATATGAAGCTGATTTCCGCCCAAACATGAGCATTGTTGTCAAAGCTCTCCAACCCCTGTTAAACGCTCGGCAGCATGGACCCACAGGGGAAGTACCAAACTTGTGAAAATCTCTATCTCTCTCTCTCTCTCTCTCTCTCTCTCTCTCTCTCTCTCTCTCTCTCTCTGTGTCTTCTTCCCCTGTCTCTCTGTCTATGCCTCTGAAGATGTGTCATGTGTGCATGTATGAGTAATTCAGCATGCAAATTGTAACAAGGGGATTGTTTTGAGGGTGGTGGTATATTGTTTGCACGGTGTTCTAAATGCTTCATTTTCATTTTCGAATAGAAATGTACTATATTGCTTCATTATTTGCGATGTATTTGGTTTGTTCATAATGCAAGGGGCATTTTCTCCTAGTGACTGGACTGTTATTCTTCTTTGGATGCTTTGCTTAATCACGGTCCAATATTATTGAGAATTCAATTATTTCGGTTACATAAAAATTGTTGACAAATTAGTGTTTGGTCAATAATTCAAAGCTTGATACTTTGACTAGATACAATTCATGGGTCCTATGCAAGAATTAGAATACACGTGGCCAGAGACTCAACATGTTATAACATGTGCTACAACAACCAAGTAAAACACAATAAAAAATTGTTAACAGAGTGATTGGATGGGTTGCTGCAAGACTGGTCGAGTTTGTTGTGAGGTGCAGTCGGAGTTTGCAAATGATAACGAGTAAACAAGTTCCTTCTATTTGGTTGACATATGTCCATTTACTTACTTAACCCCCAATCTAACACTCAACTTAAATAAACATATTGTTGTTTGAAAATGGATAAAAAAAAACTTATATAAAAAAATTAAAAAAATAAACCAAGAACCAAAAATCCAACAGCCACCCAAACTCCCCCGATAACCACCCCACAACGTTGGATATGCTCCGTTACCTACTTACTAATCTTGATTGCATCACCATTCAATTTGATGTCTGTAGCTAGTTTGGATATGGGTTTTTGTCATTGGTTTTCTAGCAGAACGTGAAAGATGGTTTGTTCTCGAATACTACACAGTAATTAATATTTGTCCTTACAACATTGGATTTTTTAATTTGTTGATAATTTATTCTTCAGCGTTTTAAAACTTGAGTTTAAGTTGGGTTCTTACTTCTCTGGTGATGGAGAGAGGGCGAGACACAAAGAGAGAAATGAGGCAATCGATCCTTGGCCTATGATGAGGAGTAGGTTGGGTTGCTGCCGGTGAGGTGGTTGTCGGGGTTGGGTTTGGTGTATGGGACTTCGGTTGTTGCGGCTATGGTGGTGGCTGTTGGCTTTTTGGTTGTTGCGACTATGAAAAAAAAAATTCATTAAAAACACGAAAAGAAATATCACATTGCTATTGGCAGGAATGTAAACTCTTAACTTGGAGGTTTTTCTAATAAAAGTCATTCTATAAAGATGCCTTTATCTTGATGTTTAAGGAATAAAAAGTTGCGTGGTGGTGCATACTCGTTTTTCCTAGCTGCCATTCTATTTGTTTCTCCGCTTAATGGCTGATTAGATGAGACATACGTTTGAAGATGTGTACCACTCCAATGGGCTCGCAGTTGGTGGGTCGGTGCACGTCAAAACCCATTCACTTGTCATTAACGCTGTTTTTTCTTTTTCGTTTTCTTTGTAACGTTATCTATCTACACTTTAATAATTGATATTTCTCCGTGATGTGGCCGCATCAGTCGGTATAAACATTTCGCGGATTGAAACAAAATGCTTTCATCTTTTGTGGATACTACTTTCTTCTTTTTCGGTAAAGAGATACTCCTCATTTATGAGAATTACAGTTTCACAATACATATGTAAAAATAATTTATCAAAAAGAAAAATTTGTGTACGCATTGTTGTTGGCAAGAATATAGAAGTTTTTACTTACATAGTAAAAAATGAAGTATTTTCCTTTTATCTTGGTTGCTAAAAGAAGAAGAAGAAAGAAACAAAAGGACGTTTGAACCTATTATTTAGAAGTTGAATAAATCAACAATTGATATGGGAAAAATAACATCGGACTTTGAGTCAACGACACAAGTAAATAGTATTATTCCCTTAATCCTAATTTAGTTTTAGAAAAGAAAGAGAGTATTATTCTCTTTTTTATTGCTAGTGCCCTACTGACTTGCCCAGTGGTTAAGCAATCTCTAACCCCCCACCCCCATATTTAAAGCTCAATTATTGGTGTTAATTATTTATTTATATAAATGGTAATAAAAGGTTGGCAATTGGGCAAATAGGGTTTGGGCCTGACGAGACGACGGTCATTGACCCGAAAAAGAAGAAAAAGAAGAAAAAGGAAAGTCTTGATCCAAACACAAAATCCACGTTAGAATTTGGGTCAAGCTGCCACCACCCAACCACTCACTCTCAATAACTCAAAATTGAGGCTGTCGTTGCTGGAAAAAAAACTCCCCTTCATGACTTAAAAAACCGAAACTGAAAAAGACAAAAATATTACCCCCTAACACACACTCCCGAAACACAAGGGAGGGGTAAAATAGGCCGTCCCATGACCCATGAGTGGCGGTGGTAGTAAAAACATGGAACCTATTAATTAGGCAAGTAGGTAAGTAAGAATCAAGTAAAAAGAAAGGAATAAAGAAAGACGGAGCAACGGCTGGACTCCAAACACTCCAACCCAAAAATCTCTATAGGGAGATACTACTTGATAAGAAGAGATCAATCTCAAGAAGAGAGGAACCCAATCCAATCCATCAATCAAAACCACGGGATTTTGATTTTGAATTTTGAATTTTGGTGTTTTGAAGGGTTTTCAAGAATCGATCATCATCGCCGTCGTTCATAACCGAGCGGTGACCAGTCAGATCTCTAGTATTTGGAGAGCGCCAATGCGTGGGGATGTGAGCGGAAGCAGCATGGCGGCGTCGACTATGGGTAAGGCCGAGACGCAGTACGAGTACGCGAAGACGTCGGTGTGGTGGGACATAGAGAACTGCCAGGTCCCCAAGGTCTGCGACACTCACGCCATCGCCCAGAACATTAGTTCTGCTCTCGTCAAGATGAATTACTGTGGGCCCGTCTCCATCTCCGCCTACGGCGACACCAATCGCATCCCTGCTTCTGTTCAGCACGCGCTCTCCAGCACCGGCATCGCCCTCAACCACGTCCCCGCTGGTAAAAATAATTAATTTTATTGTTTTTTGTTTACTTTTATTATTCTTTGTATTTTTGTGTTTGATCTTCACCGGGCCCTAAATTGGAACCCTAGTAAACAGATTGCCCCTACTGTTTTTTGTTATTGTTTTGCTTGGCCTGCTTATTTTTTTAATTTTGCGATTAGTTCATATCAAGGGTTGATTTTCTTTTCTTTAATTTTTTAATTCAAATAATTATGTGATGAGTCCATTGACTCTAATTTGATGGTATGATTTAAATTTTTTCTTTTTAAAAAGGCTTACTTTGATATTGATTTTAGTTAATCTTGACAACCGTTACTTAAAAGTAGCAAGTGAATCAATATGGTGCTATTTTTGGGTAATTCATAAATTGATTCAGCAACTTCTTGTTTTGTTCATGCCTAAATTGTTCAACATGTTTTCCATCCCAGATTGATGATGTTTCATTCTTCTTTTTCTTTTTCTTCTCTTGTGATAATTGATGCTTGTAATTCATTCTCTGTTTGCTTTGTCCTCTCAAACTCTGTATATTCTTTTCTTTCCCTATCATTATGATCTTCATTGACAGCTCATGGTCTGAAACAGGTGTGAAAGATGCAAGTGACAAGAAGATTCTAGTTGATATGCTGTTCTGGGCAGTAGATAACCCTGCTCCAGCCAACTACCTGCTTATTTCTGGAGACAGGGATTTCTCCAATGCTCTACACCAGTTGCGCATGAGAAGATATAATATCCTTCTGGCACAACCACAAAAAGCTTCCGCACCCCTCATAGCTGCAGCAAAGAGTGTATGGCTTTGGACAAGCCTCTCAGCTGGAGGGCCCCCACTTTCAAGTGGGGAGTCATCTCAGCTTGCGAATGGTAACCATTCTTATAACCCTGAAATGCCGCAGTACTCGATGCCTGAAGCGTTCCAGATAAACCCGCCGCCAGTTTATTATGAACAGCCTTCTATGGGAAATCAAAAGAATTCTACCAATGGAAGGGTTGGTGATAGTAAAAATAAAGGGAAATCAAATCGGAAAAACCCAAATCAACCCAACATATCAAGAGCCTCAAGTGTGCCAGTTGGGAACCAAGACGACAAGAATAATGATTACCCTTACCAACCAGAACATACACATGCAAAGCAGTTTAAGAAAGCTCCACACGAATTCTTTGGTGTTAGTGAGAATCTAGTCTCCAGTAATAGGTCTACTCCCAATTTCTTCCCTGGAAATTCTGATCCTTCAGGCGGTAATGGCAATAATTTCCTAGGTCAGCAAAACCAATATCCTCCTCCTCCGAGGCCGAACAACTTCCACGTGCAACCTAATGTTGGACTGGATAATATGTTCCCTCCTAATTCTCAAAGTCATGGTTTTCGACCTATTCCTCCCAGACCTGATGGCCTTAGATTTTCTTCAGCCCCACCTACGAATATGCCTGATATGAGTAAGCTAAATGTCTCCGAGTACAGCAATTATGCTCAAAATTCGCAAAGGTTCCCCCATCGAAATGGAGACGAGTTTAGCAGACCCAGGTCTAGCGAGTCACTAAATTCAGCTAGCCCATATGCACCTCATAAGGGCCATAATTTGCAGAGTGGCCAGGGGTTTCATCATGATTCTATGAACAACAGGTATCCTCGGGGTTCTGATTATCTGTCCTCTCAATCCTCCCCTGCTGTTGCAAACAACATTCCTAGTAATGGCATTTGGGGAACTCAAGGCTGCACACCATCTGAATATGTTCAAGGCCTTATTGGCGTTATTTTACTAGCCCTAAACACCTTGAAAGTTGAAAAAATTATGCCTACTGAAGCAAACATAACCGATTGCATTCGTTATGGTGATCTGAAACACCGCAATACCGATGTAAGGAAGGCCTTGGATTACGCAATAGAGCAACATATGGTAGTGAAGCAGAGCCTTGGTGCACTTCAGTTGTATGTTGGTAAAAATGAGCAATTATGGAAGTGTGTGAACCCTATAGGTGGTAATCTTAATCATTACTCTAAAGCCACATGGGATCAGATACAGAACTTTCTGAGTTCCTCAGATGGACGATCAGCAATAATGGCTTCTCAATGCAGGTAAGTGTTAATGATAGATTCTTAGTCAGATGCTTATGGTTCCTGGAATGTCGAGTTTTGACCATGGTTTTCTTCTCTGCAGATATGAAGCAGCAATGATTTTGAGAAAGGCATGCTCAGAAGGGCTTGCTTTGGGCAATGTACTTCAGATCTTGAATATGATAGTCAGCATGAAGAAATGGATCACTCATCATCCGTCAGGATGGCAACCGATTTCTATTACCCTCGAAGAGACTAAAGCGGAAATGGGTGCTGAACCTGGTACTTGATTTAGTCAACAACTCCCTAAATAGAGATAAAGTGGCTGTAAGATGGTTAGATTAGAGAATATTATCAGTTTATTGAGACCTTGATCAACTGTGTTTACTTCTGAAACAAAATACAGTTGTTAGAGTATCTGAAGAACTAAGGGGGATGGAAACCTTTACATTTTGAACCAAGTAAGTAGGACTAGGTGTCTTTTCCTCTTCTTTTTTCATTCTTTTTTTCCCCCTCTTTCTTTCATACTCTATGGGGTACTCAATGAGCTTCTAAAGAATGGGTAAAAATGCTGCTAATGGAAGATGCGTATTAAACAATTAGAAGCTACCTAATTTACGAAGTTGATTGTACCTGCATTATTGTGAGGCTTTTTGTCCGTTACAAAATCAATGGATCGTTCTGCCCAAAGCCGTGCTTCTAAGTAAGGAAGAATGTCAGGAATGGAATCAGGAAGTGGTAGTATCATGTTTTATCATATATGAATGTGTAGGCAAGATTATGTAGGTTCTGGACAAGTTTCAGCATGTTCTACCTGGATCAGGGCTTACGTGATTATATCTTGCAGACTTTATTATTCAACTGCCATGCAGACGAGCTCTATTGATGACTAGTACATAATCAGGTATCTGAGATATAGTTGTTCGAGTTCTATGTGGTTAATTGATGAGAAAGTTTGCAGACGAAAAAGCATGAAGCAACTTCATAGACATTGAAGCCGCATTTTGACGTATATTCATTTAAGAAGGTATCCTGATGGGACTGCATTTGTGGTTCAGGAGGCTGCCAAGGTAAAGCTATCCTACAAGCCTTTAGGCATGCATGCGATTTCTGGAACCTGGTGTGGCTAAATACATGCTTGGATGTTGCAAGTAAATTTAGGTTGAGTTTTATGTATCGTATTTGACACTGTCTGTTTTTAAAATATTCTTGGAGAAGAAAGATGTGTAATTGCTTGCTTTCGTTTTATTCATCCTTTTATATTTGTCGTCTGCAACTCAAGCTTCGTTAGTGGGTTCCTGGCTTGGTCCTGGAACTCAACTAGGAAGCATGCTGAATAAACTTATGTATTCTATTCTCTAGTATGTAATTTGCATTTGCAAAAGTCTATGTAGTTTTTTTGAATTCCAAAGCTCCTTGGTTTTCCTGATTTCCACCAATTCAGGTTACTTGCAGATTTGTGGTAGCCATGTTTTTGGGTCTGTTCAAGGTGGGGAAGAACGGGTTCGACCCCTGCAGCGTGGGTATGATGTGCAATCAAATGCATGCGGTGGATTGACCAGTCCAGTTCTCTTGCAAATTATAATAACTAACTCATCAAAATGAAAGTAGAAATGGTTGCTTCCAAAGAAAAGGACCGAATATATTCCTTTCCTTTTCACTATTTATTTACGTATGTATCAAATTAAGGAGGTCGTGACTCGTAATGTTGGCATATCGTCAACAGCCTCTGGAAGGCTTTCATTTTTTGGTCAACCAACCTCTCGTCGTGTCACGTCACACGTGTGGCTCTGAACCCTTTCTGTGACCATTCATTCGGGCACCGGGGGACGATTCCTCAACTGATGTACTCATCACCATTTATTCATTTTTACTCTTTCAGTTATTTTTTCATCTTTTCGTCGTTAAATAAAAAAATTTCTTTTTCCAAAGCGAAATAGGTTTTGACCCCCTAATTAATGTGAATGTCATTTCTTATGCTACCGGCCACATTGTCAATATCATTTCTTACGGCACACATTTGGGTGGCACAAGAAATGACAACTACTATGTTTGACACAAGACAAACCCAACAAACAAACTGGTGCAATGCATTGGTGATGGGTAATGTAGTTTAGAGACAAGACATGCCAAACAATAGGAATAACATTAGTCCTAGTGCATTAATTGCCTTGTGTTTGTCTTGGAAATTGGAATTGCCCTAAGCCAGCATATCTATCCCCGCGACTGCCACCCAAAAGCCGGTCAACCATGCAAACTTAACCTCCATTCAGTTGCATGCACACCTAATTTGGGTAAATCGCTGCACTATATTACCCATGCACACCCTACCTCGTTTCTCCGTAGACAGAAAAGAAAGAAAGAAAGAAATTATTCCCTCCTCTCATCTCTCTCAATAGTTTTCTCTCCGATCCGCCGCATCATGTTTTAGTTCCCGATCTATCGCCGTAGGGAATAAGCGGTTCGGAGGGACATCGAAAGGTAAAGAAAACGGAAACCAAAAAAAAGGTAGAGCATGGCTCTTAATAAGAAAGTAGTTGTATCTGGGATTTCTCTGATACTTGTAGTGGGCGCGGTCATCGGAGCCGTGGTGGCGATCGTCCACTACAATAAGAAACCTAAAGGCGAGTCCCTAACAGCGCAGCAGAAGATGGTGACCCAAATCTGTAACTACACCGACTTTCAACCGGAATGCCAGAGGAGCCTCGGCCCCGTCGCACAAAACAACAGTGCCGACTACAAGGACTACGTCAAGGCCGCGCTGCTGTCCATCTCCGAGGAGGCCAAGAAGGCCTTGAACATGTCCGAGTCGCTCTTGGTGGAGGCCCGAAACGGCACCAGCTCCAAGAAGTCGCTCGAGGAGTGCAAGGAGATGTTGAAGGAAGCCGTGGCGGAGCTGCAGGCCGTGTTCTCGTATGTGGGCGATGCAGACTTGCACACCATGGAGGACCGCGTAATGGAGCTCAAGGCCTGGATTGGAAGCGTCATCAGTTACTCCACCACGTGCCTTGACATCATTGGAGACGACGACAACAAGATTTTTGAGGCGTTGAAAGATCCCATAGGCAACGCCTCCGCCATCACCGACAACGCTCTGGCTATCGTGGGTGAGATCGGCAGCATCCTCGGACTGTTCGGAATGAAGATAAACGACAAGGCCTTGAGAAATCTCGGCACTCAACGCCGACTTTTGGAAGACGAGCTTAGCAGCGACGGGAGGTCCCCGAGCTGGTTCTCGGCCTCCGACCGCAAGCTGATGGCGTTGCAAGACAACGGAAAGCTGAGGCCTCACGCCGTTGTGGCCAAGGACGGAAGCGGGAAGTACAGCAGCATTAACGCGGCGCTTAAAGCGTACCCGTACGGACAACAAGGTCGGTACATTATCTACGTGAAGGCGGGAGTGTACCAGGAGTATGTTACGGTGGACAAGAAAATGACCAACGTATACATGTACGGCGATGGGCCCAGGGCCACCCTGGTCACCGGACAAAAGAGCGAAGCAGGAACAGGAGACAAAATCTCCACCAGCGGTACATTCCAAGTGTTTGGGGCCGGCTTCATTGGGAGGTCCATGGGGTTCAGCAACACGGCGGGTCCCCAGGGAAGACCCGCCGTTGCTCTGCGTACAGTTGGTGACCAAATCGCCTTCTTCAACTGCAGGATCAGCGGGTACCAAGACACCCTGTACATGCAGGCGGGACGGCAGTTCTTCCGCAACTGCGTCATCTCAGGACACGTGGACTACATCTTCGGGGACGCTCGGGCATTCATTCAGAACTCGTTGATCATTGTGAGGAAGTCGTCGATCCCGGAGCAGAACCAAGTGTTCATCACAGCTCCCGGCAGGCAGTACTCTCACGAAATCGGTGCGATCATCATCCACAACTCGAGGATCGTGCCGGAGCAGAAGCTGCTGCCGACGAGGTTCCAAGTGAGGACATACTTAGGGAGGCCGTGGAAGCCGTACGCCAGGGTTGTGTTCATGGAGAGTACTTTGGCAGACTTCATCAGGCCCGAAGGTTACAGCGCTTGGGACGGGAAGGCCGGGAACACGGAGCACGCCTTCTTCGGAGAGTACAAGAACCGCGGGCCAGGCGCCAATCTTGCCAAGAGAGCCAAGTGGAACGGTGGCTTCTACGGTGAAATGGACAGGGCTACCGCGGAGAAGTTCACAGCTGGGCCAGCGCTGTTGGCTGATCGCTGGTTGAAGTTCGCTAACATTCCTTACACCCCAAGCTTCATCCATGCTGACTCCTAATCAAAAAAAGGGTCTTTTATTAATTAGCTAATTAATTAATGGGATGGGCTAATTGAGTCTAGAGAGAGAAGAAGAGATCGAGTACGCGCATATACATATACATAGGTATATATCTATGTAGCGCTAGCTCTCTCCATATATGTGTATGTGTATGTGTATGTGTATGTATGTATATATCGATCTTAATTAATTAATTTATTGACGTGCATCTTGCATTGCTTATGTCTTCCTCCATGGCCACCATTGAGCACGTCAATTAAGAATATACCATCTAATTCCCAGATAAATTACAAAACTCTCTTCCCATCCTTCATCAGGCCAACAAACAAGCATAATCCAACTCCTCCAAGGCTCATCATCGAGATCATATCGTCACTGCCTCAAAGTTCATCAAATGATTCAAGGTGAAAGCTTGAACAACATGTTCAATGGAAATGATCAAGAGCAGCAAGGCTTTTGGCTATGTATATGTTCCCAGCAGCACCATTTTCATTAATTGAATCAACCCCCCTGCAGATTATTCTCAATCAATTATCTCTATATGAAAACATAAAAGGAGACATAAAACAGAACAGAAACAGAGCAGCGACATTATTTCTGAGGCTGTGAGTGAAGGGAAGTGGAAACCTGTCAAAGTGGCAAGACTCCCTCAATAATAATTCAAGCCTTGCTTCGAAGATGAAGTTCTTTAACTCATAATTTGGGAAGAAACGTTGGTGTTCCCTTGGTGCATTCCAGAAGTCTCAGAGCAAGCTGGAAGCTTGGAAGGCTAACTCTGTCTCTTGCTGGCAGTCACTCTCATACATGTCGCATCATCCAAAACCATCTTTTGCATCCAAGCATGGTTTGCACTAGTTTGTCAAAGTGCTCATGCATAGTTATTATTAATAAGAGCCGAAGCCATGTCTTCATCACTTAATTAGACTTCCATGTACTTCAACTCAGTAAGTATCTTGTTGAACTCATTGAAGTGACCCTCTTTCCATCATGAACTTCCAAAATCTCTTCTCGAGACTTCAACGATTTGCGAGAGATTTCTGTTGGTAAAGCTTCTGAAGCTTCGCCATTATACCCTTCGTGTTAGTCTCTCATCTTGAACAGTATGCCTAAATTCTCTCGTGGCACACAACCGGATGGTAGAGCATGCCATCTCATCGAGTTCAACCCAATCTTCATTCTTCATACCATTAGATTGCAAACTCAGGTTTGAGTTTATCAGTTTCAGGTCGTGTTTGAGTTTTGTACATCAGTTTCAAATGATATGACATCACACCAACATGCTTAAAAAAAACACACGAACGATGAGAATCAGTCTATATAGTTGTAAATAGGCTAATAAAACCTCCTCAGCAAGTTTATGTGGAGTGGTATTAGAGTCAATGGTTTGTTTGGACAAAGCACACTGACCCCAGGTTCCTGGAACACCTTATAATATAGTTGTTGGTTGTTGGTTTACTCCGTGAACGTAAAGACAAAACTTTGTGTTTTCTCGTTTTGTCTTGATATAGATGTACATATTATGGTTATTGGTTAAAGAATTCGATGAGTGATTTGTGTGATTTGCGTGGGACTTGTTGGGGAGAAGATTAATAGTGTACAATTACATAAGTTTTTGCAAGGAATAGTCAAGGACAAAGAGAAACTTGTTAATGCTTACTCTGGATTGTTCTGGGGACAAGGATATCCAATTAGAGTGGGGTTTAGTTTTTGTTAATCCTTGATTCCTGGCAATTTAAGTTGAAAGAAATAGAGATTGCAAACTGACCTTTCACAACTGGGTATGATAAGTCACCCCCTTGTCATTCATTATCTTCTCTCCCTCATCCAAGACAGGGCTTGCCCCACACAAACAAGTGCTTTTCCTTACTATGTTATCTCTTAACCTAAACAAACATAAAGATAATAATCTCATCATTAGTTGTCTATTTTTCTAAACAGATCAACTCTAAGAGCCTTTTGAGTTGAAATATGGACTTCCTTCCACATCATTTCTATATTTCTCTAATCTCTACAATCTAGTTTTTTCTTTTCTTCCCCCAATTGAATTATGTAAGTTTATATAATATACAAGGCCATGAGCAAACCCAAAAGATATGGTGCAAATTCAAATCATCTGGGTCCAGAACTGTCTGGACTGAAGGGGACAGGTTAACATATTCAATCAGGAAATTTGATTGATAAATAAAGAAACCTTCCTCCCTCCCACCACATTTTATTAGAGAGTTTGATTAATCTCTCTTTACCTGCTTAGTTTTTGGGTATTTTCACCCATTAAAAAGTCATTGAAAGTGACCCAATTCTGGATTGTGAATGCATGGACATGTGGAAAGATGAGGCCCTCCTCCATCCCAACCACACAAGTCTCTATCTTTTATTGCAAGGTAGAAAGAAACGTAGGCAATTGAAATAATATTTCAATTGGCTGTTGAGGAGATGGATCAAAGTTTTTTTCATTATTGGTTAATAAAAATTCTAAGACTGAGTAATAAAATTATATGTGATGACTGCAGGGTCTAGCACCAACTGGAATCCAATGCTAGAATTGGGAACCCAAAACAAGAAAAAAAAATATTGAGATTCTTGGTCTTGCAAGATATGGTTAGTGAAGTATTACTTTTTGTCAGTTTTTGATCATTGGTTTTCCAGTTTTGGCCCAAACAGATTAAAACTTGCGTTGTTATTATGTGTCAAGAGTTTATATATATAATAGAATATATTTCTTATTTTTTATATTTCATTGGATCATGGTTTAGATCTGAGTTAAGGAGGGACAATATTCCCTGACACAGCCCCTCCTATAAAACAGACTTAGAATTTTACAAAGGTTTGTTGCCCACACCACATAACTGACACAACCACAAGATTAGGTGGTCAAGAGAAAGTGAGACAAACAAGGTATCAGAAAAGAATCTTACCCCATTTGTTGGGTTTGGTGATCCTTGTTTTCCTCAAATTGATCAAAAGAGTGTGATCTGGTTCGTTCTCTGCTCTCTTCTGCTGCTCTGCTGACATGGACATCGTGGACATGAATGTTTTTCCTAAGTTGTTGTGTGGATGGAGTTGGGAGGAGAACAAGTTGTTTGAGCTGGCTTTGGCTGTGGTTGATGAGGAAGACCCACAGCGCTGGGAAGTAGTTGCAGCCCTGCTTGGAGGCGAAAAAAGCGCAGAGGATGTACAGAAACATTATGTGATCCTTTTGGAGGATTTGCAGGTTATAGAATCTGGTAAATTGGATCACAAACTGGGACAGCCGCAGAATTATGTTCAAGTGGTGGATCTTTGCACTCAATCCGTTTGCTGGACTGACGAAAATAACAAGTATGTGAATGAAATTCAACAGCCTTTGAAAGTCATTGATTGCTTTGCCTTTACCTTTGTTGCATTCTTTTCTTCGTTTATTGTTCATATTGACCTCCTGATTAATGATTATGTATTTAGTTACCTTGAGCTCAATTTGTTTCTTGAAATCTTGTGGCTTTATAAATCTTATTTAGATTCTTGTTTATCCAGTTCCATGGGATATTTGAGTTTTTCTGACTTCTGGAAAAATGTTTTGTGACAGTTTGCTGGTTCAGTTGGGCTTAAATTAAAGTTGCTGGTCATTGCAGTTGTAACTACCGCAGTTTCAAAGATCTGTCGGCAGCTTGTAAATACCACATTTCTCTTCTTGTAATTCAGAAGTTAGTGAAATTCAAGCCAGATGGAATGACCCTTCCCAAACTCTAAATACTGCACTCTTTCTGACTCATGTCACATAATGTATAAGCCCTCACTCAGTTTCTAGCTACTTCTAATTTGCGTCTTTAGAATTTTTTTAGAATTTTGTACCGGTGACCTCCTTCGCCTTTAATGAGATTTAACACACACAAAAAAGATTTAAGGAACATTACATGACAATTCTTACTTTCAATCTGCTCTTATTCACATACATAGACTTCCTTTCAGAGACAACATTGTACAATCAATCAGTGAAAAGATGAACACAGCCAGATCCAGATCCAGATCCAGATGGGTTGTATGCACTGGAACATGAGTAGAAGAAACCATATTGATTTGATTGAGACAGGAAACAGAGAAACTTATTTTATTCAAAAACCACAGTTGTGCTGTGTCTTTTGGCATTGTTACACTGCAAAGCCCATATTTAACCTACATTTAACCTTAACATGAGGTAGAAATGAAAGAAATAAAGAAATTAAGGGTGTGGGTTGAGTAAATTAAGAGTAGGAGAAAAGGAAGATTGAGGACGGCAGCCAGGGAAGAGGCAGTGCATGAGTAGAGCCACAACAGCTCTATTTTTCTGTTGGGAACTCCATCCATGCTCTACCTGTTCCCTGTCTTATCAGTCTCTTTCCCATTTTCTCCACCCCCTATATTATTATTTATATGTAATTAATAGGATGATTTACCTCTTTGTTGGCTTTTGCACACACCTCATCCATCAGCTCCTCTAATTTCAATTGTCACCAGCCCCCCAGCAGTCTGCAACTTGTAGATACATTAATTTGTCCCTTCCCTAACCCTTGCTGGCCTTTCTGTGTATTTATTTGTACAACAAAGACCATTTTAAATCGTACACACGTGTACTACCCAAATCCAATATTCCATTGACCAAGATGACAATGCATGTACTACCTCTTCTTCTGTGTACTAAATAACTGGAGAGAGAGAGAGAGAGAGAGAGAGTGTGAGGAGCTTTAAAAAGGATAAGAAGAATGCACAAGATACAGATGAGAAGATGTACTACTCTTCTTGTTGTTGTAGTACTTACCCACAACCTCCTCCTCATCAATAATAATTGTGTTGATTATTATTACCAAAAAGGAAAACAATTATTATTTAAAAAAAATATTCATTGGAACAAATTAATTTCTTCAAGTTCTCTTGGGGCATTTTTTATTTATTCTTCTTGTTATGGGAACTAACTCATTTACAAATTAAATTGAAAATGATTCTCTTCTCACACACAACAGACAACAGTAGGTACCTATTTGACTTATGAAATCTGTGAAAAGGAAAAAGAGATTATGGTGTGGCAGGCAGCCAGCAACATGCGACGATCAGGCTACCTTGATCACCAAACAAGCATGACTAAACTCCAACACCACCAAATACACGCTACACGGTCCTACACAAGTTTTACTTTGTTTCCTACTTCTATTTCAACTTGTTTGACAATAAATGACTTGCAGGGCTTGTTACCTATTTCACTTGCGCATAGGACATGGACATATTGACGAAGAGTGACAATTTGAGTCTTGGTCAAGTGGCTTAGATGGTGCACAGAACAACAGGGCAAATGATAATTCGACCAGCAGCAAGTTGTTGCATACAGAAACATTACATGGCCGATTAAGAACATTATGGACCCCAATCCTTTCCTAAGAGTCTATAATTTATGCAAAAATCCCACAAGGCTAGGAATAGTTTCTTTGAAAAGCTCACAAAACATCAGGGTCCGTAAAACTGTGACAAGAAAGTTGACAAGCGCCTATTAAACTAATTTAATGTGAGGCTCCTCTTGACTAAAGACTAATGTCACCAACAGCAATGTAAATCAACTCCCTAATTCCTCCAAACACAAGGGATAAAAGACCCTATGATGATAGACGAATAGTATCTCTACAGAACTAACTTAACCAAAATTCTTACATCATTCAGATTCTGGATCCACAATATCGGGAAATGAATCCTCATCTGAATCATTACACATTTCAAATGCAACTCCCTTGCTCTTCTCAGGCTTTGGAGTGGTAGCGAAATTGCCTCCGCCAAGAGACTCATCACCCTTAGCCACCAGAACATCGACCGTATTGCTACCTCTTTGATCTGATGGACCACTTTCCATATCCACCCTCCCAAACACTTCTTCAGTAATAGTAGTAGTTCCAACAACTGAGACAACCTTTGGAGACGCGATATCCTGAAATTGCAATATGGATTCTTTCAATTTGTGGGATTCAACCATACTTTCATCCTTATTGCCTCTCATCTCCACATCCTCCATGTTTGCTGCGAGCTCCTGTACGCTTCCTGCTAGAGTCTCTTTACTAAATGACCCATCTACAGAAAGCGTTTTATCCTGAATAACTGTTACAGTTTTTGATGGCTCTCCCGCCTGCATAGTCTTTCCTAGGTCACTCACTGGTGCTTCCATTTCTTTACTACTTGCAAGCCAGCTATCATATAGGTCATCATGATCAGAGTCAGCAGCATCATGCATCATTCCCTGTATGTCACCTGAAAATGGGGTTCGGGGTCTTAGACTACCAGAGTACATATTTTCTGGGAGTTTGTAGTGAACTCTATCAGACAGGAGAGTTGTGTCAGTAAAATCTGCCAGCGGGAGGGCCCTGGGATGTATAAGCACCTCTAAGGCCAAAAGAGCATGAGCACAAAATTCAGCAAGTTTGGTTCCAGTTTCTTGTTTGCCTGCAGAAACCACTTTCATGTGGTTAAAATAATTGAGGAATACGAGTGCAAGAAAAAAGACAATTCTAATTGAAGAAAAACCTATTTTACACAGTTAGTTTTATTTCAGATTGTGTCTATTGTTTTTCGAAATGATGCCCTGTGCTTGTCTTTGAATTTTAATTTGTAGATTCAAACCAAAGCCAGTCTCTTACTCCTCGGTAGTTTTCCCTTAGGAGTAGTTAAGTATTATTAAAGAGGTGTAATTCCTTCCTGCACATCAGTAATTAGGTTGTAATAAAGGTGAAGAGTCCACCATAAGTTCAGTTCAGGGCATACTTGTGATCTTTCCATACATGCTTATTTCTTGCTGTTGATACTTTGACAAGATAATCAAATCAAAAGAGAGAGATTCCACATATTCCAGGAGGAATTACCTCTACGGAAAAGATCAAGACCCTCAGCTAAATAAGGGGGGCGGACACGAGATGAAGAAAGGAAAGATGCCAAAAGTGCACGTAGTGCAGCAAGCTGCATACCACCCCCAATATCACCAGGTTCATTGAGTTGGTAAATGTTTCCGTTCTCACCACCCCATGCTCCTTTCAGAGAATTAGTAGCTACGTTTATCAGAAGAAGATCAACATCTGATCGCCATCCTTCAGATTTCAATGCACCACCCTGTGAAAAAGAAATAAAACATCCCTGTCATTCATTAGTAATGCTTTGATGTCAGAAAAAGTTATCCACAAAGATGATAATTCTACCTACATAAGTAGATTGGGAACACGTGAACTTTGAAAGACCACACTCTTGTTCTATTAGGACACAGGAAAGACAAAACTTGACCACTTACAAAATATTTTATGGACAAAGAATTTCAAAATGGACCCAGAAAAATAAGCATGGTGATTGATTAAAAAGTTGCAAAATTTCAGGTACATTTTCACCTTTTTTATTTTTTTTTATTTTAAACTTTGTTTATGAACCAAGGCCATAATGATTACAGTATAGACCTACAATTCCCTACATCCTCAATGGCACTTTTTCAACTAAAGGCATTTATGGAAATTCTTGAGTCCTATATTAGAATTATATCAGAGAGAGAGAGAGAGAGAACTGTGTAACTTTTCACATAATCTCTGACTTTGTTTTAACCTTGATCAAATTAATCACAATAACACTGATAATTAAAAAAAAATACCAACGGTGTAACCAAATTGTTATCTTATGATTCTCTTGATGGTAAGCTTATTGAATTCATGTTCTGGTTAATGTGGAACTTCTGACCTTGATTTAACAAAATATAAGCAAGCCCCAATAGATTACTTGAACCATCGTGAATAGATAATTTCGGGGGTGTATTTAACTATTGGAGTTGCCATGATTGATGCATATACTATTTGTTAGTGCGATGAATACAGATTTATATAACATTTTTGGGTCTGTTCTCTAACAGATTTAGGTTCAGAAATTGATAATAACTTACAAGCTATAAACTAATATGGTTCTTGGACATGTTCACCCACCACTTTATTGCCAACCTGATACCACTCTAAATTACTTCAGGTTTGTCAAGAAATTCATGAAGAAATGAGGATGCTGTTAAAGTTTCTAAAAAAACTATTGGGAATGATATTCAGGTGCGACATTCAATATTAGTGGATTGAAATTTTCAATGTGGTAAACAAATTGAAGGTCGACACAAAGATGTTATGTGTGCAAGGAACTTGTACATAAGAAACTGAAGCAAATAGAATTTTCAAAATATATGATTCTATGGAACAAAAGAATCCAAAATCTAAAGATCAACTTGAGGGAGAGTTTTTCTTGAGGGATCCCTACCAAACATTTATGGCATATAAAGTCAAGAGTCTGATTTCTTGTAGAATAATAATTTGGATGTGTGAATACTAAGAAGTGACCTTCTGAGAATGATTTGTTTAGGAAAGAGGAAAAGTTATTGGTAGGTAAACTATATGAAGGGCAGAACCCATAGCCTATACAGTTCACAAATAAAATATCGTCTTTAATCAAAGTATTGGTTGTTCTCATAGCATAAAAGGCTTTAGAGTTTCCTTTAGAAATCTAGGATCCTACAGTTAGTCTTCTACTTACTGTGTAAAAGGAACTCTACTGTTCTATATTTACAGTCATTACCTACAGCAACCTGATCGAAGACTATGAGGATAAACATTCTACGATGCAGAAAAATGAACTGAACCAACATTGTACAGAGCTAGGAGTGCACATACCACAGTGAGAAGAGCTTCTAATGCCTCGAGTGCAGCGATTTTAACAGCAATTGGAGATGT